CCATTTTCCTGATGTTTGGCCTGTCAATGGGATGATAGGAACAAGCCCCCACATGAATTATTAATTTTGACTCTGTTTGTTTGGTGCATTCCTCACTTTTTCTGTTTTTGCGCTTTGTTCGTACTGGTGTCTTCCACCTCATCAGATGTAATGCTTGTAATGTTTTTACTTTCTCTTGGCTTGAAAGAGCTGAACTTGGCTGTGTCACAGCGGGGGTAAATGCTCAGTTTTCTGATAGTTCAATTTGTATAATAATTTCAATAGTAAATTCTGATCCAGGGGATGTTAATGGGCATGCATTCAGAAATTAAGTAATTCTTTAAAAGCTAATTAAATGAGCCTTTTGTTGAAGCCTCTCTTGTGTTCAATTTGATGGTTTTTTCAAACTCCTCATGCTGTTGAAAGGCACTTCCATTTTATTTTGAATTGTCACGTAGGCCAAGTCAGACTGGAATGCCTTATTGTATGTTTAGCCTGTTATGTTAGTTTTTTGTTTATTATGTTGCTGCGTGTTTTCTTTGGTCATTTTCTCAATTGTGTTCAATATATATCTCATATGAGAAAACGTATAACTGGAACCACAATGTAACAAAACAAAGTTAACAATCAGCCAGAGAAAGAATAAATACTAAGACAGATGAGGTTTACCTTTGTTTAGTCATCAGTCTGTATCGTTATTTTAAGTTAAGTTTCTCTCTAAAGGTATTTTTATGAGTTAATAGTTTGTATATTATATTGTGGAAGTGGGTTAGTGATTTTTACCTCCTTTACTTTATAATGATTAGAGTAAGAAGTTAAATTATGTATGAGAGACACTTTTAATTGGCAGTTAGCCATAGTTAATTAAAAGAATAAATATCATGCGAACTCCCTAGGGAGCTCAAATTTCTTGTGTTGATTTCTTCAAGTTCCCTACCCGTTTACTAACTCAACCACAGTCATAATTAACTTTTTTGATCCGCAGGGGCATAGTTCAAGCCTCTAGCTTTAATCCAAGCCCAAGTTTTTGCCCCTCTAGAGCTTATACCAAGGCTGAAATCGAGCCCACAAAGCGGGCGTGCAGATAGAGGCCGCCTCCGGGCCTCTGCTCCCCCTCGCCTGTTTGAAGTCTGCTCCAGGGCTGGCCCAGGTAGGAGTTAGGCAGGCACGGAGTAGTCCTGTTGATTAACAGATTGAACCTTTAACAAATCCAAGATCCTAGAACTAGAGGCAAAATGCCCGCCCAGTACCCAACTCCGTCTTGCGAATAACCTTCCGCGCACGCGACGCACGCGATTGGTCAGTGGCTAAATTTCTCATCATGTGGCGCAAGCAGACGGCTTTTTATTTACAGTTTCCGAAAATGTGCATGTTTGCCTTAACCCAAGCTCAAGTTGTTCAGTTTTTTGCCATCAAAAGTATGCGACAACAATCTATCATCTAATCTGTGATAACCTTTTGTTTTGCGGAATTTTGTTTTGACATAATCCAGTGATATTTTTCTTGCACTGACACATTGTTTTGAGCTATGTCCATGGTAAAGATGGGTGTCAGCCCTTCACATTGGAAGAAATTTAGCTGTCTCTACTCCTTGAACAGAACTCTAGTAATGCACGATTTTCGGTATTTGAGTACTTTAAAAGAAGATGTAGGCACGAAGAAAACCACAACTGATGATCGAGTTGAAAAACCTCTGAAAGAAAGAATATTCAATACGGTTCTGTTTGAGCACGATCCAGAAGTTTCATTCGTAAAACGAAAGTTTCTTGAGAAAAAAATGAAAACTATACAAACTGCTGACATGATGACCAAAAGCACAACATCTGCACGACCTCTCACCTTGAAGCTTCTTCATGAATGTGCTGAGCCTGCCATCAATGAAAACAATGAAGTGATTGAAACTGAGGACCAACCCCCTACTTATCCATATGCAGAAAGAATAGTTGGAAACAATCATCCAGATAAAAAAATAAAGGATGCTAACTTCACCCATCGTAATAAAATGTTGGCTAAGTTTGCAGAGAGACGAAAAGGAAGTAAGTTCATGGGACTTCAATTGTTTCAGCGATATCATGAACCAGTCTAAGGTGATTTCAAGCTTTCTTTATCTTTCCTTTGCAGTGAAAAAATGGATGAGTGACTATGATCTGTTTACTGAAGATTCACAAGATTATAATTCAGTGTCTTCAGATATAAATTATGGATCATCAGATCCAAAGGAACCTGTCAGTAATGTGCCCTGTGGAGGATGTGGAGCTCTATTACATTGCCAGGTAAATTTGTCTCTTTTGCTGACTTATTAAAGAAAAGCATGTAAATTGAAGTAAAATTTAAAATTTTTCAGGACTATTCAATTCCAGGATATTTGCCAAAAGAGCTGTTTGCTAAACGAAGTATAAAAGAATTGAAGTCATTAATATGCCAACGATGCCATTTCTTGAAAGAATTTAATGTTGCTCTTGATGTTAGTGTTTCACCAGAGGAGTATCCGAAAATTCTTTCTTGCATACAAGATAAACGAGCCCTAGCAATACTTATGGTGGACATGTTAGATTTTCCTTGTAGCATTTGGCCTGGAATCATAGACATCATTGGTTAGTAATGTTTGGTTACCAACACAAAATTATTTTACAGCTTGTGTTCATGATTTTTTAATCTCCTTTGTTGCTTTTGTAGGTAATAAACGTCCTGTAATAATTGTTGGAAACAAAATCGACTTGATTCCTGGTGATCAAAAGGGATACCTTGACCACTGGAGAGAAACTTTATTGACTTATGTGTATAAAATGGGCTTTGATAAATCAAATATCAAGCATGTTGCCCTTGTAAGTGCTCACACAGGTTTTGGTGTAGAAGATCTCATCACTCAGCTTCATGAACTCTGGGAATACAAAAGTTAGCACTTTCTTATTTTTATTTATTTTTAGTTTTAAAAATTGGAAGTGTGTGATTTAGCAGTAATCACACTTTGTGTTGCCACAATTGCAGGTGATGTCTTCTTGATTGGTTGCACTAATGTTGGAAAGTCTACTTTATTCAACAGACTGTTGCAGTCAGACTTTTGCAAAACCCAAGCTATTAATCTTGTGCAAAGAGCAACCACTTCAATTTGGCCTGGCACAACACTCAATTTACTTAAGGTGTGTATTCGGTTTGCTTGGATAGCAGTGGAAAAGTGTTCTCTTTTAGTTTTCTTTGACTGAAAAGTTTGAACAGTTTCCAGTCCTGCGACCAGAAGGATGGAGATTAACTATGCGTAAAAAACGATTACTATCAGAAAAATACAAAATTGAGAAGGAAAAGCAATTACAGAGGGAACAGTTCAAAAGACAAAGAATGTACCATATGCCATCTCTTATGCGTAAGTGACACTACTCCTGAAACAAAAAAAAATGTGAAAAAAAGACAAAATGCACTAAGTGATGAACTACATAATTAATTAACCTCTTCAGTTTTTCCCTTTTTCTTTTTTCAGAGTATGTGGGTAATACATTTACACACAAAATCGATGAACAGTCAGATATTTATTCTATAGGACATGAAGAAGAGGCTCTGATTGGTATTGATGAGAATGATTATGAATTTGCAAAAGGTCGTTGGTGCTATGATACGCCTGGAGTAATGCATCCAGATCAGGTTCCCACCTTTTTTTAATTTCTCTCACTTTATTATTCATTTTTACCAACTGTTTTGATTTTAATTAGACACTCTTTGTAACAGATATTAAATATTCTTACCACTGAGGAACTGGTCAAAGTCATCCCTAAAGCTGCTATTCTTCCAAGATTTTTTATCTTAAAACCAGGGAGGAGCCTATTTCTTGCAGGCTTGGGTCGGATTGATTTATTAAGTGCATCATTTAATAATTCTGTCAGGTATTAATTTTGAAAATTTTTCTTGTTCTGTTGCATACACTATGTATGCACTCTTACACATTTCCTTGTTTCCAAAAGGATTGCAGTTTTTTCCTCTATTCATCTACCTGTCTCCATCGTACAAACTGAAGAAGCTGAAGATGTGTACAAACAGCTACTGGGGTCAGAGCTACTGGCAGTCCCGTGTGGTGGGCCACAAAGACTTGCAGACTGGCCTGGTCTTCAGGCCAAAGAAGAACCTATTGAAGTGAAAGGCCTTGGCTGGAAGGAATGCTGTGCTGATATTATTCTTTCCTCGGCAGGTAAGTTTCCTATTAATAAGGAGCAAATTCACTTAAGTATAAGGCTTATGTTGTTCATTTTGTCTTTTCTTGTTTAAGGTTGGGTTTCTGTAAGTGGTTGTGACGATATGTCCTTCCGCGTGTGGACTCCATTTGCTAGAGGCATTCATTTGAGGCAGCCAGCCTTACTTCCTCACTCAGTCAATTTTAGAGGTGCGAGAATATCTCATACACCCACCTACAAACCAGGGAGAGCGGCAGGAAAGTATGAGAAACGCAGAAAATATTAAAAAATTGCTTTAATATTTAATATTGCTCTTGAACAAGATTTCAATCTTTTTCTTTTATGTTCTGTTTCATTTACGTAACTGGTATACTTTTCAAAAAATTTCGATTTGTGGTTTGTCAACCTGCCCTCCTCTGATAACAATCTTCTCTGTAGTTCAAGGTAACACAGTAGAATGTAAAATGTATTTGTCCATGGCTTGAGTGAAAATGTGGTGAATCTGGCCACAGTTTGTTCCACTGGTTTCCTCCAAATAAGCTTTAAGTGGCATCTCCAAATGTTGATTCAAATCAGTACCTAACTGATACTGAGAAAAGAAGTCAGTTTTAATGTCAAAATAAAAATGCCTTCACATTGTAATAAAAAAGCATTCCTTACTTACTTCTTCAAAAGCCCGATACACTGCAGTGAAAGCAGGTTGTTTTTCTGAGTGAAACGTCCCACGAGACCCATGAAGAACTGCAACTCCTTCCTTTTCTGCACTTTTGCAAACACTCATGTACATACAATGGTCTGAGCGGTAGTTGAATCGACATGAGTAAATGTATAATTTGTCTAAGCAAGATAAAAATAAACAAGTGTGAGGTGATAAACTGAAATTCCAGATGCCAGCCTATATAAGATGAAATACTCACGTGGATAGTAATGAAATATTATGTTAATAATATCTTGATCACCCCAGGTGATTTTTAGCTTAAATTCCTTGTAAACAGGAATAACATAATCCTCCCAGTGGAACTCCCGCATGCGTGTTAAGTTCATGAGCATAACACCAGAGTTGACACCTAATTTATAAAAAATTGTGCATTACTGTAAAAATTGGAATAAGGTCCGTAAATAGAGGCAGGGCTGTACTCACCATATGGACCATAAAAGGGATGATGAGCAAATCTGTTGTACCATCCAGTGTTAGGGTCTTCATGCTCAAAAGCCAAGGCAGCCATTTGTGATGAGTTCATGGCACTAAAATGTTTCCAAATTAGTTTGAGTGGGGATAAGAAAAGTGTGTCTGTGTCTACATACAAGACAGAATCCGTCTGCTTCAAAATTTCCTGTAAATTTTTTTCAAGGAAATGGCTTTTAGGAACGCAACTAAATTACTGCAACATAAAAGGCATCAACGACTACTTACAGGTAGGAAAAGTCTCTGAGAAGCACATGGTTTGAAAAGTTTTCTCCACTCTTCAGCATTGCCTTTCTTCGGAAAAGTTATTGGATGCAGTTCAAACTCTAAGGTGTTATTAACAAGTAATTTCCACTCAGTGAGCTGGAAACAATAAACGAGTTGATGATGACCCAGTTTATTTCTTGAAGACTTCTAGTCATTGTAAAAATAAGATATTATTTTAATTACCTTTTCTTTAAAACTAGGCATTAATACATCGTCAGAAAATATAACAAATCTTAAGGGTTGCCACCATTCTGTGAATATGAGAGCTGACTTCAACATCGCCAGCGTCTCTCCTAAACGATCACCACATGCTACAACAGCCACAACAATTTCTGGAAACCTGAAAAACAAAAGAACTTGTGTCACAAGTAAAAGACTAGTTTTAGAGAACAATGCTGAGAGAAATGGTTAAAGGAAAACGGTATGGTGAACATTTTTCAAATCATTTATCTGTTACGGGAGACATCCTCAACCGAACTGACAGCTATCACTTTTGTCTGTTTCACCGTGTGGTGATCCCTCTTACCTCTCCTGGCTGTCCACAAGTGTAAGACCATTCTTGAGACTGGTATTGTGAGTGGATAATTCATTTTTAAAATGGGTATGAGCCACTTGTGTTGACACAGAAGTGGAGGAGAATGACAGGCTAAGGTAGTACAGCAAAGCAGATGATATAACGATGCACACGAATAAAACGTTGACATTTGAGGTAAATGACATATTTTTTCTAACATTAAAACGTTACAATCTACCCACCCCCCATTACCAAAGAGTCACAACAACCGTTTCACAAACGCAGGAACCGAAAACGTAAACAAATAACACAATATTCACAGTCTCGTGAGTGACTGAAAATAAGGGAGACCGAAACACCAACAGAAAACAAAGGACGCACGATAAAATGGAAAATGGCGATCGCAAGTTGGATGATTCGGGGAAGAAGCCTTCGATCCGGCCGATTTAATCGTAGTAAGTCGCCTAAAATCTGCATGTTTAGACCGTTTTTTTCTTTGAAACCGCTGCTAGTTGCGCATACAACTTATGTCATTTTCCCACAGATCGTCTAGACAGCGATGACGAGAATGTCCAACTGGACCTGTCCAAAGGTAATCACCGTGTCCTTATTTGAGTCGGTTTTTATCATTAAAAGCCACTATTTTTTCCACCGGTTGTTCGTTCTATTTATACTTTGACATTCAGTCATCTTGTCTTCGTGCACGTCATATATTGTACGGTTCCACTCGTTATGTACCTTCGCTGTTATGTGTGGACTTTGACATTGTCCTCTCTTATTTACTTGCATAGTTATGTATTTAATCAAAATTGATATTTTAGATTATCCTTCACCTGTGTTTCAAAACTTTCTTACATTGGCTCAGGTTAAATCATTTCTTTCCGTTAGTTGACCTCTGCCTAAGTGTTTTGTTTTGATTTCTTGAATCTGGAGCAAGTATGACAGTTTTTACTACTTCAGCTTCCAGTTTATTTTAAATACACAACCATTTTTGGTGATAATCTCACATCGCTGTTGTTTAGTTAGTGAAGGATATTAATTCCAAGTATCAAAGAGTGAAGAAATATTGTCACACCATACTACTTGATAAAACTGCTCAAAGTTATAGGCTCAATTTTCATTCACTGTGTTCTTTGTTTCAGATCCTAAAGAAAATATTCAAGAAATATTTAATCATGTTTGTCAAAGACATGGCATTGTTGAGGGAAAGAGGCTAGGTTATTTAAATGCTTTTGTCAAGCTAGTCAGTCAACCAAGCATTAATCATACTCATTTAGGCTACAGTAAAGAAGAATTACTCTGCTGGTAGGCTCTTGATATTCTCCCATTAAGTTTGTTTCTATTCTTAGTAATTTCTAATCTTTATTCTATTTTCTCTTCATAGTTTAAGAGCAAGTTTGATACATGAAGCTACTCAAGTTCGTGCAGCAGGCCTGAGGGCTGTCCGCTATCTCATCACAGATGAAAATGATGTCCGTATTTTAATTAGGCTCCAGATTCCTAGCCTCATAGCACGGTTAGTACACTTTGTTCACAAGGCAACCTGTTCTTGTTTTGAAATGCTGCAGCAGCATAATATCTTGTTGATTTTTTTATATTTAGGAGCCTGGATCTTGCACTCAAGAATGACCTGGAAAGGATACAAGCTATGCGTATCATGCGCAGGTTTCTTGCCATTAGTCCATCAAACTTTCCTGTTTCTCTTTTGCGATGCCTCATTTCACTTGCAAATGGGGCTACAGAAGCAAATGATAGAATGTTGCGTGCTTCCCTTGCTGTGCTAAGCGAAATATGTACGTATTAATCTATCACTCATTATGACATTCAATGTTACAATTTTCATCAATATTTTAAAATTTCAGGTGTTCTGAATCCATTTTTATTTATCAAATGTGGAGGCATAACGTCTCTTGTCCGAAATATTCTTGACTGTGGACTTCCCAAAGTTTCTGAGTCCCTTGTTGGGTGTTTATTATATTTATTAGACAGACCAGAAACTCGAGCTGCAGCACGAATTGACTTGCAATGTTTTGCAGAGCCTTACTGTGATTTTTATTTTTCTAAGGGCACTGCTGATAAGGCCAAGTGAGTAGACCTAGAAAGGAGTTCGAATTTCATAAATTTTCAAGCCAACATTGCCTCTTACCATTGCTCTCTCTTTGTACACAGAAGTGACAAGGAGATTCGAGAGCGGGACTTGAGGCTGTATTCAAGCCATGTTGCCTTATTGTCAATTCTAAGGTCCTGGCCAGGATTTCTGCATTTCTGCAACCCTTCTGAAAATTCGGGCCTGCGTGCCCTTGTTGATGTGTTGTACCTTAAACAATTGGAGATACGAGTAAGCTTCCATTCTTCTTTTCTATTATTACAGTACAATCCGCTTAAACCGTATCCGTTTAAACCGTTTCTCCGCTTAAGACGTCTCAGAGCGATTCTACATTCGAATCATAGGCCGAAACAATGCATTAGGGGCCATCCATAAAGTACGTCCGCACTTTTTTCGGTAATTTTGACCCCCCCTCCCCCCCTGTCCGCTAACGTCCGCTTTCGGCGACCCCCCCTCCCCCCTTTGGACGTCCATTTTGGCCAAAGTATTCCAAATTTCAACAATAAAGCGCTTTTTTGGGGGTAAACTGATAGAAAACGCGTGTTAAGCCGCCTTCTGCGTTATTCAGAAAATAAAAATAAATATGACTACGTTCCGTTTCCGTCGCCGCTGACATCGGCGCCGCGCGTAAAGACGGCGCAAATCGTCTAATTTTTCTTAATTTTCTTCGTATAAAAGTAGGACGTCCGACCACCTCGGACCCCCCCTCCCCCTCACGTCCGCCAACGTCCGCTTTTGTCCACCTCCCCCTCCCCCTTCGAGTGCGGACGTACTTTATGGATGCCCCCTTAGGAGTCCGCTTAAACCGTCTCCGTTTAAGACGTTTCTCCGCTTTTATCGTTGTTTCGGGCCGTTTTTCGTTCGTTTAAACCGTTTTGCACCGTTAAAGAAGCGCATTTTTCACCGAATTCGCGTATGTTTGCGTTCCGATGTCGAGCGCGTGCACCTCCACGCTGCCACTACCCCTTGCCACTCTACCCCGGGGCTCGGCTACGGCGGCGGCGGCGCGGGCGGCGCGACAAGTCACAACACGGGGCGTTCAGAGAGCTGGACAAGAGCCCATAAAATGTATTACCACTCAAGATTTCATAACAAAGCATTTTTAGAGTCTTTTCAGTCCTCTCTACTGAGTTACGGCAAAAAAATGCGTTTTTAAATCATTTTTTTCGAATTTCGGTTAAAACGTTCTCCGTTTAAGACGTCCGGAACCGGCGCAATCGGGCAAAACGGTTTAAGCGGATTGTACTGTACATATGTGGTTTTTTTTTTTTTAAATTAATGATTTAAATTTTCTAAATTAACACCAAACTTTGATTTTGTTCCTGTAGAAAGCTGTTTTGGATCTACTTTATGATCTTCTTGGAATTCCTTTACCGGAATGGACAGATGAACTTAGTGTTGCCTTGGATGCAGTCGATCCATCACATCCTCAGGACAGCTGGCGCCTCAATGAGGGATTTATAGCAGCAGAGGGTAAAGGGGTTCTACCGCACCTCTCCAAGTTTAGGTACTGTGCACTCTAAAGATTTGTAGCAAATGTTCGAAGAAACCTATGTCGTGACTGAGAGTCAATTTCTTGTGATTCTTTCAGACCCAATATAGTGGTTAATCACTTGGCTGCCCTTCTCCAAGCTTTTCTTGATGCTGGTCTCTTGGCAGCCATAGTTGAAGTGATTGTTGCTGAAGATACATTTCTCTCCGTCAGAGCTACTATTCTTTTAGGTCGGTATGCACACTTCCTGTTTTGTTATCTCTGTTGTATAATTTCATTGCTGGATTTTTGTTTAATATCCATTGACATACATTTTCGGTGAAAATATTAATTGGTCATGTTCCTTTCTTTTCAGGCCAACTTTTGCATATGATGCATTTACTTCTCCCTCCTCAATGTTGCAATATAACACCATCCTTACCCTCTCTAATGTGGTATGCTGTTGGTGCCTCACCAGTAGATCATGCATCTTCTTCTTCCAGTGCTAAACAGACTTACCATAAAATCTTGGAAGCTGTGCAGCCTGCTTTAACTGTTACTAAAGCAAACCAGCAGCAAGCTCAAGCATCTGTGACTGCCATGAATCAGTTGCATAGACTTTTGAAACGCCGGCCTGCTCCTGCATCCTTATTTTTAGCTCAAATTTTGAATTCATCCAGTCGGTTTCATTCTGAAGCTAGGAGAGGTGCTAGAGAGGAATCTCTTTCTTCTGATCCAACAGGTTTGTTTTGTTTAATAGACTTTTGCATGAGTTTCTAATTTTAGTGTCTGAAGATAGCTGAATTAATAGGGATTTACTTTCTAGGAACTCTGGTAAAAGGTAACGCTGATAAAAAAAGAAGTTCAAGACGTCCTCGCCGTTTTAGTGAAAGTGTTCTTGGAATTGCAACCCGTGGAAGATACTCAAAATCCAAATTACAGCAAATGCTTGCTAAGGAATCTGAAGACGCACTCAAGGAATCCGGTGTCTTGGTGTCCAAGGATGCTTATTCTTGGAACTGGGAAATTGTGCGCTCTATCCTTAAAAGTAAAAGTGATATTCTTTTGAAAATGGAGGACTCAAATCATAGAACTTTTGTTAAGCGGCTGGTTCACTTTTACAAGCCTACCAATAACCGCTTTAGTCGAGTTGAATTGGGAGGCAATAGGAAAAATGCTAACACTTTTACCCTAGCTGGAATAGAACTGCTTGATGCTCTCTTAATAGCAGAGGAAGTTGAAGGTTCCCGGCTCATTGGTGAACTGCTTGGAGATATCCACTCACAGATGGAAGAAATACTTTCAGCCAAAAGTGCCCATGACTGTCTATTTAGTCCACATCATATGAACAATAATTTGTGTCAGGACTACTTTCTATTTATTGGTCATTTATGTCAAAGTAGAAAAGGCTTGAGTATTTTAGAATCGTGTGGAATCCTGAGTTTACTACATCGTCTTGTTGTTAACACAATTCATGACTGTTATATCAAACTTGTCATTTCAAGTTTGGATTATGCTACCCCTGGTTCGACAAGACAAATTTTAGAAACTGTGTTAAAATCTGGCTCAGAATCTTCCCGTCTCTATGCCACCCAATTCATGGTAGTGCTTCTTCGAGCTCGTGTTCCTAACTTTCATGAATGGGGCTTATCTCTTGTTATAAATCAAGTAAAAGACGCCAGTAAGTCAGTCAGGCTAGCTGCTTTGAACATTCTGGATGAAGCATGTGATGAACCTGTAAGTAAAAATTTAGTCATCTAAAACCTTTTTCCTCAAATTACAGTATTTTCTAATTTCTTAAAATTTTACCACAGATATTTCTTCAATCCCTGGCTGATCTTCAACCTAAATTTAATTCCAATGTTGAAAGAGAACTTTTTATTGAGATACGACTGGCTTCTGTACCAAGTGGATTTTCCTACTTGCAACAAAGAGGATTTTTGTCGGCTCAAATGGACTTTTGGGCTGTTGAGTTCAATTACAGGTTTGATTTTTTTCATGGTATCATTTTTTGGTTTGAAATTTACGAGATTCTGACCTATTAATATTTTGTGTCTTTAAAATTTTAGATATGTCCGCTTTTTGGAAGGTGAGATTCATGACTCGTTGTCTTTACATCAAAGGGGTGAAGATGGTCTGTACAGCAGGCGTGTTAGCTCTGCCAAGCACACTGTCAAAGATGTATTTGTTCCTCCTCATCTTTATGGACAGTTATCTCAACTCTCACAAGGTTGTAAGATTCTTAACCAAGATACTAGAGTGCTCTCCCTCTTAAAGGTATGAATCCATTTTTTCTCTGCTGAGCTGTGCGTTTGTGTGATCTGGTCCTTATTGGATGTGTATACTTCTGTTTAGGTTGTTAAAAGCCAGCAGTGCAAAAGCGATCAAGAAATATTGGAGCTCAAAGCAGCATTGTGGGCTGTTGGGCATATAGCAACCAGTTCTGCTGGCTTTGAGTGGATGGCAAATGAAGGAGTAATTGAGTCTCTAGCAATGATTGCACAAAATTGCCCTGTCTATTCTATCCGTGCCACAGCATTTTACTCAATTGGTCTCGTTGCTACCACAGCTGCTGGTGCTGACCTCCTGTCTTTAATGGGTAAGAGCCAACACAAATTTTAAAATACCAAAAACAATTGAGGTAGTACTTTTTAATTATTTGAATTGTATTGTAAACCAGATTGGGTGACTGTGAGGCACCACCGGCACGAACGCTGGCCAGTAATTCATGAAAACCTACCGCCGTCAAGCTCATGCATATTTATACCCAAAGAGGACAATAATGCTCAAACACTTCTCATTGCTGATGAGACAGAGACTGAGAGCAGTGTTGTCACTGAAGAAGATGATAGTTCCTTGTGGGATGACTCTTTTTCCAACAGTGGAGTTCAATTTTGGAATGAAGCATCTCCCATGGCTGGTAGGGAACATTTTTCAAAGAGCTGTTCCTTAGTGTATTGCAAGCAATTAGCCACCTACATAAAAGTGATTTTGTTCCTCAGGCGACGCACCTAGCAGGAAAGCTTGTACTTTACCACATCAGAGGGTTGCTCCAGAGTGGCCCAGGAAACAACAACGCAGCCTTAGTGAGAGTCAATCTGAAAGCCCACAGCTTCAGCGAGTGACAGGGTCTCCTGTTCCGTCATCAGTTTTAACTTCATCATCTACGGGAACAATTGGCACAGAGACTCACACGACAGGCTCTATCCCTGGAAAAGATGCATTCAGTGTAGGCAATCATTCTAAGACCATTGACGAAGTTAAAGTCAGATCAAACAGTGGTTCTGACAGTGGTGTCTATTCTTGTGATTCAACTGGTATAAAACAAACAAGGTATCTAAAAATGATACAGTTTCGTATGTGCATGTTTCATCTGGCATTGTTCTAATTTGGACTCCATTTAATTTTTTTAGTGATAGAGTTCAGACTCTAAGCCCTATTCCTAGTTCTACATCCTTAAATACTCTTAAATCCGCTAACTTAAGTGGTGCACCAACACCACTTGTCACTCCTCTAACATCATTTCAACAAGAAGAGAAGACAAGGAGGACTTCATTTCAAGGTACAACACAAATCATAGTTACCATCTAATGTGTTTTCAGATGATTTTTATTTTTCTGATTGTTGTTTTTCTCCTTGTAGGAAGCATAGCTTTAGATCATCAATCTCCCACTCATTCTGGTATGAGTTCACGTCTAAGTCAACAAGATGTTGCTGATTATGCCACTCTTCGCTCCTTACAAAGCCTGCAACGACCACAACTTCCAAACCTTTCTTCCAATTTCCATAATTCATCAAGTGCAGCTGACCATTTCCTTGATGATCTCAATGTTTCAAACTCATCTTCACTTAATAGAGAGCGTCATTCCTCTTCAATTCTTAGTTCTATGCGCCGCTTTAAAGTTAGAAGCTTGGATAGGCAATCTACACCACATCCAGTGTGAGTTGGACTTTTCTTCCCTCTGCTTGATTTGTTAATATTTTTTGTATTACTTATTGTTCTGTAAATTATTTGTTAATCCTGCAGGTTTGCAAATTTTGACCCCAAGATAGCAGATGAAATTTTCACTGATGAACCCACAGCCACTAGTTCTCCCAACAAGACTAGTACAACCCTGCAAGAATGTAGTCAGTGCTACATGGGTATTGCCTTGCCTCTGTCATCAAGCTGTTTATATCCTACCTCTGCCAAAGCTGTGCATCCCTCCGCCAGTTTGTTTGGGGACCCAGATTTTCAACAGACAGTGAAGGAGGAAGATACTGCCGACCATCAGAGCGATTGTGAGCGGATACCTGAGTCAGGTACCATCTCCAGCTGATTTGGCTCATGATAGGTGTGGCTTTTGCTTGGTATTAATCACATTGTGATTTATCTTTTCAGATGAGGCAGAGCTTGTGCCGAGTCTCCACTTAACCAGTGATTCCGACGAAGAAGTGGAAAGTGAGGAAGGTGGTGGAAATCGCTCTGAAAAGGAACGTGCTGCTGGTAGGGGTTCAAGGCGCAGTGGTCGAAGTACACTAAGTCATAAAGCTCAGTCTCATGCGCGTCGACGCCGCGAGCGCTCCTCGGGGCCAAGTCTTACTTACACAGAAGTGCGCACCTATCGCCACCAAACTTCCACTTGTCTTGCTTGCTCTTTACGACCTCAACAGCACCATCAGCAACATGCTACTTCTCACCGAGAGCGCAAGATATCTTCAGGATCATATCATGCTCGTGCCAGAACAGGTAACTACAGTGCGATGGAAAATGTGGGGGTTGGTAGACTTACTTACTAAATATTTTCTGGTTTTGTTCAGAAACGGAAAGTAGTTGTGGTACCAATGAAGCTAATGATAGTCCTTCTCGACACCGAACTATGAGTGTTGGGGCATTTGGCGGGAGCTTGGAAAGTACAACAAGTACAGAAACAGTTGGATCAACACAAGATAGCACAGCTGGAACTCCAGCAATGAATAGAACTAAAATGCGCCTGGAAGTGATGAGGCATGTTGAGTGCATGAGCAACCCCATTTGGGTTAAGCCATGCCAGCAATCATTACTTCAGTAAGTTTGAACTTTGATTTATTTTTCTATCTTATATACTCTGTTTTGTGAGGCCTGTGTGATAATCTTGTTTTCCACCCCCCTTTATAGTTCAAAACAAAAGAACCCGCATATGCTTGATGACATTTGTTTATATTCTGACTTATGTGAAAGTCTATCATCTTGCAACTACCGCCTTCAAGCTCGACGTTTCCTCCAGGAAATCTTTTTAGATGTCTCATTTTCTGAGGTTTGTGTTTGTATAATTGTTACATCCTCTTCCATTATATTCATTATCATTTGTGTTAATTTGACTCTTTGTTTCGTTTTTGTTTAGATCTATGATGAGGCGGTCAACATTTTGAAATTAACACCTTCAACTAACTCTGGTGCAGAAAATCATCAAACACGAAGTATATCTGTATCTCTCCCTCCAGGTGAGGGCCTTGTGATGACTGGAAGTGTCAAAGTTGTAGGTGTAGATAATGCAGCTGCTCTTCCACTTTCAATGGTGTTAGAAGAGCTGTCTGGCAGTGAAGAGCGAAGAGGAAGTTACAGCAGTGTGGCATTGGCATTGGGCAGTATTCCGAGGCTGTCTGATGTAAAAGGAATTGTGACTCAATCACTCAAAAATCAGGCTCCTACAATTACCAAGAAAGATGAGGAAGGACATTCCACTTCATCTCTTCCAACGAGCAGCAAAGATTCTCCTGTATCCAAACCAGCCAAGAAAACTGTTTACAGTTTACTTTCACAAATGGATAACGTGTCTGCATCACGAAAAAAGGGTGATGGGGAGAGTTTAGAAGTATCAAAGACTAGTGAAAATAAAAATGATGATGTAGCAGGAAGTAATAATTCAAAAGTACCTGAACCTGATGAGCCATGCAGTCCTGTGAGACTTTTGAGTTGCCGCCTACAAAGTGGTGACGGCAGTGATATGAGGCCTATTAGTTCAGGAAGTGATGATCAAAAATGTACAGCGCAATGGAGTCCATCTAGACTGAGGAAAGTAGCCACATCTTGTCAGCCAAAAGCAATATTGCATGTGGACAAACAGTCTACTGATTAGTGGCACTTAACTTGTCATTCTGTTGTAATTTATTATTATTGCCTTATGAATTGGACAGTTCCCCCATTTCATGTTCATTCTTATGATTTTAAACCATTGAAATGAAATTAAGTTTAAGATTCCTGGGTAGATAAATTACCTACCATGACCTTATTAAACCAAACTTACTGATCAAACTAGAGAAATAGTATTTTATTGTGATCATAAGCATTGCTTATGCCCTCCTGTATTAAAACAGATGTGTCTGTATGAATACTGTAAGCCAGATGATATAGTCCCAATGGTTTTAAACATTTTCTTGTTATTTTATATAATTTGAGTGAAATCTCAGGTGAATACAGCAGAATTTGTGCTTCTGTTGTTGTGATAGTGATCCCTTTCTGGGGCAAGCAATATTTTGCTTATGTAAGATTTTTAATTATCAGATAATTATTTTCTTCTCCCTTTCTCTCTTTCTTTTTTTCTGTGCTAATTGTATAGTGTGGCAAGATCTTAAGAAAAAACTCAAGCAAGTTACCTGCAGAGAAAAAAATTACTAGGAAATTGTATGCAACAGTGTTCACATGATTTGTGGGAGGTGAGAATGCATTTCATTCAAAATGTGCCAAATTATTGAAATTGGCATTACATTAATTGGTGTGATTGTTTTCCTTGCTCTGCTCCTGTTACAAATCTCTTTGTGATGACAATCTCAGGGTTTCTTTTTAACTTAACTTTAAATACCTAGTTAAAGATCTTGTCTGGTACTATACATATCTATGAATTTTGTAAGTATGTAGTATTTTATTGCTGTACAGTCTGTTAAAACTTAGAGATTTTTGAGATTCTTTCTTTCTTTTGCTATTTTTAATAACAAACCAAATTATTTAATGAAAGAAAGCAAGAAACTCAAGAGGATAGTGACCAATTCTTCTGTCATGTATTGTCTATATAGGTACTCAACCAGTCATGGTAACTTAAACTATATTGTCGCATCCCTCTTATTTTTATCTACCCTCTTGGAGAAAGCATGTGATAGGCATTTAGCATTAGAGCTTGATTTCATCCCTTTTCAGAAGGATTTCTCTAGAGTGGGTTCAGTGATGCGAGCAGAATTGCGAAATAACACTATTAACACTCAGATTTTTAATAAGCTTAATGGTTTTACGTACATTAAATGTCATAACAAATTTACATTTTGCATGGGCTAACTGTGTCACTGAGCCCAATGTAGAGAAACTCTTCAGCATTGATGATGATGATCAAGAGTATTGTATGATGATCAATGATCATTATCACTGACAATGCACCTGTTTTGGGCTCTTATTGGAGCCTCCCATGTATGGTTGAATGATGATTTATTTATTTGTTACTGAATATACATACCTTTCGTGGGCGCTATCAGACGCTTTTCTACAGTGTCTCCCTGTTCTCAGCATTGAGTTTGGTCTTATAGTGAGGTGTCTATTGCAGTATTAAAAAAAAAACTTTAAGTGCAAGAAGAAAATTGCTTTGTTTTTACAGTCCCCTATACACACTAGCACTTGTTACATTTAGCGCAGGCAACTCACTACATTTTTGTGACAGAAATGCAACTGTTCCTCGGTCTGCCTAAAAGATTTTTAAAATTAAAAATCAGCTGTCATATAACTTTGCCAAGTTTTATGAAAATCCCACAGATAAATTTCTGGAAGGTTAGAAAAACACAATTGTGGGTGAAGTTGTAGTTGCAAGGCCACGTCGTGCTTGAAAAGCTTCTAGCCAAGGGGCGTGGGGGCTCCAATCGGCTGCAGTCCGAGGGTCTTATAGGACTCTAGTGGCCTGAATGTGTATCGGAGAATTTGCCATAGTGCGGTGAGGTCTACTCACCGCCCCCACCACTAGCGAGCGAGCGGCCACGCCACTCTAGCCATCAGCCACACCACCTACAAGGAAGAGCACGCGGATCGAAAGCGATCACTCCCGCATTTTAAGTTGATTATCGTTTGAAACAAGGTGTCTTTCCCCCTTGCAACCACTCATTAAGGAAGAATCGCCATGTCATCAACTGAGGAAACCTCTTTGAAGGCGGGTCATCCCCCAGCAGGTAAAAGAATCTGAGCTTTAGTTTAGGTAAACAGTGCTTTTGTTCCCTTTGTCACGTAGGCACCACGGCAGGCAGGGCAGGCACCGACGTAACATCTGTCGACCAGTTCTAGGCCTTATATCCTCTTTTGATTTTGACGGTCAATGCGGGCAGGCTCTTCTCTTGAATTTGCTTGCTGGCAACTTTCACAGAATATTCAATAAACGTCGAATACATATTTCCAGTCTTATCACACATAAAGAATCTATACTACAATTTTTTATCTGAAAATTTTCCTTATTTAGTCCACTGCAAATGAAACATTAATTGCCAAACTGTTTGCTCTTTTGATTCTAATAATTAAATGTTTTCATCACATAATATTGATAACATTCATTAATCCCAACCTGCTGTTGCAGCAGCTTCTTTGTTCTACTCTCCATTGAGGTACATTTCACTCTCCCCCTGAAGACACTTTTAACAGTGTTAATTTGATGTCAAAGCATGCCTCTTAAATTTGCATATGTAACTTTACAACCACTTAAGTGTTGTTGCTATGCAAGCGTCAGCCACTATCTATCAGAGACCACCGGAGTGGCTTGTCAGCATTTCTCATATTTTATTTATCTATTTTCAGTTAAAGCCGGGGGCATGAGAATCTCCCAGCACAAACCTAACAAGGACAAGCCGGAGAAAGACCCCAATGCTGAGGAAGGCGATGACCACATTAACACCTTTTCTGCCGTCACTAGGTACTGACACATTTGGTATCAGTACGTTTCAATTTTGTAGATCAATATCAGTGACTTATCAATGCTGTCTGTTTCAGTCCTCCTAAAATGACCACAGTGTCAGGTGCTCCAATGAGAGGAAACGCTGACTTCCCAACTGAGGCTGTGCAACACTTCCATAACAAGCCTGTGCCGACGCATGACGCTCGACCTACCCATGACAGGCCCACCAACATCCAGCAGCCAAGGAAGCAGTAGATAGGAGCTCAAGTTACTGCAACAGCACACATTTGATAGCTTTGTTCTAAATTGAAAGATTGCCTGTGCCTTGATTGTATTGACACCTGACTTACTGGCTCAGAAAGGCTTTGTTATTCAATACCTGATCATGCTGATGCTCTGCTCAGCCAGAAAGTAGTTCAATAATTGCCAGGATGAAGCTCTATGACCTGATGTGTGTTGTTCTATGATTGATTACAGAGTAATTACTCTGTAATCCTTTGGAACTGTTTTGTACCTTGTTAATCAATCCAGTGAAATTGGTTTATTCGGGATACCTGTAATATTTTTATTTTTCAATTTAATTATGTTAAAAGTATATTTTGAAAGAATGTTTATTTTCATTTAAACCTTTGTGGTGCTGTTGATTATAATAAATTTAATTTGATTGTCAGTGTTGTTTCAAAAACAAAGTAGCCTTTTTAAAATGGGGTCTTGTAATTGCTTCAGATGTTCACAAATGCAACGCCAAATTCGATTCTTTTAGCATAAAATGAGTTGCTCTTGTACTTTTAGGACATGGTTCAATTGGTGATACTGTTTCCTTGTTTCTCCTCTGCTTGAGGCCTAATTTCTGTTATTATTCCTTTCTGGGGTTTATTTTTTTATTCCATCAAGTACAAAGCCTGTTGCACATTCCAATCAACAAGCTCTGATTGTCTCACACACTTGTTCTTGCTTTATTCCAGTTGTCAAAAGTACCTGCTTCGTAGTTTGGACAAAGACAAAGTTGCATTTGTTTGGTTATCAATTATAAATTGGTACAGAGTTGCATTTTGAAGAATTTATTGAGATTAAATCGATTAGTGTGGGTGAATATTTTACATTAGTACTGTTTTGTTTTCTTTTCCAGTTTTAAATAAGTTACTGTGTTGAAGCTTTTTTTGGGATAAAAAAAAAGTCTTATTAGCCATTGAATAGCCGGGCGTCTCTTACCTCAAGAGTTTTTGTTGAAAGAAAAGCTGTTCCAAGTCTAATATTAAAATAAAACTTTTTCAATGGATCTCTGTTTTATTTCTCCCCAGTATCCCTATTCTGGAAGGAATTAACATATCATTAAGCACTAATCCAGCTGAGTCAGGGGAGCGAGCGGATCGATTCTTCTTACGGCCGACTGGCGGCGATCATTTTCCACAGTTTGCCTTCCGCGCGCGCGCACACACACACACAAATTACGACGGAGCTTCCGCGCGAGCATGGCGCCCTGCCTCCGCACCCGCGCCCTTCCTCCTTGTCCCTCCCCTTGCCGCCGAGGCGGCATGGCGGCAGCACTGCCGCAGCCGCAATGATGAATAGGCGAATGAGAGTGATGACGGGGAGCTTGGAGCTGCCGGGCGCTGCTGGGCCCCGGTTCCACCGTGGTTCCACCGTGGGGTCCGTGGGGCTTCCCCCTCTCCGAGACCCTGGCCCCCAGCGGGGCAAGCGGGGCCGGTCCGGACGGTAGACCAGTGAAAGTACATTCCTGAAGATGGCAGCACCGGGCCGCCGCCGTCGACATCGCCGCCGCCAGCCCGGCAGGCCTGCAGGCAGGCCTAGGCCCAGCCCAAGCCGGGTCCAAGCGCACAGGGAAAGTAACCCTGGGTGCCTATGTTGATCACGGGATAGGCGGGCTGGTGACCAGCCGAGCGATTCAGAGGAGTCGTTTCGCCACTCTGTCTCTGTCGCACCCACGGGGCTCTCCGTAAGTGTGCGAAAGAGACAGGGCAACAAAACGATCTTCTGTATCGCTCCCCTGGCGCCGCCGGTTCGGGGGCAGCTGTCCCTAGTGGCGCTGGACGGTGAACAGCACAACGCGCTTCGCGTGGGAGACCCGCCACGCAGGGCGCTAGCGGCGCCAAGCGCGTGGACGCGTGGACGCAGGCCAGAGCAGCACGAGCGGGGCTGACTTCCCCTGGTTCCTGGTTCGAGTCCCGGCCGGGGACAGGAAAAGCAAGACAGCTGCTGCGGCGCTAGGCGCGGGGACGAGCGCTTTGCGGCGCGGACTTTCGGGGTGGATCCTCACTTCGTCATCGCGGTCCTCGTCGTCGTCCTCGTCGTCGTCTTCGTGCCCCCACTTGCGCAACACGCGCGGCCACGCGGTCCGCGTGCGGTGTTGGTGTTGCGACACACGCGGGGCACGACACTGTTTGCGCTGAAAAAGAGGGGGGGGGGCTATCGCTTTCACTGGTAGCGCTCGGCGCGTGCGACGGCCGCGTGCGCCGCCGTGCCGACGCTGTCGTGCTCGGAGGATTTCGGATTATGACTGCCACCTCACCGAACACGCGGCCACGCGGCCGGTGAAATGGATGACGCCCGATCCCTCCAAGCAGGGCGTGGCGGTGTGCGGCACGGCCAGGCACGGCCTCGTGAGGCAACTGCATTGATGCCTCGGGTCGCTCAGCTGACTGCATGAGAGATTGGAAAGTTGCTCCACACTAGACGGGGCGGTGCCAACCGCATGCGCACCGCGTGCTGCGTGCTGCGTGCTGGAGTGTGTGTTCAGCTCGGGTGCAGCGGCAGGGTTAGAGGGCGTGGGCGTCGAGTACATCAAGTTCCACGTCAAGCTCCCCTTCTCGGAAGGTCAACGCGCCGGTGATGGCTCATGCTCATGTCTCAGAGGGACGACCAGTCATCACGGTGGAGACTGGAGTCCCGGAGGGGCTTGGGGCTCCGCATGCTGGCCATTCTGGCCGGGGCGGCGCCGAGCACCTCGTCGGGAACGTCCGTGTCGGGGGCCGATTAGCTTCGACGCTCTGTCTCTCTCGCACTCATGGGCCGCCCCGAGACAGAGCGACTCAGGCTCGCTCGTTAGCTTGGGCGCACCACGAGTGAGTAAGCGCCCGGCCCCACTTCGCGCCACGCCAACAGCGTTTCTCGAGAACCTCACCCGGTGCCCAGCCCAGGGCGGGGAGCTCCTTGCTCGGGGTGCTGGCCATTGCAACGCCACTCTGAGGTGGCGGGGACGGGGATTCGAACCCAACCCCAAATCCCGACGCGCCCGCTTTTTCTCGTGACCGTCCGGCTGGCAGGCCGCGTGCCGCGTGCAGCCCGTGCCGTGCCGTGCCGCCCATAGAGTTTCCCCCAACACGATCCGATCCGAACCGAAATGAAGCCGCTTTCTCAATCCCAATCCAAGGCGAAATGGGCGGCGCGGCGCAGAGCGAGCTAGCCGCGCGGCCTGCGATGCACCGCAGTGCGACTTGCTCGTGCTCCCGGCGTGGCTCCCTGACAATCAGCGTCCTGGGCACAGGCCGCGATGGCCTCCTGGAGCATCTGGAGGATGGAAGGACCGTCACAGCCTAGGCTGAGAGCACTGCGACACTGCCAGGGAGGGGGCAAGGCCCGCAAGGCCATGGCCAGGGGGCCGGAGAAAGGCGGCGGGGGAGGGGGCCTCCCTCGTCTCGTCAGCCACCGAGCGGGCCGCCGCGGAGCCGCGGAGCCGCGGACGACGTGTTGTATTTTCCGTATTGGTCCGTCTTACGACCACCACCACCTCGACCACCACCTCGAGGAGCAGCCCGGCTCCAAGCCCGGCTCAGGGGGCGGTGGGGCGTGGTGGGATGCAGGATTGCCGTGCGCGGCCCCCGCCCCGCCCCGCCGCGCCGCGCCCCGCCGCCGCGCGCCACACCTCACCACGCCAGTGCTCGACCGGACCACATCGAGGACGTGCCTGCCGGTGCCTGGAGTCCGTCCAGCAGCACGTCGCCGCGCACGTCACGTGTGTGTTGCAGGGACGTGCCCTCGCGTCGCGGATTGTGCGTACGTGTGTGTGTGTGTGTGTGTGTGCGTGTGTGTGTGTGTGCGCGTGTGTGTGTGTGAGAGAGCGCGCGAATGGATCGCTCCGCGTGACCCCCTGATTGCGCCCCCTCCCCCGCCCCGGCAGCCCTGCCGCCCTCCCCTCCACCCTGCTGGACAAGTGCCGTCTGAAGGAATACTGCAGCCCGCAGCCACCCCGTCAGTCCGTCAGTCCGTCAGTCCGTCAGGCCGTCAGGCCGACACATCTACCAACGGCCGGTAAGGAACCGCAAGGACGGCGACCGACCGTCGGCATGCCGTCGGCCACTTGTTCGCAGGCAGGCAGACAAAGCAGCCTGATTCAGAGCAGTGCGTCGTCTCTACAGGCTCTACAGGCCGCCCTGTGGGTGCGAGCGAGACAGGAGCGACGAAAGCACTGCTTCGGAGTCGCCCTGCGCCCTGCAGGGCGATGCCCGCTCTAATCGCCGCTCTGCGTGATGGGCGGAGGGCTTGGCCGGCCTGGGCTGGGCTAGAGTGTGTCTACGCTACGTCGTCTGTCGTCCGATTGTGGGGCCGGGGCCGCCCGCACGCCAGAAGAGAAATGTAATCGTAGGGAGTCTTCGCGCGCTCTCTTTCTCCGTCACTTCCGGGGCACCCTGTGAGTGCGAGAGAGACGGCGAGACTGGATTGAACGAAGCGCAAGTGACGAGCCAGACAAGCAAGGCAGAGGCCGAGGCAGAAAGGGGCGACGGCGCCGAACGGTTCGGTTCGGTTCGGCCGCGGTTCGGTCGGCCGGTCATGAATATGGGCAGTCACGTACCGCGGCCACCGCCAGGGCGCCGCCAGGGCACCGCCCCCGCCGAGCGCATTTTGAAACAAAATCCTTGTTTCCTTAGCATTTGAATAGCGGCCGCTCCACACCATCGGTCCACTCGTCCTCGCCGCGTCGACGCCACACGCTAGATGCCAGACGCCGCAAATGGAAGTCATCTTCCTGGGCGGCAACCTTGACAGTGCTGCTGCTTGCACTCGTTGGAGAGAAAGCTCACTGACAAAAAATAAACGTGAAACAAGAACAGAGCGACGCTATCGAGGGCTCGGGTCCGTCCTGTCCGCGCGAAAACCGCGGAAGCTGGAGGCGGCTGGAGGCGGTTGGAGGCAGCTGCGCGGCGCCGTGATAGGCTGTCGGGGTGAAAGACCCGCCACTGCCTTCGCCACCGCCGCCTCCGCCGCCACCCACCCCGTCCATGGAGCGCGCGCGCGAGCGGTGCCCGTCGAGACTAGGAAGTGCGTGTTCTCGGTGTTCTCTCTCTGTCTCGCCGCCGGCATGCCGCCGGCGACTCCACGGGCCGATTGCCCCTTTCTCTCGCGCCGGCCGCGTGGCTCTCGTCGCGCTGGCGGGGGGAGGAGGAGGGGGGATTGCTTATGGATCCTCGGTGCATGACTTTCCTTCTTCCACGGCACCTCATCATCGTGTCATCGGTACATCGCACGCGTCATCATCGCCTCACGGCGGGCTGATTGCGTGGAGGGCCTCTGTCTCTCGCACTCATAGGTCGTCATACGTGCAAGAGAGATGATAGAGTCCCCCTGCAGCCCCACAGCGTGTGCGCGGAGCGCCTGGCGTCCTGGTGTCGGCAACACTCGCACGGGCGCGCGCGCCGGGACTGCCTACCCGCACGGCGATCGGCGCTCCAGCGGCTGGCCTCGTCGCTCTGTCTCCCTTGCACCCTGCGGCGTGCCCCAAGAGTGCGAGAGAGGCAGAACGACGAAGGCACTGTTTCAGCCTGCAGCCGGCCGCGTCTCCAATCAGAGTGTTTCCGTACTAATGGGGGTGTTCGCCGGGCAAAAACCAGATCTGTTTCTCTTTTCCGAAAGGCTGCTCAAAACAAAACACAAGCGTGCTTCCGCGCACCGTGCCGTGCCGCGCCGCGCCACTCCGCCGAATGGAAGCCGAACCCGTTCTGGACCCGCCGCTTCACCTTCCCTTTCACCCGGTGAACAGAAAGGAACGAGACGGACCACTTAGCCTTGGCGGCAGCGCGGCAGTGTTGACGTCGCCGGGGCGGTCAGGGCGGTCGGGCTCGTCGGAAATGTGAAAGAACGCGGTGACGTCATCGTGATCGCCATCGCCAGACTCGGCGGGCGGCGCGGCGCGCGCGGCGTCCTGACCTAGCCCCGCGGCCTGCTTCATCGTGATTGTGGTCGCGACCCTGCCCCTGGCACCGGCAGCGCTGTGGCGTGGCGTCTGTGGTGGCGCGCGCCCGCAGACCGACTCGTGTCGGTTCCGTCGATCTGTCTCTCTCGCGCTCATGGGCCGCGCGGCGTGAAGCGACGCAACAGCAGTGCCGTCCGGGCGGCTGCAGACGGCGCCGAATCGGCGTCGCTTTGGACGAGGACGACGACGCCGTCGTGCAGCTGCGGCGACGGGCCGCCCGCACCTTCGGACGCAACTGCCGCGCGTCTGGCTGGCCGAGTGTGACGGCGAGCCCGCCCGGCCCCGGGCCCGCGCGCCAGGGTGACTCCCGACTCCCGCGTCCCGCTCGGTCCCGCTCCGACGCTGCCTTCCTCGCGAGATGGCGGTGCGGCAGTGCGGCATTGAGTGAAAGTAAACAGTTTACGGCGTGGCGTGTCGCTCCGACGGCGGCGGCGGTGGCTCCGTCTGGTGGCGCCTGCGGAAAGCACAGCCTCAGCCACCTCGGGGTACCTTCGGGTACCTCGGAGCGCGGGCCGCTTCCTCGTGGCTCGCCGCGCATGAGGGCGTCGTCTTGGAATAAATACAATATCGATGAAACAGTAACGTAGTGATTCTTCCTCTGTCCTCACACAGCGTATTGTGCTAATCAGAGCTTTTCTGCCGCCAGGGTGGTGACCTGCTGGCCGTCATGCTGGCCTCCTTCTCCTTCGGCCGGACGGGTCCGCTGCACCGCCCCCTGCTGGTTCCGCTGCTCTGGGTGTGCCTGCAGGGCCTGCACGTGGCCACGGCGGGGCCCTCGGCGTCGCCGGCCATCGCCGCCCCCCCGCAGTCCCTGAAGCCGCCCAAGCTGGCGTTGGAGCTCGACGGTGCGTCTCGGACGTCTCGGACATTTCGATGGATCGATCATTGGGGACCCCCGCGGTGTGGTGGATGGACTACGCACCGGCCATGCCAGCCGGTTCGCGTCTTCCCACCGCGTGTTTTTTAGGGCGCTCGACGGCGGCCTCCTCCCCGCGCGGCCCGCACTGTCCCCGTGCCGTACACTTGGCCCACCTGGCCGGGACGGGGCGCGGGCCGGGCCGGCCGGGGCAGTCATTGTGACGCAACCATACGCGCGGGCTTTACGATGTGAAAGTACCGAGAGCGGCGCGCGGCGCGAGTGTTATGAGTGTGCATGCGAAGCGGCAGCGGCGCGGCCCAAACACGGTCTGGGCCACGCGCATTGTTATGGTGCGTATCGGAGCGGCGTCGTCGCGGAGGGGAGGAGGGAGAAGTGAAGGCAAGAGACAAAGTCATCTCGGAAAAGGTTAGGAGCAAAACGCACTTGTGTAATGTGGGGGCAACCCTGCGAAGACCGTGGGACGGATGGGGACGGGCCCGACGGGCCCCATAACGCCCCGCCCCCCGCCCCCGACAGTGGCGTCGCGTGGCGGCTGGAAACGGGATGACAGTCCCATCGCGGCACGTGTGCGTGTGCGTGCCGCGTGCATGTCGGCAGGAAATTGCCCTTTTTTCTGCGGCTCGGGGACGTCCTGTGTGGGAAGGAGAGGGCCTGCGTCTTTTTCCTTTCTCGCCGCCACCGCCTTCGCCTTTGATAACATCGGTCTGTCTGCCGTTGCAGGAGACGAGCTGCTGAGCCAGACGACGACCAACGACGCGGACGCCTCGCTGGCCGGGCTGGCCGCCAACGAGAACGGCTCCACGCGGTTCTTCGACGACCTGCGTAAGTGCCTCCTGCAGTGCGGGGCTTTGGTTGGCCTCATGCGTTCACGTCTCCGCGCCGGACGACCGGCCACACCAGGTTCCCAATGGTTCCCAAGCGACGACGGCGCGCCCGCCGCCGCCACCGCGACGTGCCGGCCGAAATCAAGACGAGAACCAGTCTCGTCTCGACGCCCCGCGCCGCCCCGCGCCGCCCCGCGCTCTGCCACCTTGCCGCGGCCTTGGCGTGACCCAAGCCCGGCTGCCCCTGGCTGCCCCTGGCCGTGCATGTCCCGCAGGACTCCACCGCCGGCCGCGTGGGGGCGCCACCGGCCGCGCACCCGCCGCGCCGAGCCTGCGTTATTATTGTTATTGCTCTTTAGTTGTCGCTTCGGTTGTTTTTGTTGCCGTTGTTCTTATTATTTTCTAAGCTGCCGCTCTGGTTGTTGTTGTTTTTGTTGTTATCCTCGCCGCCGCTTGGCGCGCTTGCCGCTTCACTTTCTCCGGCGCGATGATAGTCCTGCCTCGACCCGCCTTGCCGCCGTTCTGCGGAAACTTCCGAGCCGCTGCAGCAGCAGCAGTCGGCGGCGGGACGGTGACGGCCCGGCTTCCGTAATGATTATGTGCCTCACAGGGATGACTCTGGAGTATTGGCAGAGCGTTGCGTGGCGCGTGGCGCGTGGCCTGGCTGCCCGACTGGGCCTGGCTGTCGCGCTGTCGCGCTGTCGCTTCGCGGCCAGCGGCGAGCCAGTAGAGCAGTGCGGGCACGGCCCCCCCGCGGCCCCCCAGCGGTGCCCCGGCCGTCGCGAAGAAAGGCCTTGCCCAATGCCGGCGTGGCCGTGTCACCGCGGGGGCCGCGGCACTGCTTCCTGATAATCCATTGCGACATTTGCACCGCGGCCAGGCAGGCAGGCAGGCACACTGGCAGCCGGGCCGCGCGGCGCGGGGCAGTGAAATGGCGAGCGGCTTGCGCGGCTGTCGGGCTGCTGGCGGTGGCCGACTTCACTTCCCGGCCGACAAGCACGGCGGCGAGCAAGTGTCAAACGGCGCGATGTGTGTGGAGATGGGCCCACAGTGGCCGCCGGGCCACCGCCGACATTGTGTCACAGGGGTGGGAACTGGGCTTGGCGGTCGGCTGTGGGCTGGCCCGGGGCGTGGTGGGGTTGCCGCCGGTTGCGTGGCGGGGCGGGGCGGGGCGGGGCGGGGCGCGGCGGGGAGGGGCGGGGCTGCACGTCGCTGCGCTTTCCCCGCCCTGCTGCGCCCCGCGGTACCCCGCCCCCACTCCCGGGGGGCTTTGGGGCTCGCGGCTCGGGCCGGGCGGGCTCCGTGCTGGCGGACTCCATTCAAGTCCGTGATCGCGCTGGCGCAGGCTGGCTGTGCAGAGGAGAGTGTTTGCCAGCAGCAGCGTGCACTCGGCCGAGTTCGGCGGGCCGCGCGGACGGAGCTGCAGGCCGCGGCGAGGCACTCTCGCTCTCGACGGCCAGGGCCAGGGCCAGGCCCAGGGCCAGGCCCCTATAGTCTCCCCAGGCCATGCCGACGCCCACGGGGCGCCGCGGCCACAGCACCGCGCACCGAGCCTTTTTGGATTACCGCCAGCATCCCTCCGCATAACGAGAAAGAAAGTGCCAGTGCGAGTGTGTGCGCGTGTGTGTGTGAGTGAGGCAAAGCAGCAGGCTGGCCGTGGCCCATGCCCTGACATGAGGCGTGTGCTCGTGGTGGTGCTGGCGGCGACGCTGGCCTGCGTCCTGCCGCACGGCAGTGATGGCCACGCCGCGGGTTACTCTCGCGGCCCCAGGATCCCGACGCCCTACCAGTCGCTCGCCTCCACGCCGTCGGACGCGCAGGCCGACGCGCAGGCCGACGCGCCCGCCCTCAAGACCAGGCGCGCCTTCTTCCCGGAGACAGAGGACGACGGTGACAACCACCACGACGGCGGCCATGGCGGCTTCCACGACGAGGACGTTGCCTTGGACCGGCCCCGGGACTCGCGCAGGCTGCCCGGGGGACCGCACGACCAGGAAGCCCTCCTTCTGGGCCTCCTCGCGCACAAGCACGGCAACAGCAGCACCGGCCTGAGCGTGCCGGACAACCCGCGTGGCGTGCAGGGCAGCCTCATGGACATGTTGAGCAAGAGTGAGTACGAGTCGTCACCGACACGGTCTAGCACGAGCTGCTTCTTGTGGCTGCCGGTGGCTGCACTCCGACGCGCGCCTGAAAGCCTGAAAGCCTGAAAGCCGCGAAGCCTGTCGGGTCGGGCCGCTTGGAAGCTTGGCGGCTTGGAAGCGGCCAAGCGGCGAAGCGGCCAAGCGGCGAAGCGGCCAAGCGGTTGCAGCAGGTCTGCAGCGTACATGGAAGTGCACCACACTTCGCCATCTCGTGATGCCCTCTGTCGTCTGCCCAGGGGAAAGCTCGCGGCGTGTCGAAAGTATGTCGTCGCGACGTCCTCGCCGACGAATCGAAACAACAACACACACAAAAAAAGAGATGACAGTCTGCAGGACTGCTGCTCGATGACATTCCCGCTCGGACTCGTCACTTCTTTCCCGTTTGGGGAATTACGAAACCGAATGCTTTGCTGGTCCCTGGTCGCGTGCCGCCCGGCCGGACAGTCTGGCCAGTCTGGGCGGTGGCGGAGCGAGGTGCGGAGCGCGGTGCGGGGTGCGGGGTCGCGGGGAGGGGCGGGGCGGCGGCCCGATCAGGGCGCCTTACGCGCGCGCCATCGGCAACCCGTTGCACGTGCGCGTCGCGCGGGCCGAGGCGTGCCTACGTCGCAGGCGCCCTGAGTGCCCTAGACGGGCCGACAGACGGAGGGCAGTGGAGAGGAAGGTGCCCTGGCCCTGACCCTCGGCTCTGCTTGCTGTGCCCGGGGAGCCGCTCTATCCCGGGAACGACTCCCGCTGATTTCTACTCCCCTTGTTTTCGCCGGTGCCCTGGCGCCCTGAGGCCTGCAGCCCGAGATGCGACAGATGGGCCGGCCGCCAATTAGCACGTCGTGACGCCCCCGACGCCCCCGACGCCCCGCGTTCCGTTTTCGTTGGCCGGGTCGCTCTGTCTCTGTCGCACTGGTGGGGCGTACCGCAGGGGTGCGAGAGAGACAGAGCGGGGCCGGCCCTGCGCCCTGCGCCTGTTGCCACGCCAATGGGCAGACTCTCTTCGCGCCCGCCGTCCCTCCGCCCCGCTCCACTGCTCTCTCTCCCTCTTACGTTTTCTCTGCTTCCTGCCAAAAGCCTTTTAGCCTTCGGAGAGATGCACGACCTAAACGGGCGGCGCGCGGCCGCGGCCCAAAAATCGCACCCGCCGCCCGCCTCGCGCGGTGCTTGCTGCCAGTGGATTCCCAACAGTGCTGTTGTCGCTCTGTCTCCCTCGCACTCACGGGGCGAGTGAGATGGCGATGGAGCACTGCGCGGAATCAAATCTCGGGACTTGGAAGCAGTCCGAACAGCGATGCGCCCTGCGCGGGGCAGATGCTCTTGTGCGTCTTGTGCATGATGGCGCTCCAGTTTATGCGTTCAACGGAGACCTCCGCGCCGAGTGGAGCCGAGCGCCTCCGAGTGCAGCCGGGACATGTCGGGCATGCCGAGCCGAGCCCAGCCCTGGACTTTCTCCGTCCGTTTCCGCCGAGCCGAGCTCAGGTCTCCATTGTCGTATTATTGGTTTAAACGATTCACCTCTTGGCCTAGGCTGGCCTGGAGGCCAAGGGAAGGGCCCCCGCCACGCCCCGCCACGCCCCGCCACGCCCTACCAAGCACTATTGTGGAGCATTGTGAAGGCGAGGATCTGCATCAGAATGGGGCCACACGACCTCCTGTATCACGGAGCCGAACGCGTTCTTGTAACTTGGTAAAAGGCCTCCCGTTTTCCCACGTTTTATTTCGAGCACGGCAAAAGAGAACGTTGGACGAGGGACGCGCGTGTTGCAAATTCCGGCGGACGTCGCGAGGCCCCCAAGTGTCACCGGGCCGGCGTGGGGCCCCACGGTGGGGTAGGCGGGCCTCTCGCTGCATTGCTGCAATGTGGCACTCGCATCGCCCCGGCCGGCCCCGGCCTTGGGGCACCTCGACGCGCCTTGACGCACCTTGGCGGCCGGTGGCGCTGTCACCGGCGGTACACGTTACACACGTTAGGCGCTTTGGCCGAGGCGGCGACGGGACTGGACCGAGTCCGAGGCCGTGGGGGTGAGGACGCATCGCAGTGTCAAAACAAAGCACCGTAAATTGGTGTGACCGAAACGCAACGTTTTACCTGATAATTTTCATCTGTTTTACAAGTTCCTTGATCAGCGTCTCCATGTTCTACAGCAATCCAAACTAAGAGACAAACCAACTTGCTGCTCCAAATGATACTTTTAAGACAGTGTCGGAGTCGGTCCGTTTGCCGACGTCGCCCCAATATCAGGAAACTGACCCTAGGGTCAGTGTGACGTGCATATGTGCACGTGGCGTCGCTTAGTGACTCAAACTACGCTGCCCTACTTTGCTGCTGCTTGTCTGTTGTTGTTGTCGTTTTCGGGAAATGGGCATGGCGACTTTGCGCAACCCCCTCCCCCTCACTCCCCCTCCCCCTGCTCCTGCCTCGCGCTCCTTGCCGCTCCATTCCGCTCGGGCGACTCGGCCTGGCGGCCTGGCTCGGCCGCACTGCTGCGGTGCGTGGCGGTGCTACGCGCTACGCATGGCGGAGGACCGCGGCGGCAGCGGCCAAGACGGTGGCAGCCCATGGCGGCGGGCCGGCCGGGCAGCGGGCAGCGCCGCCGGGTTCACCACGAGGAGGGCCAGCACGGCCAGCACGGCGGCCTGCAAGCGCAGCAGTGATGCGGCGCGCCGCCCTGTGCCCCGCCTTGCAAATGGCACGCTGTCGCGCGGCCCGTGACTGATCGCTGCGCCTCCTCGGTGGCGCGTCGATGTTGAGGTGCATCTTGGCGGCGGCCGCGGTCAATCGCCTCCCCCCTCCTTTTGTTGGAGGGAAAAAAGAGATGACCCCGACGGCGCAGCGGCGCAGCAGCGCAGCAGACCATTTCACACGAGGGGGACTAAACAAGCGATGCATCCTTCCGCCGCCGCCTCCCCGCTCTGCTTCGCGAGCTTCGTTATTTCGTTGTTGTTCCTCAGGAGTAAACAAAGGGCCTCGGGGGCCTGGCCGAAGGCTGCTGTCTCGCCAGTAAAAGACTTGGCCGTTTCAGTTCCCACAGCGCAAGTGGGTTCAAAGGTCAAGGATGCTCCAGAGACGTGCGTTGTGGGTTGCCTACCCGGCAGCTTGGAGATGTGCTATTTTCTTCAACACCACGACTGGGTTTGTGTTTGCAGTGATCCCGCAGACGTGCTGGTACAACTCGGAGCAGTTCGACTGCGGCCTCAGCCTGTCCTGCGTGCTGGAGGGCGGCCGCCCGCTGGACCTGTGCTCCGGGGGGCTCATCTGGTCGTGCTGCGTGGCGCCCAGCAAGGTGGAGACGGCCGACCCGAACGTCGGCGCCCTGGAGAACGCGAGTGAGTAGGCCGGCAGCAGCTATGGCCTTGTTGTTGTCGTTGTTGTTGTGTATGTTGCTACTTTGCTGCTGCTATGTGTGGTCGGATGGGAAGGGAGGGTCGTAGGGTTGGTAGAACTGTTTTGGTGCAGCGGCCCTGCGGCCCTGCGGCCCACAGCACGCTCTCTGGGCTGCCACGGGGCTGCAGAGCGGTGCGTTCCGCAGTCCCGCAGTCCCGCACAAGCAAGCTGAGAGTTGAACTGTGCAGACCAATTTCAGCACGCCCTCCCCCACCTCGCCAAAGACATCAACTTGACCAAAAACGCGACAGACTACTCCTCGAAACAACAAACACCACGACCAAGGACATGATACGAACCTCGACAGATTATTGTGTTTCCCCCGTGCCCCCCGCCCTTCCTCCCCTCCTTTGACGAGCCCGGTGTGACCGCGCGCCCTTAACCCCCGTGACGTGCTCGTCCCGGCCACGGCTTGTCGCAGCCCTGGAGTTCCTCCTCCAGCACCACCCTGGCCTAAGCGGCGGCCTGGCCTCCCTCCCCGGCCAGGCGATGGACAGCGCGACCAGCGCGTCGCGGCCCCACGCCTACTACAGCAACCACCTGGACCGGCCCGGCCCCGGAGCCGCGTCCTCGCAGCCCGGCCAGCCGCCGCCCTTCGACCGGCCCAAGCGCCCCACCATCTACTACTACTACCAACACTCGACGCCGCCGCCGCCGCCACCCCCGATGCCGCCCCCGGAGGTGTTCTACCTGCGCCCCGGCGGGGGCCACTTCACCCGGCCGGGGTACCTCCCCCAGGACGGCCCGGGGCCCAACGGGGCGCACTTCGGCGGGGGAGGCGGCGGCATGGGCCACGCGGCCGAGTTCGTGAGCGTGAACGGGCTGACGGTGCTGTCGCCGTTCTCGGACAACGCCACCAGCAACCACCTGGACGCGGTCCACGCGGACTTCCACACCAACAGGCCGCTGCTAGGGTCCGCCTCCAGCCACGGCTACGGCCAGACCCTGGGCCAGACCCTGGGCCAGACCCTGGGCCAGACCTCCGCCTCCTCGCCCTCGGCCCGCGGTACGGACTGCAGCGGCTGCCACTGCAACCCACTGCACCGTATGGCAACGCACCGCTCCGCACCGCGTCGCGACGCACCCACCGCGACGCACCGCACCGCGACGCACCTCGCACCTTTTAAAACTCTCACCCCGTCTCACTCGCTCGCTCGGTCGCCCTGCTCGCCGTGCTCTCCTGGCTGTGCCCATGCTGTCCTGTCGCTGTCCTTTCTTCCTTGCCGGGCTGCTGTCGGCCACCTCATTCCGCCCCGCACTCGCAGACACACACTCACACACACACTCACTCACTCACTCACTCACTCACTCACTCACACACACACACACACACACACACACACACACACACACACTGACATGCGGAGACACACCCACACATCTGTCGTCCTTTTCATTACCTTCCTCTCTTTGGCGGGGCTCCTTTCGGTTGATGTATCCTTACTTCCCTGCTGCCAAACGACAAAGTAGTGATACTCACTTCCCCCGCTTCTTTCACTGCTCTGGCGCCATGGCGGGGCTGTGTAGTCCAGTAGTCGGGTTCTTCCGTAGCAAGCCTGTCTGTTGGCAATAGTGTGGGTGGCGATATAGTCTGGCGCATTTTTGCAAGTACGTCCCTTGGCCAAGTTGGAGAAACTGCGACCCATGACTCCGTCCTGCTTTCGTTCCAGGCTGCGGGGAGCTCTACATGAGGAGCAACAGGATCGTCGGCGGCCACAGCTCCAATTTCGGCTCCCACCCGTGGCAGGTAAGTCTCTAGTTTTCGCGACACCCCCCCCCACCTCCCCCCGTTTTGTTTCGTCATTACGTGACTCCTCGCGACGGCAGACTTTTAATCTGCCAAGGCGGGAAACGAGTGAAATTGCCTCGCTGAATGCAAGACTGCGTGGCGCGGCGCTGTTATCCTTCATCCTTTTCACGACGTCGCTGACGTCGCCGCGCTCGTCTGGCGTCCCCGCGCCCCGCCACGCGCCGCCGTGGATGCGTGCTGTCACCCGCCGCGCCGCGCCGCGCCTCGCCTCGCCACGCCGCGCCCCGCCGCGCCACTACCCGTTCTGATGCAACCACGGTGCCTCCTGTTTGCTGTGTTGCAGGCCGCCATCATCAAGTCCGGCTTCCTCTCCAAAAAGCTGTCCTGCGGCGGCGCGCTGCTCAACGACCGCTGGGTGGTGACGGCCGCCCACTGCGTCGCCACGTGAGTCCTGCCGCCACTCCGAAGGGCCGCCTCGTCCAGCCTCGTCGCTCTGTCCTGTCCTGTCTCTCTCGCACCCTAACGGAACGCCCCATGAGAGCGACAGAGGCTGAGTGATGAGGCGATCCCTCGGAATCAGTTGGCCGAGTCCTGAGTCCGACAATCGCTGTTGACGAGGCGCGATGCGCGATGCGCGATCCGCCCGCCGACCTGTGACAGTGTGACGGCCGGTGACGGCTGACAGCGCCCTGACGAGTCACTGACGGGCTCCTCCCCTTCTTCCTCGGCAGCACGACCAACAGCAACCTGCGCGTGCGGCTGGGCGAGTGGGACGTGCGCGACACGACGGAGCGCCTGCACCACGAGGAGTACGCCGTGGAGCGCAAGGAGGTGCACCCCCAGTACAGCCCCACGGACTTCCGCAACGACCTGGCGCTCATCAAGCTGGACAAGCCCGTGTCCTTCAAGCAGCACATCCTGCCCGTGTGCCTGCCCGACCCGGGCATCAAGCTGGTGGGCAGGACGGCCACGGTGGCGGGCTGGGGCCGCACCAGGCACGGTGAGCAGTGGGCACTACATCAGCCATCGGCCCAATCAGTTCGGCCGGTCGGCACGGCTCAGACTTTCCGGTTGTTTCTCGGGAGAAATGGCGGCTTATCATTAGCATTTCTCGGAGGCGGACAAACAAGGCGGTGGCGCCAGCCTGGCCAGGGCGGCAGGGCGGCCGGAAGAGAAGGGGCAGGCAAGGCAGGCAAGGCAGGCAAAGCAGGCAAGAGCACGCTTCACTGGCGGGGGAAAGTGCGTACCGTGACGTGACGCCGACGCCGGGACTCCAGGACGCCGGTGAAGGAGCTGGCTGGCGCCGCGCTGGCGCCTTGCCGCCGGAGGGTACCCGAGGTACAGGGGTACCCAGCAGACTGAATCCGAGACTCGTTTTTCGTCGCTCTGTCTCTCATGCACTCGTGGGAGTCCCGCAAAGGTGCGAGAGAGACAGCGACGATAACGACTCTCGGACTCAGTCTGCAGCACCGGGGAAGGACCATAACCCTTTCGCCGCTCCGCCGCCGCCCCGCCCCCCGCCCGCTCCAACTAATCTCGATGCACGAGGCCCCTCAGCCGATATCGAGCTGCGTGCCTTTCTCTGCCTTTTCCACTTTTTCTCTCCTAACCTGACTTTTCTTTTCTTGCGCGCGGCGGCTCGGCAGGTGTGTCCACCGTTCCCACCGTCCTGCAGGAGGTCGACGTGGAGGTGATCGCCAACGACCGATGCCAGCGGTGGTTCCGGGCGGCGGGCCGGAGGGAAACCATCCACGACGTCTTCCTGTGCGCGGGCTTCAAGGAGGGCGGCCGCGATTCGTGCCAAGTGAGTGTCGTGTTAGGTGGCGCCGGCAGGCCTCATCGTTGTTCAAAACCGAGTGACAATTCTTGTTTGTGTCTGCAGGGTGATTCCGGGGGCCCTCTGACCATGACGATCGAGGGCAGGAAGGCTCTGGTCGGCCTCGTGTCTTGGGGCATTGGCTGTGGCAGGGAGCATCTCCCCGGAGTCTACACCAACATACAGAAGTTCGTGCCGTGGATCAACAAAGTGATGGTCTGAACCGCTGAACTGAGACTGAGCTCCGGTCCAAGGTGGATGTCTTACCAAAGAGCTTGAAGCGCTCGCAGCGCCAGCGCCCAGCGCCCCTGGCGGCGCGCGGCGGAACTGCTGCAAATCGCGCGACGCGCGCCCAGTGTGAAATTGTGCGCCCTTCCGCCTCCGGTCTCCGTCGCGGCAACGGCAACGACATTGGCAACTTGGCTAATCCGGAGTGTTTTGGCTCCGGTTTGGCGACGGTGGTTGAGCGCCGCGACTTCTGAGGACTGAGATAGCGACTCTTCTGCTCATTTGAAGTACGAACTGAGTGAAATATTTATTTAATTTTGTGGGTGATGCATCACACAATATAAATTCTGGTGTCAAAATGTTACCAAGTAGGAGTTCTCTACCAGGCAACATGAGACAGATTGATCTGTTTAATGTGCCGATTCAGCAGAAGTGCCAACTGTCATAACAATTATTCTATCTGCATGAGGCAATAGAGTAATATATTTTACGATTTAATCGTAGTTCAACTAATTTCCAGTGCATCAGAGATTGTGCTTCAACCTGAAGACTGGTATGTTAAGGGATAGAGCAAGTTTATGTAAATATATTTATATGGTGGCCTTGACTGTGACTTAGGAATCAATTGTGGTGATACTGCACTCCTGTATCTTGTATGTGATAACCATATGCTGCAATGGCCTGTTACCTCAGGAATACCTTGTCATATTGTCTGTTTCATAAAGCTTCTCTCCATTCAGGTGCGCTGACTGAGATTGTACCACATTGGTATCTTTGCGCACAGCTTTAATGACTAGAGAACCTTTGTTAGATCAAACGGATTAATATTTTTCCACCCCTTTGTGCTATTTATTTATTGATTGTAGGAAAAATCTAGTAGATATGATGCTTAGGATTTAATTGTAAATGTTCCCAATTCCCATAAAGAGAGAAAAAGAAAAGAAAGAAATTTTATGTTTAACAATTTTTGTAAATACAGATGGATCTGCATCAGACATTAAATAACTTGAATATGCCAGCAATGAACTTTTATTGTCCCTGAACCCTGCCACAAATGACAAAAGGTTTTCAAACAAACATCCTTTGGCTCTGAAAAATTAAAAATATTTTTGTAAAATAAATAACAGGAATAAAATGCTAAACAACATGGCAGTTCTTACAGAGCGAAATGAGAATGGAGGTCAGGTCAATTTTCTCTCCTTTCACAACAGCAACAATAAAAATAATTAAAACAAAAACAGAATCAAAACGGAATCACAGGTGTTACTAAATCAGCAGCTCATAGCTGCACATGACCTAGACTAACTGGAGTACAAGTAAAATATTTGTCTGTTATCAATATAATGCATTCAGAATAATTGCAATATCACTTTGGATTTCATCAATAAAATGGGCTCACACTTCTAAGTACAATCCTAAAATATGAGTGATGCTTAAATCAAAAATTACATACATGAAGTGGAGCACAGCAGAAAATGAAGCACTTCTTATCATTTATATCATGACTTGTACTGATTGTTACTGCTAAAACACTAACTGCAGTGCATCTTTCGACCATTATTGCTATGGAATACGGGATAAGACAAGATGTTCAATTGACTCCATCATATGGTTTGAACTTCAGTTGATTGGTAATATCATTGCATTCCACAAATCAAAATAAAACAAAAGTGAATCCTACAGTTACAAGAGCTTCTTTGCATCTTGGAATATTCAATATGACTGGATCTTCCCTCTTTACCACACTCTGATGTCTTTACCACTGCTTCTTGAGGAAGTTGATCAATCCGTTTGTGGAAGAATCGTGAGATGAGACAGGTGTGTTGTCCACAAGTTCAGGTTCAATAGCCTTAGCAAGCTGCTTGCCAAGCTCAACTCTGAAATAAAAAAAAAAGAGGCAACTTAGGAACATATCACAGAGAAGACATTGGGATCAGAAAAGAAACGTCCTTCAATTTAAATTTTCTAAATTTAAAAATTAAAATTCCTACCCCCACTGGTCAAAGGAGTTAATGTCCCAGATGACTCCCTGAGTGAAAATCTTGTGTTCATACATAACTGTAAAAAATAAGATAAGAAAGCAATGTATTAGTACCCTTTAAAAGCATATTCTAGTATATGCAAAATAAAAAGGGGAAATATTTCCCATACCAATCAGAGCTCCCAAGGTGAAAGGAGTAATCTTCTTGACAACAATGGAATTGGTTGGCCGATTTCCAGGGAACACCTTGTGGGGTAAAATCTTCTCCAGATCAGGGCTCTTCATGCCAGAGGCTTCAAGCTCCTTCTTTGCCTCTTCAGAAGTCTTTCCCTTCATCAGAGCTTCAGTTTGTGCCAGGAAGTTGGCCAAAAGAATCTAAAAAAAGAGTATGAATTCATACCAAAATTGTGTGAACAGAAGATTGAGGAGATTGAGCATTTCCATTTTCTTTACAGACCTTGTGATGCATGCCTCCGCGAATGGGGTTGAGGGTCTGGGCGGGGGCGATGAAGTCGGCGGGCACCACACGGGTTCCTTGGTGCAGGAGCTGGTAGAAGGCATGCTGCCCATTAGTACCAGGCTCACCCCACACAACAGGGCCAGTGCTGTAGTTTACGGCATCTCCGCTTCGGGTTACTCTCCTTCAAACACAAACAAATATAATGTAGGACTCGGCAAAATTAAAAACTATGCTGACATTTATCTCAAAGAAAAAGACTAGTTGACATACTTTCCATTGGATTCCATATCACCCTGCTGGAAGTAAGCAGCAAATCTGTGCAGGTATTGGTCATATGGAAGAAGAGCATGGGTTTCGGCTCCATAGAAGTTGTGGTACCAAACACCGAGCAGGGCAAGAAGAACAGGAGCCTGAAAGTAGAAAAGATGGTAAATTGATGCTAGCTATGGGAGTGAGAAGATAACACTTAAAGAAATGACTCACATTTTTCTCCAGAGGAGCAGTACGGAAATGGTTGTCCATGTAGTCAGCTCCAGCCAACAATTGCTCAAAGCGGTCAAAACCAATGTAAAGGGCAATAGATAGACCAATGGCGGACCAAAGAGAATACCGGCCACCAACCCAATCCCAGAAGCCAAACATGTTGCGCTCATCAATACCGAACTCCTTCACTTTAGGTCCGTTTGTTGAAAGTGCAACAAAGTGCTTGGCAACTGCACTTGGCTGGTGAATAGAATAAATTATTATTGAACTCAAACAGCATCAACATTTGACCATAAAGATAATTTTGAAAACCAACTCACGTCCTTAGCAGAAGTTAGGAACCACTCTTTGGCAGATGTGGCATTGGAGATGGTCTCCTGGGTGGTGAAGGTCTTAGAGGCAATAATAAACAGAGCTGTCTCAGGGTTCAGCTTCTTGAGGGTTTCGGCCAAGTGGGTGCCGTCCACATTGGAGACAAAGTGAACTCGGGGGCCAACAGCATAAGCCTTCAAGGCCTCAGTGACCATCAAAGGTCCCTAAAGATGCAGACAAAGATCACAAAAGTTAGTTGGGTAACAAGTAGTTTTCTTTGTAGCGCTGAACTCATGATCACTCCAGCTTTCATTCAAGCCAGCCATAGCATTCATTATTAAATTTATCAAATATATAATCACTCACCAGGTCAGAACCACCAATACCAATGTTAACAACATCCTCAATAGGCTTTCCAGTGTAGCCCTTCCATTCCTTGTTAATAACCTAAATGTAAAAACGAATTAATACCTAGCATCACTTTATAGATGAAACCTGGAATGCTGATTTTGATCCTTACCTGACCACAGAATTCCTTCATGTGGCTCAAAACGGCATTTACATCAGGCATGACGTCCTTGCCGTCGACAAGGATTGGAGTGTTCTTCCTGTTACGCAGAGCAACGTGCAGGACAGCACGGCCCTCAGTGAAGTTGATCTTCTCACCCTTGAACATGGCATCACGCATGGCCTCCACTTTCCTTTCCTTGGCCTGCAAATGAATTAAGTGACAGATGTATTACTTCAGAGCAGCAACAGCAATATAGCTGCTCAAAAGCAGCACAAAGCCATATTTACCAGTTGAAGAAGCTGAGCCAGAATTTCATCATTGATGCGGTTCTTGGAGTAGTCAAGAAGGATAGGGCCATCATTGGGAGTGTCCAAAGTCAAGCTGAAACAACCAGGAAGAATTGCAATTAAATTGTGGGACGTGATATGACTGAAAATGTGATTGGAAAATCATTACATCTTTACATCATACAGACATGATGTTCATTGAAACTAAATATCCAATAGAATAAGTAGAGAGAAGTAAGGAAAAAAGGCACTCTGCCAAACAATATGAATTACTACCCATTCAAAATTATTCAGGGTTGACACTATGATGCAAGCGTTGTGAAACTTATCAAATTTCAGCTTATTTAGAATGAAAATCATAATGATCACAAGGCGAAGTAGACGCGAAATTGATCCATCCCCACAGGATTACCACATTTCATTAACATAACAACACAGTCATTGTGTCAAAGTTCGGACGCTGGTCGCGAAATGTCAAAATGACACACGTGGGAAACAACGTCAAAGAAGGAAAGGTGCCGTTCGCGAGATATCTGCATGTGACAGGACCCCCCTCATGAACTAGAAAAGCGTCAAAATCACAAGTGTACCATAGAGAAAGCACGAATGTGACGCGTAAACAAGCACAATGTCAGCTCAAGGTTAAGGTTACGTACCTATACTTCTCAAACCGCTTGGGATCGTCCTTAAACAACTGGTTGATGTTGAGTTTCTCGCCGACGGCAGCGTGGGTCTCCTTCAGCTTTTTCCATGACAGTTCCTCGGCGAGCTTCATGATTGGACCGGCGAAGTGCGAAATTGAACCGCTTGGAAGAGAGCGCCCGGAGTACTGGACTGGACAACCTTCGTTTCGTCTGCTACAGCCGTTCGCCTTGCCTTGCCGACTCGACGGCTCGGCTCGCCACGGCACGGGCTCGTGCTGCCAATCTTTCGGCGAGAAACAGCTGTTCGATACCGGGTTGCCAACGCACCGCCATGCGAGCGCGCGAGCGCCAACGTTCGGTTTAGTCCGCGCAGGTGTTCCGCTTTAATCCGTTTATCGGATGGAAACTTTTTCTCGCCTCAATGCGGACTGTGACGTGCATCTCAGAAAAGCTCCGCCGAAGGAACTCGACACCATAACCAAAACAAAAATAATCGGGATAGGCGATATTGAAAGGTGCCGGGCGGTGGCAGCGCGGCAGCTTCCGCTCTTCGTCTTCAGCCCCTCCCCCTCCTCCCCTCCCTCTGCTCCTCCTCGCCGCAATCATTTTGACCTACACCCTGTCCTGGACAGTGCCCCGCTGAATGTAGCTCGAGCGCCGCGCGCCTCAACTGGCCGCGAATTAAAGGGACTCGCGCGCAGTCCGCGGTCCCGGACCGTCCTGGGCTCACTTCGGCGACGCAAGGCCGCTCGCTGGTGCCTTTGAGGGTGTCCGCCCGGAGTCATAGTTTTCCAGCGGGAGAGGAGGCGCGGCGCGTGCCTCGTTGACGTCCTCCTCGGCGTCCTCGGCGTCGTGGTGCATCGCGCTGCGACGGCCCTGACGACAATAGTGCCACTCCGTTTGAGGGAGACGACAGCTTGATGAGGATGGGAGCCGCCATGATATGGAAATGACCCGTGGTGGACGTCTGCCAGTTTCAATAGAGCGGGCCGCGCCACGCCGCGCCACGCCGCGCCACGCCGCGCGCGAGGCCCTCCTAGGGACAAGGGACCTAGACCTAGGTCCGCGCGTCGCGGCGGTCTCTGCGTCGCGGCGAGTCCCGGTCGGGATGCACCGAGACGAGGGTCTAAGGCCCAGCCGAGCCGCTCTGTCTCTCTCGCTCCGTTATGGAGAGCCCCTTGAGCGTGACAGACAGAGCGGCGAAACGACATTGGCACCTCGCACACCGCACGCTAGAGTCCGCGGCGGGGCCCCCATCCAGTCCGCCACCCCATTCTGCCATTCGGCGGTGGTCTCGCGGAATCCAATCGTCGGTGCTGCCGCCGGCGCTGTCGGGTCGGGATTGGTGGCCCTCGCCATTACGATACGGTGCGAGAGGGAGAGAGACACACGTCGCCATTATGAGAGAGAGAGAAGGCGAGAGACACGGCTTTGATAAGCAGCGTCCGCCAAAGCCAAGCCAAAGCCGCGACGTCTTATCGTCACTGCCCCCGGCCCCCCGACGGCAAGCCCGGCAAGCGGCAAGCCCGGCAAGCGGCAAGCCCGGCCGTGACTCGGAGAGTGTCCGGGAAGGTGTCATGTTGGGCCTTTCAACCAGTCTAGGCCTGCAACTCATCCAGGCCTTTGTTCTTAGCCGCCGTGTGCTATGCTTCGACCAAACTCTTTGCTGAGACGTAGTTTTGCCAGTGGAGGCGGGGGCGGGGCGGCGTTGCCTCGGGGCAGCGTTCGGCGTTACCCCGTGGCGGCGCGCGGCGGTGGCGCGTGGCGGCACGGCGGCACGGTGTAGCGACGCGAGGCGTGGCGGCGCGCGGCGTCGGCAGGAGCCGGACCGGGACAGCATCCCCCCAGCCAGGCCAGCAGGGCCAGCAGGGCCGCCAGGCAGTACCACGGTAGACTTGCGCGGGTGGAGTCGCGTCGCTCGCAACTCTTGTCGCGTCTCCGTTCCCTCGCTCGTCGCCTCGCCGCCTCGCCGCCCTGCTCGGTGTCGCCCAGTGCCGGTGGGGTAGGCCGCAGCGGCCCGGGTACAGAGCCCGCGCCCCGCGCCGTGCTCGACGCCGCGCTCCACGACGCCGTGCCGAGTGCTGACGGCGGCCAACTGTTGAGGGGGTCCAGGAGCGGTCCGGGACAGGTTCCCGACAGGTCCAGGATGAAAGGACAACCCCGGACGGCGCTGCCCCGGGCGGCCGGCGTCCTCCGCGGCCTCGTCGTCCTGCTGGTCGTCGCGCATCTGGCGGCCGTCGCAAGTAAGTACTAGAGGGAACGCCAGCTTGCCCGTCCCCGGCAGCGGCGGCAGCCCCGGCAGCCCGTCAACGGGGTAATTGCGTTACCTGCTGTCATTTACGCGACGGGACGCAGAAAAATGGCAGTAATAGAAGCGTAACGCAAAGCGCCACGGAGTTGCGACGCGTTTAGGGGGAATGGCGGCAATAAATTTCTCGCGGAGCGGCGGCGACTTTTGTAAGTGAAATTACGCTCCTCTACGGGCCGTAAGGCGAGGGCCTCTCCGTCAAGCGCGCACCTTGCTCCTGCTTGGTGCCGCTCGCTCCCCGGTGACTGATGGCCATGCACGCTCGAGCGCCGTCTCAAGCGCCGCCGAACGCCGCCAAGCGCCACGTGCGAGGGCTGCGAGGGCGGTGGAGGCTGCGCGTTGCGCCCCGCGGTTTGCGGCCTGCGGGGCGTGGCGTGGTGGGGCGCGGCGCGGCGGGCGGGCCTCAGCGTTCTCCTTTCCTTTCTGAAAATTATCGCGAGGCACAGTGACTCGGCGGGGCGGCCGAACATTAAATAGTCATTAGCACGGGCCAAGTATATAACCCGCTTTGGTGGAGGAGGGGGGGGGGGCGTGCATCTCGGCGGAGGGGGCTGGTGGGGCCCCCTTTCGGGCGGGTCGGTGCGGGTCGGTCCAGGTGGGCGTCAGGCAGGACCCCGTGCACTTTGAGCGTGGGCTTTCAGCCGCTTCCAGCTTCAGCGCGCCCCGCGGGGTGTCCCTGGGGGGCTTCGGTCCGCCAAGACGACCGCGCTCTGGCTGGTAGGCTGTCGAGCTGGCCGAGTGCAGAGTCGTGTCCGAAGGGCTCAAGCCAAGGCTGACGCCAAGGCTAAGGGCCCACACGAGGCCCTTGGAGGCGCTGGCGAGGCGCGGGGGCCGGGAGCCCACGCCACGGCCTCGACCACGCCACGGCCACGGGAGACAGGACAGGGCAGTATCTGTTGGAATGAGTCAATGCGGGGTACAGCGTTGCCTGGCGCGGCCTGGCGAGCGGGTTGGCGAGCCCTGAGAGACACGGCCGCGTGAAAGTGTGTGGGTGCAGGGCCCTGCAGGGGGCGGGGCAGGGCGGGGTAGTGCCAAGTTCTCCCACAACATATTATATGAGGCCGTCCTCGCAGACAGGGGGGCGGCAGCTCGTGCTCGTGTGTGTGTGTTTGTGTGTGCGGCGTAGTGTGCGTGATGTGAGCGTGAGCGGGCGGAATAGGTAGACGGCCGGGCAAAAAGTGTGTAGGAAGTGGCGAGGGTTCGCGCAGAACGGAACGCCCAGAATGCGGCTCAACAATTCCGCCCCCTTCCCTCCCCCGGGTCCACCCCCTGGTCCACCCCCGGGTCCACCCCCGGCCGCAGGAGAGGCGACCGCGTGGAGAAAAGCGAAGCGATACAAGTTGATAAAATTAATGGAAGTGGCCGAGGCGGGAATGGGAAGGCGACGCGGCCTTCGTGGTGGCCACGGCGGTCATCATGATCGGTGCGCCGAGGCTGGCCGGCCGGGGCTCGGGCCGGGGACTACGGCGGGGACTACGGCGGGGACCACGGCGGGGACCACGGCGGGGACCACGGCGGGGACACCCCCGGTGACGCCGCCAGTGACGTGGTCCGGCCTCTATCTAATCGTTCAGGTTCAGTGGCCCGATAGCATCACGGTCCAGGCACTCCAGGCACTCCAGGCTCCAGACCTGCCAACCGCAGCCCGCCCATGGCACGCACATCACGCCGGGATCGACCACCTCGAGCCAAGCCGGGCCCTTTGTCGTGCCGGCGTTGCCAACTTTTCAAAGCAATCTTTTCTTTTTTCACTAATGAGCGGCAAGACGCAGAGCACACTGTTCGTTATTTTGGCGCGCGCGCTTCAATGCCCCCTTCCCCCCTCCCCCGCAGAAGGCGCGACAGGCGATCCGGCTAACGAGATTACGCGCGCTTCTCCATTTTGCCGCCGGGAGGCCGGAGGAGAGCGTGCCGCCAACTGTGGCCGGCGGCGTCCCCCAGGACGGCCTCCAGGACGTCCTCCAGGGCGTCTGGAGCCCAGGCCGCTGCACCTGCGGACCGGCGGGGATGGCGTCCGTCCGTGCACGTGCACTCGGGCTGTGCGGACGAGTGCCTCCGCGCCCCTGGGCCCACCGCCCTGCCCCGGTCCCGCAGTGCCCCGCGCCTCGCGCAGCCCCGCGCAGCCCCGCGCAGCCCCGCGCAGCCCCGCGCAGCCCCGCGCAGCCCCGCGCAGCCCGCCGCCCGCGCAGCCCCGCACGGCGTCGCGGTATTGTCTCGCCACCAGCTGCTTGTGCTGCGTCTCCGCCGCCCCCTCCTCCTCCCTCGCCAGACGCCGCCCCGCGCCTCCCCTCCCCCGCCCCGCCCCGCGCGAGCCCCTCCCGGGGCCCAGCCGCCTAGCCCCGCCGCAGCCGGTCCGTCTGAACGCCGCCGTTATATTTTTGAAGCCGGCGAGGATTACGGCCGCTATATGTATTGTTTGGCTGGCGCGGCGGTGCTCTGCTGTGGCGTCGCAACGCCGCCGTCCCGCGCCTGCACCGTGTGTGTGTGTGTGTGTGTGTGTGTGTGTGTGTGTGTGTGTGTGTGTGTGTGTGTGTGTGTGTGTGTGTGTGTGTGTGTGTGTGTGTGGGAGTGAGTGTATGTATAGGTGTGTGTGGGCGTGTCTGGCTCAGTGTTTATGCTGGTTATGCACTTGCGGGGCTGGTGCAGTAGGTGTCCCAGACTATGGCTCATGTTCAAGTTTAGCGATAGGGTGGTTCCGTAAATCACGTGGGCTGGCGGCGGCGTAGCCACAACTAAGCATCTTGTCCAAAAAGACAGCGAAACTTGGCGCAGAAAGGAGAGAGAGCGAGAGCGGGAGAGAGAGAGAGAGAGAGAGAGAGAGAGAGAGAGAGAGAGAGAGAGAGAGAGAGAGAGAGAGAGAGAGAGAGAGAGAGAGAGAGAGAGAGAGGGGGGGGGGATGCAGGTCGATTGGTAACGGCTCTTTTCGCGAACGCTGAAAACCGAAACCGATGCAGCACGACGCGAATGCCACAAAAATGTGAAGGCGGGCGCCCCCGCCCCGGGGCACCGGCCGCCCGGCTGTTCGGAAGTCGCCCCCGGGGACGTCGTCTGGCTGGATCGGATCCCCGATCTTCGGATTCGAGAGAGGCCGCCGGCTGGCGGGTAGGAAGTGGAGTCCTGGGAGAAATGGCGAACGGGGCGGGGAGTCCGCGGGGAGTCCGCGGGGTCCGCGGGGCCCTTCGCGAGACTACGGGACGCTGTGGGAGCCCTGCGGGCAGGTGGGCCGGGGGGAGGCGGAACCGTTGGCTCCATGCTGGCCCCATGCTGATTGGATGGACGAGCCTGGCCTAATCTGCTCAAGTGTTGGTCAGTGGGCTGCTTTGGAGGTCACTGGAGGGGGCAGGTCTAGTCTGCCCTTCTGCCGGCGCGTCACGCCGTCGCGCCGTCGCCACGTCCGACCGTGCGGCCGCTAAGTTCAGAAAGCGCGGACCGCGGCATCTGAAGGTATAGGCGCCCACCGAACGCCTAAGAAAACTGAGAACTCCGTAGTTGGATAACTGGGAAAGCAAAGGAGTTCTTGAACCAGTTTTTCGAATTAGCGAAAACTGACTGGTGTCAACTACTACAACTTTGACACTCATCTTTGTTTTTAAGTTCCGACTTCTGACCAGATCAACGAACGACTTCGTTGAACCAACTACAATTTTTGGGGTAGGGTGTGAATCGCAAAATGATTGGGTGGACGTCCCCGCGCATTTCGCCGCAGTTGCTGCTGCTGATGACCTCCAACGCGTCCTCGGTTGCCTCGGTACGTCGACCTCCTCGTCGTCCTCCTCGGCGGCCTCCTCCCCGTTCCCCGTTGTCCTCGCGTTTTACGCCTGTCGGCATGCCGGGCTGCCAGGCTGCCAGGCCGTAGAATAGCGCGGCGGCGCGGCGCGGCTTGTTAGCCACCCCGGCCCCCGCCCCACCCCGGCCACCCCGCCCCGCGCGGCGTTTGGCGTTTCGACAGGGAAAATGCGATAACGAATTCCGCTCCACGCGCCACGGCGCCGTCCGCGCCGCCACCAGCAGGGCGGCCGGGCCTGTGCCGGGCAGGCCGGGCACATCGACGTGACGACGGCGAGGACGACGCGACGCCTGGCCGCGTCCGATGCCCGAGTACCCGCGGCCGTCCGCGGTCCTTGGTCTCGGCGTCGATGACGCGGGAGAGGGTAGCGCGCTGCAGCACGCCGAGGCTGCACCGGCGCCGGGCGGGGGCGGGGGCGGGGCGGGGGGCAATCTGCATACATTTTGTTGCGGCCGCTTTCGCCATGCTTTCGCAGGCTCGGCACGACTCAAAGTGTTGCGGCGCCGCGACATGCTCCCCCACCCCCACCCCTCCTGCCTCTCTCCAGCCTAACTGCCATTTTGGGCCCGCACACACGCACACATGCCCGCCGTCACACACACGGCCACAGGAGCCCTTGTAAAACCCTTTCCGTCCGGCGCTGCCTGCTGCTGGTGCCTGGCTTTGAACGGCCGCAATGGTCTGCAGTGCCTTTGACGGATCTACTCCACAGCCCTGCCCTGCCGCGCGTGCCGTGCCGTGCGTGCCGTGCCCTACAGTGCCGTGTCCCCGCTGCTCCAGGCTCCAGTTCCCCTTTCTACCTCCGTGCATGCCTCCCTGCCTCCCTGCCTCCCTGCCTGCGGCGTGCTCGATCACGCTCGAATCACTCACATTCCGATGCTTGTTGCGGCCAAGCCGCCAGGCCCCTGTCCGCGGGGTGGGTGGAGGCTGGAGGCCGGAGGGGCGGCCGGAGATATAGTATTCGGAGAACAACCCTGCCCCTCCCCCTCCCCTCGCACGCCCGTCCTCGGTCCCCTTATCCGCCGCACCGCCCGCCTCGTCGCCGGAAACTGCCATACTTTCCATCTTGGTGTGAAACTAAGCCTGAAATGGGTGCCTCATCGGATTGCCCTTCTCGGACACGATCGTCACCCCGCCCCGCCCCGCCCCGCCCCCGCGCACGCCGCGCCAGGAGCACCTCGTCGAGATAAGGACGCCCCGCCCCGCCCGGCCCAACGTGCTTATGGACCCTTACGGCCGCGACGCGCGGGGCGGGGCGGGGCGGGGCGGGGCGGGGCGGGGCGGGGCGGGGCGCCACCTTGTTGCGGGGGGCCTGGATGGTGTCGACGCAGAGACGATTGGTTGCTATCGCCCCGCGCTGCTTCGCACGCCTGTCCCATAGCATGCCCATAGTGCGCCTTGTGCCATAACGAACCGACTCGGCGGCGAAGAAAAAGTTGGCCCTTTCTTTTTTACAAGCCGAGAGTCTAGTAAGGCAACCCCTGTCCTTCCCTCGGGGCTGCCAGTCCAGCGCCGGCCCCACCCCCCCCCGCCCCGCCCCGCCCCGCCCCGCCGTCAGCGTCCGTGTAGTCTGGCCACTCTAATGCCGGCTAAAAAAGGCGAGAAAGGGACTGGTCCCGCTTCTTTCTGCTTCCAGCCTTTCACGTTCCACTTTCTTCGCTTCTGCCGCGGCCCGGCGCTGCCCCGTCCCGTCCCCTCGGCCCGCACGCCGCTCCGTGGCGCTCCTTCTTCTCCTTCTTCTCGTTTCACAAAACAGGGACAGGGCCGACAGTGCCGACGGGGCCGGCGGGGCGACCAAAGGGCGAGATTGATCAACTCCAGGCCTTCAGCTTCCAGGCTTCCCGGCCTGCGGGTTCCCCTCAACGCAGCTGCTCGAGGCAAAGTCGATTAGAAGCAAAACAGGAAAAAAGGGAGGCAAGCCGTCGGGGTGGACGGCAGCAGCCGAGGCGGCAGCAGCGCTACTTCGGGAAAGAAAAAGAGTGACTGCTGCAGACCGTCCGCAGCAGACTGATTCCGCGAGGCGCTTTCGTCGCTCCGTCTCTCTCGCACTCGTGGAGCATTCCGTGTAGGTGCGAGAGAGACTCTCGGGGCGCAGCGAGCGCCTGGAGGGTAGGCCGCGGAGCTGTGTGCAGTGTGCACGCCGCGTGGCGTGTCTCCAGGCGGCCGGGTCCGCGCCACGCCGCGCCACGCCGCGCCACGCCGCGCGCTGCCCGCAGATTGTGCATTCCTCTCCACGGCCCACGGCGCCGTGCATTCTTGCCGCCACTCCCCCCCCCCCACGCATTTTCGCTGGAGGTGGACATGCAGTACATCCCGGACTCCGCCCCAGTCCTTTGTGTCCTGCCCCTCCCCCTCCCTCTCTGGTCCGGGCGTGCGCCACCGCTGATAAGAAAACGTAAGTAGAAGGGGGGGGGGGGGGGCGACCGCGGGGCACAGCGGGTCCCTCAGCCCCTCCCCCCTCCCCTTCCTTTTCAATTCACCCCAGCGTCACCAGTAATTAGCTGGCCTTCCATCAGTTGGTCAGGCTGGTCAGGCACACCGCGGGCGCCTTTTATTATTTCTTCCGTAAAATGTCATTAAAAAAAAAAATTGTACCCAATTTTAAAGTTTCCTGTCCACCGCGACCACCGCGGCCCCCAGCGTCCCCGCCGTACGGTTCGCCGGGTTTATCTGCGCTATCTCCGGGCGGCACATCCACGACGCGGATTCTGGATCCCAGATTCCACATTCCAGAGATTAGGCAGGCAGGCAGGCGGAACGCGGAACGGACGCAAGGATTTGGAAAAGGACTAGAGGAGCGGTCGGGGCGGCGGCGGACCGTATTTGCATATATGCAAATCTAATGGGGTGGCCAATTATTGGGGTTTGCAGTAATCTGGGTCCTTCCTTCCAGGGCGGGGCGGGGCGGGGCCCAGCCGCTTAGTGTAATTTGTTCCACAAGCGCAGAACGAGGCCGTCAGCGTTTGCCGACGACGAGCTCCCAGGCGAGATGGCAAATGAAATAGGAGCCGATTTTTGTTTCAAATTCTGTTCTGTTCGCAGGCGGGCGGCGCGTCCACTCCAAGCGCTACTCCGAGACGGCCACGCAGCAGGCCGCGCAGACCGCGCAGGCCCCGCAGACCCTGGCGCCGGAGGAGGACGAGGACTACGACGAGGAGGCCGAGGACGACGAGCGCGTCTACAAGAACCCGCGGAACTCACCGTCCGCCGTGTGCCCTCGCGACGAGGAGCATGCCAACTTCCTGGTGAGTGTGTGAGAGAGAGAGAGAGAGAGAGAGAGAGAGAGAGAGAGAGAGAGAGAGAGAGAGAGAGAGAGAGAGAGAGAGAGAGAGAGAGAGAGAGAGAGAGAGAGAGAGAAAGAGAGCGCGGCGGTACCGGCAGCGGCCGGCCTTGGTGCTGTAGAGACCTAGAGACTGACGGAGAAGCGCGGGCGCCGATAAGCGCACCAACAGTTTCTCATACTCCTCGCGCGCGGCCGGAGAGCTCTCTCATATTCCGGACAAAATGCCAGCGCACGCACTTAACGGCTGGAGAAGGTTTTTCGGTCACAGCTTCCAAACCGTTCTAGATAGAGGGGTATAGTAAGCGAGCCGATTGTAGGTCTCTGTACAAGCTACAATCGGCTCGCTTACTGTACCACTCTAGCTTGAACGGTTTTCGAGATGTGCCCGAAAAACTGTTCCGGCTGACTGCTGCGCTCCGCCTCGCCCCACCTTACCGCACCGCTCTCCGCTCCGCTCCCTGTCCCCTCCCCGCTCCCTTCTGGGCCGGGCCAGACAAAATGGCCGCCAGCGCGCGACGGCGCCCGCGCTTCTCCGTCAGTCTCTAGGTCTCTATGGTGCTGGAGCCGGGGTGAGCCGGGGCTGGGAGGCAGACGTGACGGTCGCCAAACGACTAGCGCAGGTCCACGCCGGCCGCGTCGACTGGCCTGGACGTCTGGAAGTGGGCTATATCGGTGCAGCCCTGACCTTGGCCCTGTTGGACAACCCTACTGGGCAGTACCACCGGCCCCGCTGCTGCCCCGCTCCTGTTCCTGTAGTACCTCGTCTCCTCTCGCCACCCGTGCCGAGCAGCGAGCGCGCAGCGCGTGCAGCGTGTGCCCTCCACTGTGTAGTACCTGCCGAGGGGAGCCGAGTGGGACTCGCTGCGAGTTTGCGAGGCACTGCAAGGGAAGGCCTTGCCTGCCTCGGCCTGCCTGCACCAGGAGGATCCTCTTAACCTCCCTCCCTCTCCCGAGATCGGATTATGCTGCAGGCCGCATTGAAACCTAGACTCGAGGCTCGAGGCAAAGACAAGCACCCCGCCAGCGACGTCCCCCGAGACGAGAAGCCTCCTTGCTTGCCGTAGGACACTCCAGCGCCGCGTGTCCGCGTCTCTGTGAGCGAAGAACGTGTGTGCGTGTGCGGGGCGTGTGTGTGTGTGTGTGTGTGTGTGTGTGTGTATGTGTGTGTCAAAGAGCGAGAGGGTAGGCAGGCAGCTAGAGAGCGAGGGGGGGGGGGGAGCGGGGAGGGAAGATGGTGCCGATGCCACTTGTTGCGGCAACGAACAAGAGAAACATCGCGGTGAGTGGAAATGAAGTAGGGGGAGCGGCGGCAGAACGGGGCGCATAGTGAGGGCGCCGAGGATGCCGAGAGCGAGAGGGCGAGGGACGAACTTCGAGCACGGGGACGCCGGCGTTGAGGCACCGCTGCCGCGCACCGGCGAAGCCTGCCAGCTTCCCAGCCCGCCCCGCCCGTTCTGTTTGCGCTGTTTGCGCAGGCCGTGCTGACTTATCCTCTTTCCCTGCTTCCAGGGCCAGACGTGCCTGCGGAAGTGCTCCTCGGACGAGGACTGCAAGAGCAAGAAGAAGAAGTGCCGTTGCGACGGTACCTGCGGCATGTCCTGCATCAAGCCGGGTGAGTTGCGCGTCGCATTCCAGCTCCTCCCAGACCTCCGGGGCCTCCAGGACGGCCTCCAGGACGGCCTCCAGGACCTCGGCACGCCGTCGAGCCCGAGACGCAGGCCCGCGCGCCACACCATCACGGCAGCCCGGGCCAGGCGGCCTCAGCCCCGCAACGCGCGCTGTCAGGGCAGGCACGGTCGCCACTACGTCACAAAGGACGTGCCCTGCTGGGGCGGGGCGGGGCGGGGCGGGGCTTGACGTGTTTTCACTCCGTCAGAGTGACATAATGTGCACAGCAGTGAAGCGAGCACAAGCCGCACACAGCACACCGCGAAGCAGCAAAAACAGGATGAAACGGAACACACGTAGCAAAAGTGTAGCAAAGCGTAGCAAGGGATAAAAGGGACATTTTCTGCGTTCTACGAAGTTTCCTTTGAGTCGGACTCCACCCTCCAGGTTTTTCCCCCACGTGGCTTTCCTGCCGCACGGCGTCGGTGGACTGCAGTGTCATTAACGCCGTGCGCGCGCCGCCTCCACGCCCGTAATCGCATTATTATATTCCCATGTGTGCCGTATGAGCGGTGCACCGGTAACTGCTGGGCGCGAGAGGGGAAACCCCCCCCCCCCTCAGCGACCCGCTTTAAAGAGTTTGGCCTAAATGTGCAGGCCGACCGTCTACACATTCACACATTCACACACACGCACACACACCAACGCGCGCGCCCCCAGAGCTTACGGGTCACGGATCACACGCACGCACCCACACACGCAGCCAGCCCGCAGCGCTGCGGTCCAGGCCCAGCGTGCAGCATGCAGGCCTGCTTCGTGTGGGTAACGAACCGAGGCTCGGCCCGGCACGGCCCGGCACGGCCGGTGCGCATGTTTGCGCACCTACCCCGCCCCGCCCCAGCACCATGTCACCGAGGCCGCGCCCGCCGCACGGCCGCCCTGTAACTGCATACGGGCGACACATGTCCCCGGGGAGGGCTGACCGCACTGGCCCGGAGCGCCGCCACCGCCGCCACCGCCGCCACCGCCGCCACCATGGTCCCCGCGGTGGCCGCCCTGTTCCGCCCTGGTTTCGCCCTGCCTCCACCCTGGTGCCGCTGGTGTCCTTCTCGGGGGCTGGCTGCTTGTTTCGTCTGTGCTCCCGAAGACAAAGTCGTCGCCGCGTGCGTTTCCCGTCGATGGCGCCGTTTCGAACACAACAGCTGCGAAAACTCGCGTGGAATCACCCGGAATTGCCCGCCTCTCGGGGAAGGGCCGTTTCCTGTCCCCCACCCCCTCCACCCCCGCCAGCGCGCGCCGCCCCCGCGCCGCCCCCGCGCCGCCCCCGCGGCAGTATCGCGGCAATACCTTCCTACCCCGCCTCTAAAGGAGTCCATTACCCGATCGCCTCCCGGATAGCCGACTGCAGGTGCTCTGCTCCCCGCCCCTCCAAGGTCTTCCCTGGTCTTCCCTGTCTTTCCCGGGTCTTGCCGTCCGAGCCAGGCCGGAGCAAGGCCAGGTGCAGCTGGAGTCCGCGCCGAGGCCCCGCGGCCCCGCGGCCAGCGAGGAGAATCAGGCTGGAGCGGGGCTTCGCTGGAGGGTGGAGGGCATAGCGGGCATAAGCTACTCTGACGGCCCAATGACAGATCCCATTTGGCGGGGCTCGGCGCGGCACCGTCAGGAGGAGCCTACCCGGCCCATTCTCCCTTGTCACACTTCCCGACACGACCCACCCCCGGCCGTCCCCGCCGTCCCCGCCGCCCCGCGCCGCCCCCGGACCGCTCAGCACGACGTGAAGTGGAACGCGCAAGAAGACGAAAGTGGGCCAGCAAGGGATAGCGTGGCACGGCGTGGCACGGCGCGGCACGGCGCCCGTCCCCTGCACTCCATCATGCCTTAAATCCCCGGGATCCCCGCGAATCCCTGAGGATCCCTGACGCCACTTGTTCCCTGCGCGGGGCGGGGCGGGGCGGCGCGGGGCGGGGCGGGGCGGGGTGGGGCGGGGCGGGGCGGGGCGGGGGCGGCGAGGCCTTAGGTCGGCCCTTTGGCCCATCACCATAAAAGAGCGCGCGGCTTGGCTCCCGCTCTCTCGTTCGGGTCGAGCAGCGTCTAGCGGCCTCGTCCGGGGCGGCACGGCGGCACGGCGGCACGGCGGCACGGCGGCATGGCGCGGACTGGAACGCCAATGCCGTCGTTGGCGTCGTTGTCGTTCTCGCTCCGCCCGCCCTTATTATCACCAGACACACTCGTCCTTTTTTCCAGCCTCCTCCCCGATGGCAACAGCTTGGCTGCACGCCGTGCCGCGCCGTGCCGCGCCGCCCTGTGTGTCCCGTGGCGGCCCGTGGCGCGGCCCCACCCCATCACGGCCGTCTCGGCCGTCGCCTCGGCAAGGAGCGCTTTCTTGTGGTCTTCGAGGACGATGCTTCATCATGTCGCTATCAAGATGAATTGTGCTGCGTATCGCGCTGGGAAAAAAAGAAAGGCTGCTGGAAAAACGAACCGACGCGCTTATTGCCAGTCGCAAGAAGGACGAGGAGGACCCCGACAGCGCCAACTAGTGGCGCGCCGCGGCGGCAAACGGCAAGGACAGAGGACCGCGTCGTTCGGCGACTTCGAGTCCTTCACCGCCGTTGCCGTTAGCAGCCGCCCGGCGCGTTATTTCTTTATCACCTCCTGTCTCTCTCACTCTCGTTGGCGATCCGCGAGGAGCGACAAGGACAGAGCTACGACGTAGCGTTACGTAATCTGTGGATGATCGCGCCGTCGCCTTGTTGGGTCGTTTGCCTTCCCGGCGGGCCGGCGCGGCGTGGTGCGGTAGGGCGGGGACGGTGCCGATATCCGATTACAAACCGATAATTAGTGAGGATCGGAGGCGGGGCGGCGACGCGGCAACATGGGCCTAGGAGGGCAGTCAACCCGGAGGCGGGCTGGAGGCTGCTGGAGGCGGAGGAGGCCCTGCGCGAGATTCCGCGAGGCCACCCCGATAACACATGCCTAGCCGCGTGTGAAGATGGCAGTGCGATTGGCCGCGTCCCGGATGGCTTCGCCACCCCCGCCGCCCCCGCCACCCCCGCCGCCCCCGCCACCCCCGCCGCCCCCGCCACCCCCGTCGCCGCCCCCACCTGGAGCCCGCTGGAGCCCGCGGCAAACTATGTCCCCGGAAAGTTGGCAAGTTTGAAAGTGTTTTCTCTTCTCTGTCGCCCCCCAGACCGCGAGTGCCCCGACCTGGACCCGCTGCCCGTGGGCAACGTGACGACCACGGGCCGCTTCTTCGGGGACACGGCCACGTACGCGTGCGAGATGGGCTTCCACCTGGTGGGGCTGCGGGTGCGCTCCTGCCAGGCCGACGGTCACTGGTCGGGCCAGCAGCCCACCTGCAAGAATGGTAAGCCCAAGCCCCGGCCGCGAGGGGAGAGAGGAGGGCGCCGAGAACGCGCGACAACGGTGAAATAAATTCAAATAAATGCGATGGAGGCGTCTTTCCAGTGTACTGCCGCACGCCGCCGCCCATGGACCACGCGCGGCACAACGCGCTGCAGCTGCAGACCACGTTCGACGTGGGCACCACGCTCAAGTACCAGTGCCACTCCGGCTACGTCACCAACGGCTTCCCCACGGCCAAGTGCCTCGCCATGGGCGGATCCGCGTCCTGGTTCGGCCCGGACATTTCGTGCGAGCGTAAGTAGCGCACTTTTCTTTCTGACGAGGCAACTTTGGACTACTTTTTCTGATTGTTTGTTTCGAACTCAGCCCGGACCTGCGGCCAGCCCGCCGACCCGGAGAACGGTTGGCACAAGGCGTCGTGCTACACGTACACCTGTCGCGCCACCTACGAGTGCGCCAAGGAGTACGAGCTGGTGGGGCGCGCCGAGAGGACCTGCCAGGCGGACGGCACCTGGAGCCCCAAGGACCTGCCCACCTGTGTGCGTAAGTGGAGTTCCGAGCGACGCCCCGAGCGCGCCGAGGGCGTCGAGGGCGTCGAGGGCGTCGAGGGCGAGGGCCTGGGGGACGAGGACGGGGGCGGCCAGGTCGCGGTCACCACGGCCGCCGCGTAGGGGGGCGTCGCGTCGCCCCGATTCGCAGTCTTCGTAGTCGACTCTGTGCCAGATCATTCTCATTGTCACTCACAGCGTCCCGGTGTCTCTCTCGTCATACTCTTCCTGTCTCTCGCTGTCATCTCATTGTCTGTCTTCATACACTTCGTGTTATCCGGTTGACTTGACCGCTTTTGGGTCGTGGTTCTTAGAAGGGGTGGACTCTGGTAGTCAGAGAGGCATGTAGCTTAGGCCTTACTCATCTCATCTGTACCCACCTTAGCTCCGTACGCAACTATGCAACTTTCAGACGGTCTATGGACAATATGCCAATTGATGTTAGAGGAGAGACAATGCCTCATTTCAGAGACAAGCCATCCTAATGAAGAAAGAGACGGAAGAGTTAGTCCTTGTCTGTCTTTTCTTGTCGCCCCTTGTAGGCAGACGTCTGCGCTGATGCTGTTGTTGTGCTTTCCAGAGGGCAGCCACGAGTCCGCGTCTAGTAATTCTTGTTCTTCCAGAGTGCATGGTTGCCGGCACTGCCCGCCCTCGGCCAGTGGAAGACTCCGGGTGGTGACGAAACATGTAAAAAAAAAAGAAAAAAAAGGAAACAAAGAAAATTAGACGAAGAAAACAGCCGGTTTTTATTTTAAAAATTGTGTAACTTTTATTCCGACCCGTGAGCTAAAATTTCGGCTCAGTGATTAATAAATTCCAATTTTAGATTTTAATTTTAATTGTTTTAAGTTAGTTATAGAACTCACAGCTGAGAGATCGAAAAGAGAAACAAATTTCCAGGGGCTCTCAAAACGGTGCTTTCTCACAGTGTATCCTCTCACTTTTCTTCGCAAATTGTCCATGAGTATTTCTGGCTAATACTGTATTATTGGTGTGTTTGATGTTAAATTTGGACCTTCTTCCTAAGGCTGTACGACAGGTAAATATTGGTAATAGAAACTAGCACCTGAACCACATAATAAGCACTAGTGTAGTTGGCTACGACTCGACGCGGCGAGCTCTAGACAACGTAGTCCAAGACGTAGTCCGTGTCGGGGCTCCCTCTCTGGCTACCCCTCGAGCTTCCCACCTCGGCCCACCTCTCTCGGCCTGCCCGGCCGGTTTCCTTTCCGAAACGACCCTCAAACCACCTGTAGTCCGGGAGCCAGAGCTCCGAAGCATACCGTGGGGGTGCACGATCACACTGCCTAGCGCCTCATTGGCTTGTTAGTTCCTTAAAAAAAAAGTGCTTCCTCGAGGGAACAGACTTGTGAATAAGATGTAATCAATATGACCGAACTGGAGCGATCGTGGATCTCTTATATAGTCACATTCCAGAGGGAAAATAATGGTGAATTTTCTGTAAGACTGTGTAACCTGTTCTCAATAAAATATTGAGAGGAAGAAACGCATTGTTTTATTTCTGTGTGACAAGCCACCTCCTCGGTATGTGTTAGGGGTCAGACCCACCGAGTGCCCCACGCTTCAAAGGAGATAATTTATGAGAACATGAAAAGAACGAAAAGAGAGAGATTTATCGGCAAACACTTCGAAACATTAGGCCGCCAGCGAGCGCGCTTTGTGAGTCGTGAATGACGTTAAAAAGTCATCACTCAAAAAACAAAAGCAAATTAAATGTGGCCAACCCATAAAAAATAAATGAACTGCCATAAATAATTGAAAGAAAGTGCGGCTTGCCCTCTGCTTGCTGGCATGTTGTGTGTAGTCACTAGGCAATAGACACCACTTCCTCAGTTAAAAGGGAAAAGAAACACCGGTGCATACCTCAGCACGGGTGGACAGGTTGCCGGGGGCTAGTTTTCAACCCCTACCCAACCCCAGCACGGTCTTCGCTAAGCACTCTGGGCACCTTGCATGGCAGATAGAAGCACCAGCCAGAAATAGTGCCGAAAAAAAGAAGTGGAAAGTCCAATTAAAACACTACGCTGTGCGAAATGCAACTGGATATTCTACTTCTGACTGGGTTCCCAGGAGTAATTTTTGGGGGCACACCACACACCGCCAGGGTTCAAAGTGTACAATCCCCTTTGGACGGGATTTGAACCCAGAACCGTGCCACCTGCACCTATTTCCTCGGGAGGCCCCCAGCCGATTTAGGAGGCCGAATGCCGGATACACACACTGCAATGCCATCATAGAGTAGCGAGGTGTCTCATAGATTTCTCACTCATTGCTCCATTGTAGCTCACGGTAGAATCTTCATTGCATTCTCCTTTCTGTGTCCATTTCGATGTCGCGTCTGTCTCATATGCCTTCTTTATTCATTTTTCATTGCATTTCATTCAAACTTCATGAGACAAAACGTTCGTTTTCTCCTCATTCTCGAATCACGTCGTTCTCACTGTCCTCGCCGTGAATCCAGCAAGACTACGATGATCGCAAGCGGTCGCTTCCGGTCGGAAGGGCCGTGCCGAGGTTCCAATGTTTTTGTTTTATTATTTTGTCGTTAAACTACTTGCCGGCGAGCGGCGCGGGCCGCGGCGCTGGCGCTCTAGATACCTGGTTTGTCCTCGTTTGGGCTTTGCAGTTGTGGCCGAGGTCGAGTGCCCCGCCCCGGAGAACCCCGTCAACGGGCGCGCCATCTACACCCGCCAGGCCTACAACTCGGTCGTGTCCTACGAGTGCAACTACGGCTACTCCCTGGTGGGCGACGCCACGAGGAAGTGCGGGGCCGACAGACGCTGGTCCGGACACAAGCCAGCGTGCCAAGGTGGGTGCCCTCCACTTTTAGCATTTAACAACGTCTAAATTACTCGAAAATCAAGCCGCTTCAAGTTAAACCTCGTCAATCGATCTAGTTTTTCGAGCTACCAAAAAGCAGCGGTTTAGGCGCAACCAATTTTTTGTTCCCCTCTGAGGGAGAGAGAGAGCAGAAACGCCTGTTATAGCGGCGTGGTCTGTCCGTACCCGATTGCTTTCATTCGGCTGCGGGGCTTTAACATTCACTCTCACTCGCCTAGAGTGCACTCGCCCACTCTGCACGACGCCGGGCACCGCCTTGTAAGTCTTGTAAGTGCGAAGCAGCGCGAAGCAGGCGCACAGTGGGCCAGAAGACCGGTGGAGGTGGCCACAACTCTAGACGCGTTTTGAGCTCCAGAGTCGCTAAATGGGACTCGAACCGAACGTGTGACCCCACCAATGGATTCCTCGTTCGAAGAGCAATCCATTGGTGGGGTCACAGGTTCGGTTCGAGTCCTGATTAGCGACTCTGGAGCTCAAAACGCGTCTAGAGTTTTGACCACCTCCACCGGTCCTCTGGCCCACTGTGAGGCGGCTGGCTGGAAAACTTACAGGGCGGTGCCGCGGGGCGGGAGGCTGCCTCGGAGGCTGGCCATGCATGCATGTGAGGCTCGCGAGGAGGCACGCATGGCGACACTGTGCACGCCGGCACGCGGCACGGGACGGCAAATCCCACCTTTCGGACTTGTTCATTTCTTGGCATTTCGAAATCGCATTCGTGGCACCACGTTTGCCCGTCGCTGCGGCCTCGCTGCGGCGTCGTGGCGGCGTGAGGCACGCACGCCAGCAGGCACGGGTAGACTAAGGAGCGAACGGCCGGGTGCGGGCGCTCTGTAAGTGGCGTCGGCAGGCCGTGTTGTTTGTGTGAGTGTGTGTGTGTAACCCGGAACCGGACCCGCGGTGGCCTAGAGATCAATTGCGGAGACCCTGGGCCGCTGTACAACGGATGGCTGGAGAACTTAGAGGGCGGCACGGGGCTCGGCGCGTCCGTCATCTTCCGCTGCAAGGAGGGCACGAGGCTGGAGGGCAACTCGTCGTCCGTGTGCCAGATCGACGGCCACTGGCGGTACCCGTCCCCCCGCTGCATGGGTGAGCCCGCATCGCCTAACGCTTCGCCAGCGTCGCTTCGCCTAGTCGGGGTCGTAGTGGGTGCTTCGGCCTTCGCCTCGCCGGGGCTTGTTAAGTGCGGTTGCCGCCGACCTTCCCGCCTGCTTCCGACGGCTCGTAGTCGTAGACGTCGTCGTGGACGTGCCGGCCGCGCGGGCCGACCAGTGCAACGTGTGGCGTGCTTGCAGCGCCGTGCGTCGTGCCCAAGATCATCAACGGCACGGTGAAGCCGCGCGGCGTGAGCAACAACACGGACGACTTGATGGGGGCCATCGGCGCGGACGGCGCACAGACCGTGCAGCACGGCGAGCAGCTCGTGGTGCACTGCGAGCCGCGCTACGAGTTCCTCAACAACGGCACGCCCGTCACCTGCAACAACGGCACCTGGACGCAGATCCCCAAGTGCCAGCCAGGTACGCGACGGCGGGGGTGGGGTTGACGGTGAGAGTGGCCAGCCGCACCAGCCGCTCCAGCAGCGCGCCGCGTGGGCTCACGGGGTTGGCGGCGAGCCAGCGCGCGGTGCGGCGAGGCCGAGGCCGAGGCGCTAAGGCATCGGCGGCTTAGCCGATCCACTCGGCCCTGAGTGGCTCATCAATTGAGGTTCATTTTGGTGGGGGGTCTTCGTCTTCCTGGTGGTGGTGTGGATGGTGCACGTGGCATGGCCGACAGCATGGTGGCATGGTGAGGGTGACGGTTGTGATGGTTGCATGGCGGTGGCCCCCATGGCGCACGATGGTTGCAGCACGGTGTAAGCGCATGCCCCGCGCGCCCCGCAACGGCTACGTGATCGCGCCCAAGACGGACCACGGCATGCGGGCCCGCTTCGCCTGCCGGGACGGCTACACGCTCAACGGCACGGACGTGACGGAGTGCTCGTACGGCAACTGGTCGAACGAGGTGCCACTGTGCGACGAGGGTGAGAACGCCCACGACGGCGGCACAGCTCCAACGTGCTCTTAACGGCGTACTCAGGAGGAGGGCGCCGCACCGCTCTCACGCTCCGCCCTGTGTTCGCAGTGTACTGCCCCTTCCCGGGCTACGTGGAGAACGGCAAGGTGATGCTGGTGGGCAACATGGGCCTGTACGACTACCGGCCCTACGTCCGCAAGGTGACCAACAACAAGCAGATCATGTACGACTGCGACCGCGGCTACGTGCTGGCGGAGGGCCCGCCCGGCGCCACCTGCATCGGCGGCGAGTGGAGTCCCCAGCAGCTGCCCAAGTGAGTGTCCGCGGCCGCCTCGACGGCCACGCGCCTCTCGCCGCTCGCCGCGCCCCGAGGGCCGAGGCTCGAGGTGCGCGGCACGGTGACGTCAACGCCGCGCGCCAGCCCGCCGGCCCTTAACAGGCTTAACTCGCTGGGAGGCTGACTGCGTCGTTGCCGTTGTCGTCCCCAGGTGCGTCCCCGGCAAGCACCCCCGCCTGCGCTGGAGCCGGTCCGTGCGCCGCCGCCGCGCCGCGCTCTTCGCCGCCCGCCTCAAGATGATGTCATCGCCGCGCTGGAGTGCCGACAGGTAAAACATGTTGAAGGCGTACTTTTTCGCTCTATGAAAAAAAAGGCGCGCGGAACACTCATTTTGAAATTGGCCCGCAGCGACAACAACGAGAGCAACCACGTGTCCGGCCACCGCCAGCACACGCGCCTCACGGCCGCCACGCCGGCGCCGTCCGTGGAGTTCCAGCCGTGGGGAGCCCCCGTCATGGACCACGACAAGTAGGCCGCCAGCGTGCCCTGCCGCCCTGCCGCCCAAACCGGCCGAGGCGTCAGGCGCCCCTAACCTCGCTCTGACCTTGCTGCCCCACAGCGTGCAGGACAGCAGCGCGATGCAGCCGTCTGCCGCCAGCCGCGACATGATGGCGCGTTTGCTGGGCAAGAACCTGTCGCCGGACAGCCACGCGGCCTCGGACTCGGCGTCCGTCGCCGGGGACCCCGAGCAGAGCTACAGCGACACGCATCCCGTAAAGACGGCGACCCCTCCCGCTGTGCGGCTACTGGCTGAACATGACCTTCGCCCGATCTGAATGCGTCGTTCTCTCTCCACAGCTATACGGGCGCGCGCAGCCGGCCCACAACGGGGCGGATGGCCCCCGCGGCATGCCTCGCCTCGTGTCCTGGTTCACCGCGGACGGCCGCACCCGCGAGCACGCCCGGGCCGAGCGGGCCCGTCGCGCCGCCCTGCACCAGGACCCCGACCACGAGGACGACGACGACGACGAGGAGGAGGACTCCAACTCGGCGTCCGCCACAGACGAGGCGAGTTTTGGACTGGGTTTGAGTTTCCGCGGTGCTCCGGCAAGTTTGACAACCACGCTTTGTTGCTGCCCGCAGGCGTCATCTTCGTCGTCATCGTCCTCCTCCTCCGAGGAGAGCCTGGACCATCACGCCGTCACCACCGCCGCAGCTAAGACCAAGAAGTGGGTGTCTGCGCCGTTCGCAGCCCTCTCTACAGCCATTCTCGAGACTAGTACACTCTTCTTCTTCTCCCGCAGGAACGAGACAGTGCTCTCGCGGCAGGCACGCGCCTCCCGGACGCGCGTCGGCCCCCAGGTTATGCGCGCCAACCGGCACCGCGGCGGCGACCGCCGCAAGAGCACCAAGACCAGGAAGGACTCGACCAAGAAGACGTCGCCGGGGAACAGTACGTTGCGCGGCGGGCTCGCCGACGTCGAGGGTACACTGGCTCCGCTGACGCCGGCTGACGCGCTCTCCTCCGTCGTGTTGCAGCCGTGACGTGCGAGGCGCTGGCCACCGACCAGTACACGCACGTGGTGGTGACCAAGCCGGGCCGCGACCACAACGACTCGGCCTCGTCGGGCTCCACGGTGCAGGTCTCGTGCGAGGTGGGCTACCAGCTCAGCATCGGCGCCAACCAGACCGCCAAGTGCGTGCGCGGACGGTGGAAGCCCGCCAAGCCGGAGTGCATCATAGGTACACTGCAAATAAAATTCCTTTAAAAACCCAAAATAAATTTGGGAAAACCTTTTTTAACCCCGCTGTGTCCGCAGTGCCCTGCCGCATCCCGGAGACTGAGCACGCCATCTACCGGCGCGTCAACGACTCGACGTTGCTGATCGAGGACACCGAGGTGAGCAGCGACGAGGAGGTCAAGTTCTCCTGCATCAACGGCTACAACCCGGTGGGGGCGCTGCGCTTCCGCTGCAAGCACGGCGAGTGGGACGTCTCGGAGCTGCCGTGGTGCGAGCCAGGTAACTACTAGGAGTAACTACTGGGAGTAACGACGCAGGGTAGGGGGTAACTGCCGCCACGCGCGGCGACGGCGTGGGTGCGGGCTCTCGCCCTAACGTTCTGTAGTTGGCCTGTAGCCGCTGCCCCCCGCAGCCACCCCGCCCCCTCCTCCCCCGTGCCCCCCTGCAGGCTGCCGCCCGTCCGCGACGGCCAGTACCTGCGGGGCTACCGGGCCGGACTGACCATCGGCCCCGGCTCCACCGTCAGCTACCTGTGCTCCGGGCTCACCTCGGGGCTCACCTCCAACTCCGCCGTCTCCACCCTGGAGCTGACCCGAAGCGCGACGTGTTCGCGGGGCGGCCTGGTGCCCGCGCCGCACTGCCCAGGTACAGCGTGGGTTGGCTGCTTGCGTTGACCAGTGTGCCAGAGTGCCGTGCTTGGTGTGGTGCTAACGCGACTAACCCGGGCGCTGTCTGGACGCAGTTCCGGCGCTGACTGCAGAGTGCGAGTGCCAAGTAGCCTTCGGGTCTTCTGCCTAACAACGGATTTGGAATGCTGGTGGCGGGGAAGCAGGAAGACTTGTTGGGAGTTTCCTAGTGTCGTGGGCCGGGCGGCCGGGCGGCCCCGACCGCCTGCGAGGTAGGCACGCCAGGACTGTGCGGGACAGCCGCGCGCAGCGGGCTGCCTACCCGCCGTTGGTCGGGCGCTCCGCTCCAGCCGGCCGCTGCTCCGCTGCTCCGCTGCTCGCCCTCATGCTCGGCGTGCTCTTGCAGGCGAGGACACGCACTACCGGGGCAGCGACTCCGGGAGCGACATCGACCTGTTCGGGGAGGTGGACAAGGGGGACCGGCGCTCGTGCAACCCGCCCAGCAAGGTGCAGGGCTCGCTCGTCTACGTCAACGGCCACCCCATCAAGGACAGCGACATCAAGTGAGTCTCGGCGGTTGGCGCGGCCGGCGCTGCTGGCGCCAGGCAGACTGGCCTTTCCCCCTCGACTGCTCCGTCTGTCTGTCCGCAGCTTCCCGGACGGCACCGAGGTCACCTTCAACTGCATGGCCAGCATCATGGGCGAGAAGTCGACGTGGCGCGTTCTGTGCGAGGATGGCACCTGGCTGGGGCGGTCCCTGAGTTGCGGTAAGGAACGCAGCGCCGCGCGCCCCACTGCACGTAGTCAGTCCGTCAGACTAACGTTTAACGCTCGCTGCCGCTCTAGACATGGAGGACCTCGCCGACAGCAAGATGCGCGACAACACGACGTGCACGCTGCGCAGCACCGAGCCCAACGTCGTGTCCTTCCACAACGACCAGCTCATCACCGTGGACGTGGTGGAGCTACCCGCCGGCGCCGTGGTGGTGAGGCACACTCGGGAGCCCGGTGCCGGTCAAAAGAATCCTCCGAAGGTGAAAACGGTTTCTGGGTTCATTTTTCAGGTGTCGCGTTGCAGGGACATCGGCAAGTACCAGCTCATCGGCTCCAGCCACAGGCGCTGCGTGAGCGGGGAGTGGGACGGCCAGAAGCCGGTCTGCTTCGGCCTCAACCAGGAGAACGACTATGCCCGTGAGTCCCTGACGGTCTAACTTTAAGAAAAAATTGCATGACAGCACAATAAACGCCAACGGTTTGCCGGCAGTGGAGAAGCCCCCCACCATCCTGTTCCGGCACCGCCTGGGCCCCATCGCGCAGAGCAACGACGGCAAGCTCATCGTGTACCCCGGGGTGGTGCTGCACATGGAGTGCCTGTGGATCCGGCGCTTCGGGACGCCCAAGTGGTCCGTCAACCACAGCTACAGGTACGCCTCGTTAACTCCAGTGTCTCTTCCTTTTCACTCAAAATACGCAATCATTCATGAGACGTCTCAAGTCTGCATAGCCTACTTTGCTTCGATGTCTAGGATAGAAAACGTCTAGTGTTGTCTCGAGACTCTGTCGAGTAGATTTTTGTTAATACTAGACTTGAAGTTCGATTTCATGATTAGTTTACGCTCGAGAGAGGGGAAATTCGAGGTTACTTTTCCCAGAGGGGTTCCCAGATATGTCCCCCTGTGGAGTGGTTTAGACAGTGTCATTGCTTGCTTGTCCTTATTTTAGAATGTATACACAAATACATTAACGACTACAGTGCTCTGCATGCTAATCGTGTTCTTATTGTGTGGTAAAATAATGTGTGGTAATGATCTGTGTGGTGGAGCGTGGAATGACTTATTTTGTTGTTATTGTTGTTGTTGCTGTTGTAGCTCCAACAATTCAGCTGTTATCGTTCTAACTGACTCCTTGAACTCGACTAACGCAACTGATACGCCACAAAAGTAAGTGGTTTTCGTAGCGGTAGAAGCATGTCACTCCATTTCCATCCCCTGTACTGCACTCAAAGTCCATTGCACTTGTGTCTCACTGTCTGTGCAAAGTAGCGCGTTTTTCTGTCCCCTTTTCTCGGCGGCATCCCCCTTTGAAACAAACGTAACGTAACTGTTTGTTGACGGCTCAGTGTTCACTCTTAGAGTTCCGCCACCCGACCCCACCCCCACAGCCGCCGTCCCGAAGCAGTTGTTTGGAGCTCCACGGCATCCAATAGGTGCTTCGCATGCCACTGTCTTGGTTCCATTCGATACTAACGGTAGCCAGTGGGTTGGCGTGGCGAGGACGGCGTGTTGACGTGTGCGTGCCGCGTGTTGCAGGGTGTACCCCACAGGCTGGAACTCGGAGGACGGGCGCGACTCGGCGCTCGAGTACCGCCTCAGCATCCTGCACGCCAGCCAGGACGACTCCGGAGAGTTCACTTGCACGACGCCCACCCGCCACACCCACGCCGTCACCATCGAGGTGAAAGGTGAGGCCAACGTCGCGAAGGCCCTTTTCTGTGCCTTTTTCAGCCGTTGTTTTTGACACTCTTTTGCTGTCCGCGCAGCCGTCAACTGCCCCAAGCTGCCGGAGAAGCGGGGCCTGGTGTACTCGGCGACGCACACCAAGATGAACTCGCGCGTCTCCATGTCGTGCCCCGGCGGCAACTCGCTCATCGGCGCCTCGGAGATCGTCTGTCTCGCGTCCGGGAACTGGTCCGCCCCGTTCCCGGTCTGCGAGAGTGAGTCACTAGGTGCTTGAGCTTCCTTCTTACAAAGACCTCCCCACCCTGTCCGACTCAAGGCCAAGGCAGGCCAAGGCCAAGAGACCAAAGGGGTGCCTCGCCTCGCCCCTGTTTAGTGCTATTTCTTTGCGTTGTTAACACTTTTTTAATTAAAAAAAAGAGTGGGCAGAGGCCAGGCACTTTTTCCAGTAAGTAAACAAAAAAAAACTCTGAACGATGAACATCCTTGTTGTGTATCTGTGTGGTGGGAGCCAGTAGGGGTGGCCGCCCGGTACGGGGGAGGTTCAAAGTTCAGAACGTGTAACCTGCTGAGCAGCTGGCTGGGTTTCAATGCGTCCATCCGCCCTGCCGGCCCCTCGGCGGGTCCCGCTGCAACACTGCCCTACTGCTTCGCGCCCTGCTTCGCCTCCTGCTTGTGCGCGCTCCGTCCAGAACGTCCAGCCCGCCGGTTTGGCGGTCCGCCAGACACGCCCTTGTGGGGCCCCTTGCCCCCCAATCTGCATACCCCAGCCCAGCCCAGCCCAGCCCGCCGCGTCGCGCCCTTGGAGCCCCTCGTCGTGGGCAGCAGGAGCTCGTCCGCGAGACGCTCGACTCGCAGCCCCGCGTCTCTCCACGCCCCGTAGGCCTCGCCGTAGGCAGGCCGCCGCACATGCCCCGCGCCCCCAAGCCCACGCGAGGACGACACGGTGAAACTGGTGAAACCTGGTGAAACCCAGCCGGCCGCTGCCTCCAAGGCTGCCTCCCCCGTGCTCGGCGGCCCCGGTGCCCCGGTCAGCAGCGCTGCCACGGCATCGAACTTTGTTTTTCCTTCTCTCTCTAAAGAGCCTGGCTCGGTGGCTCAGCAGTTGGTACTGGTGCGGCCGTGGCCGGGCCTCGGGCCGGACGCTAAGCCGCTGTGCCTCGCCCTGCCCCTCTTGATGGCGTGCCCCGTGCCCCCAGGCGTCGAGTGCGCGGACTTCGGCGTTGGCGCGCGTCCGGCCGTTGACGCCAACCTCCGCGTGTCCATCCTGAGCCGCGGCGTCGGCGGCCAGGCGGTTTTCTCCTGCCCGGCGGGCTTCGGCCTCGTGGGCCCGACTCACAGCGTGTGCCAGGCGAACGGCGAGTGGGCCGGCCCCTACCCTACCTGCAAAGGTGCTCCTGCTGCTCCTGGTTCTCCGCGACCGAGCATGACCAGCATGCGTGGCACGCGCAGCACGCGCATCGAACGACAACGTCTGCCGCGACATCTGCCTCTGGCACGCCCGCCTACGGACGGTTAATATGTTTTGCTCAGTTTCCAAATTTGTGTTAGCGCTGCGTTTTTGGTTTTGGCGCACTTTTTCCTTGGTCAGTTTGGTGCTGGCCGCGAGGGGGGACGGCAGCACAGAGGCTGGCGGACGTTAGACGCCGACCTCGGCGGCTCAGTGGCTGCACTGGCTGGCTCGTCCGCCGAGCTCTTTGGGGCTCCCTTTCTAGTTCATGCACGCTGCTGGCGAAGAGGGTGTTTTTGGCCAGTCCCCCGCACCAAGGTGCCACGCCGCCCCGCAGCCTCACACTCTGTGCTGCCCAGCCGCTGCTTCGGCGTTTGCTCTGGTCCGGCTGGTCTGGCCGGTCCGACTGGTCGTCGCGGTTTCCCGGTACGTACGCTGTGCGGGCTGTGCATCCCGCTTGGAAGTCTCTCGCTTCCGCCTGCTGTCTTATCTTTTACCACTGGGTTCTCGCGACAGCGGTAAGTCTTCTCTTTTGCTTTCTCTTCGAATCGCTCACGTTTCTCCGCCTCTCACTCTGTTTTTTCGGGGGAGTTCAATAACTATACGCCTGAAGGCTCGTGGTGAGCGGAAACCGAACGCCCTCGACATCCTTCAGGTGCCGGGGGTGTTCAATTACTAGAAACTGATGGCGTGCAGCAACTGGCGCCTTAAAGTGTACAGTTATCGAACGCCCCTGAATAACAGTGTGGGCGCGCCAAGTGTCTAACGCCGGCCGTCCCTCGGTTGCAGTGGTGAACTGCGAGGCGCCGGGCACCCCCGACCACGGCTACACCACCGGCCAGGGCCCGCCGTACCGCGCCGGCGACATCGTGCAGTTCAACTGCAACCCGCAGTTCATGATGGAGGGCCAGCCCATCATTGCCTGTCAGGAGAACGGGCGTTGGTCCGGGTCCGTGCCCAAATGTAAGCAGCTGGCCGGCTAGGTAGGCTACTAACCCACCCAACCCCATTCAAAGCATGGCCAGGACCGCCGGGACCGCCAGGACGTCGACACGAGGACTCGCCCCACCGTCAGGATGATGTGGCCGTCGGCCGATCCTGCAGTGACGCAGCTGTCTAATTTTCACTTGATAGGACAAATTCACGACTAAAAAAATGTCTGTGACTGGTAGGCACTTGGCCATTACTGTGGGGCTGATAACTCTCCAAACGCTTGACAGGAACGGAGCCCATCCAAAGCAATAATCAAGTAAAGAAACCCTCTTCTTGTAGTGTGTCTCTTCGCTCCCATGTTGTAGGCTGTCGACGTAGTCCGTACTGTCGCTTTGTCTCCCAGTGTAGCTCCTAGGCCGCCATTGACGTTGTTTAACGAAGCTTGCTAGATGGACAGGCACCGCAGCTGTGTGGACGGAGTGCCCGTGCTTCTGAATTTTTGACGGTTGGAAGTTGAAGTGGTTGCCGCTTGTTCCCCTGCCGTGTGGTGATGGTCGCGCGCCTCGTGCTGTTGCAGGCGTCCAGGCGTGCTCCTACCCGGGCACGGCCATCTCTGGCCGCATGTCCGACGTCAAGTTCTACTACAAGATCGGCGAGACAGTGACATTCGACTGCGACGTGGGCCTCGAGATCCGCGGCGTGAGCATGCTGCGCTGCATGCGCAACGGCAAGTGGTCCAACGCCATCCCGGTGTGCGTTCCCGCCGGCTCCGGAGGCAACCGGTAGCCCAAGCGGTAGCCTCGCTCCCCGCTTTAGCCTCGCTCCCAGCTTCCAGCGCTTCCAGCTCCCAGCGCTACCGGCCTCGCCGTGCTCGCAGCGAGGGACGAGGGCCCAGGGCGCCGCAGGGCCCCGCGCCCCGCACCCCGAGGCAGGAAGGCCTTTACGGCCTCCTGGAGGGCGCGACCATCGAGCACGTCCCGGCCCGCGGTGCCCCGCGGTGCCCCGCTCGCTCTGGGGCCGACCACCGCGCCGCCGCCGCCGCCACCGCCGCCAGGGCGCCACCAGCCGCCACCCGCAAGCTTCCAGGCGGGACTTCCCCGCCCCGCGCAGGCCGAGAGTGCGAGAGAGTGTCGCCGCCACGGAGTCCGTACCAGGACACACGGCCCCAGACGGCTCGTCTGCCCTGACTCGGTTCATGCACGCTGCGTGCGACCCTTGACCCGAGTCGGCAGGCGACTTGTCCAGCCCCTAAGTCGGCCACGAAGCATTGCAGAAACCTCACAAAGCGTTTCGACTCGATTGTAAATTTTGAACGATCCCGTGTTTGACTCGAACAAATTACGACAGAGCAAAAGTTAACAGTGCAACCAAAGTATTGGCCTTTTCGTGCGTTGCTTTGTGAAAGGTTCTGCAGTGGGGGGTGTGCTATCGTTCCTATAGTTTCGGATGACAGACCGTCACAACTCTCTCTTTCTCTCTATCTCCCGCTCTCCACCTTTTTCGGAGGATAATTCTAAGCCTAAGGTTAGTATTTTATTGACATATAATTCTCCCAACCCACGCAGCCCTTCGACCTTGTATTAAAGTTTTCAATGAGCCATGGCTAAGCAAATTGCAACGTATCATATCAACTTCTTATGCTGTTGTTTTTTAAGCCATTATTTAGAAGCGGAATTTGATGTGATTTTGGTACTGTGTTGAATGTGGGCACATCACTTTTTGACTGGAGTCAAGTTTATTCACAGTATCTCCTCATAAAGTAAAAATGGCCTTGGAGCAAGTGTTATGTCACAAATCGTGGAGTGATAACTTGCGCTTTCTAGAATGAAACAATTTGTCTGGAGTCTATTGTTGTAATTTATGTTGTTTTGTTGAAACGAATGTGTCTTTCTTTCTCCTGAAAAACTGCAATCATTTTACAGCAATTTCTGCTGTATAATTTAAAATAATTTTAAACAGCCCTTACTCCCAAATCACTTTGCTCAATTTGTGTTTCTTCACTGCTGCCATTCTGGAAATAAACTATTTCCACTTATTAAACCATGCACAAACATGTGTCAGACAATAACAAAGGATAACATCTTTGTCCCAACATGGTGGGTTTGAATTCTGCTGGTTTCTTATCTTGATACAAAATATTGTACTTAGTAAAACTATCCTGTATGTAGGCCTAGTATTTTAGTCAGTAATGCTCACTGTCTCCACATCAAAAGCACTTTGATGTACCGAAATAGGACTTCTCTGTCTTTCAAGCAGCCTCTATATAAATTTAATAAAATGTCATTCCTGCACTTACTTCCAGGCTAAATTCAAAAAATTGAAGTGGCTGGAAATATGTGCATCTGTTGTAGACGTAACACTTAGATTAGCATGCCTTCAATGAGTAGAAGACATTGTTGTGTAGAATTTTGTATGTTAGGCTAAGGAAGAAGCTTTTTAACTGTGAACAACAAATCTGGGATTTGAAGGAACGGCTAGGTGGAAGAGACTGTTTCCAAGCTTCTAAAGTGTGGCCCTATTGTTAAAACCTTAGCCGACGTCAATGCCTCAATAAACAGCAGAGTGTGATCAAATGTAAAATTACTGCCCAGCTCACCACTATATTGTGTCAATATATGTGAGCAATTTCTTTTCTCTCGACTTTTGTAAGGACATGATATGGCTGAGAAATATTAAATAAAGGAGCTGTCCTAAATTGACAAGTATTTCACACTTTATTTCTAGACTTTTGACAAGATTCATGGCTACATATAATGACACTTAAGAGGGACAATTAACAATGTTCACAATGAATAAAATCTTTGAAAGATTGAGCAAGACTATCAAAGTTGGTAACATATTCACCATGTAACAGAGTGACTAATAAGGTGGTTGATAAAGATGTCAGCCCTAAAATCCTTTACACTTTAACAACAAAATACTATGACCATTAACAATTTTACTGCTAAGACTGAAAAAAAAAAAACACAAAAAAACAACCAAAATAAAAGAACAACCTAACTGAATAATTTGAATATGCAAGCGGGGATAAACTATATTCAAGCAACTAACAAAATAATTGGTGTAAAATCACAACAACAAAAAAGAACAAACTTTGTTACATGAATCACATGGCAGGTTTTGGCATTGGTATCAAACTAGTTAAATTCATTTAAATATATAGATCTTTAAATGAAAAGAGACAAGAGTCTTTATCCCCTGATTATAGCTGGGTGATTCAACTACACAAAAACAAACTGACTACATAAAGTGACTAAAATATTGCAGTCTTACTAATGACGAACAGTGCACATGTCTACCTACCAACCCTAAAAACAAACAGAAGTAAAACGACAAGAACATACAAAGGGGCACGTCAAACCAGCTCTCAATAGTAAGCCTGACTTGATAAACTAATGCAGAAAACAAGTGCCAATATGGCCTTTGCTCATTTTAAATAGTTGAGATGATAACAGAAAGATTTTTCACCAGAATAACTGCAAAAGTCTATAAACTGAATTTGGTTTTTTTATTCAATTTATTCATTGGACTAATAACTTGATACCAAAAATCAACATAAAAATACATCATTCCAATTGAAAAGTGGAAACACATTCTAACTATCCCATGACCAGGCAGTGCAAAAGCTTTGAATTGACTAATTAACTTACACATATTCAAATTCAAGCTAAATTATTGTGGGCATCATTCTTCACATTTATAAGTTTCAAAGATATTTTTCCATTCCCAAATGAAAGTACCCCAGTTTCCTTCAAGCGCTCAGCAATTTTATCACCAAAATTATCTCCATGGGTGGTTTGGTAATTCACTTCATTCTTCTTAATTGACACAAATCCTGTTTTTTTCAAACGCTCAGCTATGGCTGCTCTGAAAATGCTTGATTCCTTTGCCATTTCGGAAACTCTCTTGACAACTGAGACCTCAGCTGTTGGAACATTGCTATCAGCTGTCACTGTAACATATCCCCTTCTTTCAAGCTGCTCTTGCTCAATTAAGAAACGAGGTGGTCTTCCCCCTGCAGCCACACCTGTCCTCTTCCCTCTTCCATCTTGATGGACTTTCATGTGTTCTTTTAAATTACTGCTCTTCAGGAAACAACGACCACAAATGTCACACTCAAAAGGTCTTTCTCCTGTGTGGGTCCTGATGTGCACTGTCAAATTGCCTTTTTGAGTAAAACTCTCCCCACATTCAGGGCAAGTGAACGGACGCTCTCCCGTATGGATTCGAATGTGAACTTTTAGGTCATTCCCTCCACGAAAGCTCTCTCCACAATCCGCGCATTTGAATGGCTTATTTCCAGAATGAACACGTAAGTGACGCTTCAAAGGCACAACATGGCCAAATTCTTTTTGACAGTGCAGACATACAAAGACTCCTGTATTTTTACACATGGAATCTGGTGGTTCAACTTTGTGTTGATAACGCATATGTGCCTTCATTTTATTGAACTGTGGGAATTGCTTGAAACACAGATAACAGGGGTGATTGTCACCCTCCTGAACTCTCATGTGGTTATTGAAGTTCTGTTTCTGTTGGAATGAGTGTCCACAATGTTCACAATAGTATTTGTGGCATTCTGCACTGCTACTAGTATGAATTTGGCGATGTTCCATTAGGTCATCTTTTGTAGCAAATCCATCCCCACAGTTGAAGCACATGAAAGCTTTGTCACCAATATGACCGTTCAGATGGATCCTCAAGTAGCTCTTCATGGTAAAACGTTCTCCACAAATAGAGCATTCAAATGGTCTCTCAGCTTCATGAATTTTCAGATGGAGCCTGAGAAGGAAAATGGAAGAAAATGTTTTCGAGCAATGTTTACAATTGAAGGGACGTTCACTGGTGTGCTCTCTTCGATGAGTTGTTAGGCAGCTTGATGTTGCAAAGCGTTCCCCACAGTCGACACAAATAAATGGTCGCTCTCCAGTATGGATGATATAATGACGTTTCAGATGGCAACTTTTGACAAAAGCTTTACCACATTCGTTACAAATGTGTTGATGTTCTGATGTGCCTTCATCAGTTTGTTCACCAGCTGACACATGATGGCAGGTTGTAATGTGGTTTTCAAGAATTTCTAATGATGAGGAAGTAAGAGGACACCATGGGCAAACATGAACCCCTCCTAGTAGTAAGAAAACAATTAAATTAAATTTAAAAATTAGAAATTTTGCAACAGAAATTAAAATAAAATGTCAAAAGAGTCAACATACCAGATGTAATAGTCCCACCTGTAGCCACGGTTACCTCAGGTTCTAGACATGCTAGAAGGGAATCAGTTGGGCGTGGAGCGTACACAGCCTTTAACTTGGAGTTAAGTTTCTGAGATCTAGAGAAGGTCAGAATGCAATCCATTACTTAAAAATGTGATTATATGAAAAGGTTTTAATAATGTCAAATAATTATATAAAAACTTACAGCTTGGCTATAATGCCTTTTGGTTTCAATTGTTCTGCATGCAGAGGTGGCTCTTCTTCTGGTGCCTCTAGGCTACTTTCATGGTCTTCATGGACGTCAATGTCCAGAAACATCCCAGCAAACTCGGAACCATCATCTTGTTCTGTATCACTCCAGTCTTCAGGGTAGTTGGGGAAGCTGGCTTCATCTTCAGAACTTATATCTATTGCCTTTGGTTTAGAGTTGGCTTGAGAAATTCGTAATGACGACCGTGTGGGTCTGCGAATAAACTGATTTTGGGAGGTTTCCATGGCTTTTCCAGGTTGCAATGTTTCTTCCCCAGACATGTCTGCAACAAATCGTACAGAAATGTAAAGAAAGAATTGTGACAGTCTAAATCTGAATGCAGTTGAGCATGCAACAGTTGAGAAGCAACAGGTACACTCATAAAACACAAATTGTGTTCTAGCGAGGCAAGCTGAAAAAACCTTAATTACCACTTAGAGCACATTGTATGTAAAATAAAAACAGATTGATATGTCATGCTTTGTGTCATAAAACTCCTAGTAAATGTTCAAAATTTAACTAAAATAACCAACACAACCTCTAGCTTATAACTTCAAGGCTAACCCGCTTGGCCCGTCTTGATTGAGAGCTTGATGAGAAAAAAGGTATCTTAACGAACTAGACAAACATCATAATAGTTTCTATGAGCGACTATGTTCATCCCTAAAAACGATTAAAACAATCAGCCACAATGCTTTGTTATGGTTGTGATTAAGTATGAATGACGATTAATTCCATGCAAGACAAAGTTTATAGCCAAAGTTCAGTTCATTTAGGTTTGAAATATAACATCAATTATCCCTTACCATTCAGTGCGAGCGGTTACATTTCGTCCCTTCAAAAATAAGGGCTTCACTCCATGACTCAATGTAACCAAGTTCCAAGTTCCAAATTCTAAGCAGAACGGAATGAAGTTGCTATGAGAAGTTGTTGGCATGGCAAAAAAATCTCTATGAGAAATTACGCGATACTGAATCTAATGGGACTTAGTGACCCTATGGGACTTGTCCTATGAGCTGTTCAGAAGATTCGGAAGTTAGAACACTTGCGAAGAAAGTACGGGCAGAGTTGCATTTTGGATTCTCGAAGGGTACTAATTTGCTTGTGAATACAGAGATAAATGCTTACAATGGTATCCAAACCAAACTCTGTTAAAAATTTCAAATTTGCCGCTGAAACCACACCAACACAACAATTATACTTGTGAAGAAGCGTGGTCAGCGTGGTTAAATAATTCATAGATGGCATGATTCTTGAACCTTTGAAAGGTCTTCTGTCAGCACAAAATTGACATGTTGTCACAGAGCCGGTGGCTTCGGGGCATATGTAGTATTCACTGGTTTTTCTGGAAGGTTGAGGTGACTGGTTCCCAAGGTCAATAATCCCCTACCACAACTTCTCATACAACTGTGCCGATTTGCAATCGCTTCGCGCTGTGTTGTTTTTCGTTTGTGTCCGTCAGAATCCTCTGCAATTTATTTGATTCTTTCTCTTCTGTGTTCGGAGAACGAGCAAATTGTGTCCAGTTTTTCCTGTTTCGTTGGCTCAATACATTAAGGTAACCTTGAGTGGTTCTCGTGTTGGTGCAAGCAATGATTGGACGGCGGTAGACACAATGCGTACTATTGCGTAATACTTAGTGTTGATCATGTCAACATTTAAAAATGGCTATTTTTTTCTGCTAGCTCGCACAGTTTTCTTTTTAAACTGAAGTTGCAGCGAGTGAGGATGTGGTTTATGTCGACAGTGTTGCACAATTTGTATTCGTGAGATATCGTAACCTATTTGGACCAGCTAAACTTTGTTTCTGCTTCAAGTTTGTTGTTTCGTAACCAAATTTAGAGGAAAATATTTAATTAGTATGTTTAAATGAAATGTTTTATTGTTATTATCAACCTTTTGCTCATGACAGTGTACATGAGTATTATGTGCCACTTTCCATCTATGTGAACCCATTTTCTTACTGCCTTTTTTTTGTTTTGGTGCATTGCAGGATGGCGCCCCGAAATAAAGAAAATAAACAGTCAAAAGGGCGGCGTGGAGACAACAGTTCTAGAGAGGAGTCCGACAGGGAGTGGGAGAGGGAGAAAGATGGAGATGAGTACCGCAAAAGGAGAGACAGGAACAACCAGGTACTGCTCTGGAGGCCAAAAGTACTCAAGCTGCTCCCTATTCTCTTCATAATATTTAATTCTAATTCTGAAAAACTTTGTTGTTTCTCTTTAGGCTGTGCGAAGAAGTCGAGTGAAAAGCAGAATGCGTACACAGCAAACATTGGAACGAGTCAATCAGCTGAAAACAGAAAACGAGCTATTAGAAGAGAAAATCCGCATTCTTACTAAAGAACTTGGTTTTTTGAAGGACCTATTTTTAGCTCATGCAGGTAATTTTTTTCCTTTCTCACTGACTGTAGGAAATTAGACTATTTGCCTTGTCGGTATTATATATTTCTTTAATAATTTTTTTTCAGGTAATGCACATGCAACTGACCTGAATGGCATAGACTTGGAGCGGCTTTTAAGTGACACTCCTAAAGAAGCACCTACCACAAGTTCAAGCACCTCAGGGACTTCAAGATCCCGTTCAAAGCAGTATTAGACCACTTATTCTCTTTCTTTCCCATTATCATGTGAATGATTTTAACCCTTTCAAAATTGGCCAAAATACTGATTTAGCAGTATCGTCATGAAGGACTGAATTACTGTCTCTTCATTTTAAAAATGGAAAAATAGCCTCTGGTTTGTTTTCAATTTAGAAATTTCATAATTGTACATCACTTGAAATGTACCACAGGTTTTCTTGTTAGAGATGAGGTGGGTGTATAGGCAGACGTACTAAGGTTATCTACAGTTGTGTAGTAAATGTCATTTTAGCCCCATTTGAGATTGTACATTTATGCAATTATGAGCCAAGCTTTGAAACAGTGAGACAATATTTTCTTGCTGAGTGTACCAAAATTGTGGTGCCTTGTTGCATTTCTTTGGTCTAAGCCATTGAACTTATTTATGTTGATTTTCAAAGTAGAAGTAAATTTGTCATATTATCATTCATATTTTCTGTATGTAATAAAATGTTTTATGATAGTGTTTACAAACTAATGAAAGTAGTATTATTATTTAAAGTAGCTTTAATTGATGAGATAGAAATTAGAGAGTATTAGTCTCACTTTTTTCTGTTAATAGTTTTAAAGTAGTGTGTATATGTAAGGCTTTGTTGAAAGCATTTAAGTGTAACATTTGTATGCATGTTCACTATTGTGGGCTGAGCAACTGTGATTGCTTTAAATTATTGTCTTCAAAGAATGAAATGTACAGCCCTGTCTTTGAAATCAGGAAAGAAACAAACAGGAAAAAAATCATTGCATCACTCTGCTGCACATTTCCTGGTTCTCTGTTTGTTTGTTGACTAAAATACAATTTCTGCTGACTTAAGTTCATTTTTCATCTTTAGATATCTTTTAGTATTGTCACATACTGGCTTAACTATTTTATTGTTTATATAATATGTCTATCTGTGTTTGAAAACTTGATGTTTTTATGGTATTGTTTTTTAAAAACGTGTTGCTCACTGTCTTTGTATTTATTATTTATTACTGCGAAATAGAGGCTCTCTGTTCAAAATTTTGAATCCATGCCACATGCTATGCAACAACATAATTCCAAATTTAATTTCTAGATAGGCCATATGGGAAGTTGATGAATGCTGATTTTCATTTCATTGTTTATTAAATCATGAAATGACCGCACTGTTTAATACAAATACAACATTCACAAAATTTCAATTTAATTTTTTAACGTATGTACAATTTTTTCTTCAATCTGTTTATTACAATCAACACTTCACACTTTTTATGCTCAATATTTATTACTACAGTCATCAGGAGACCTTCTAAGTAGGACATAAAAGTCACAACAAAATCATAATGTAAAGTCTGGTTGAATCAGTCACCAACATGTTTCAAATACCTTCACATCATGATGCGTTTGTCACTTTTTCTTTCTAGGGGTATCCTGACAGACTACTTAGACTATGATAGACTGATAATAAGTGAGCACCCTTTGCACCCGAGCCACACGAATGTCAAGCCAAGCTATTGGCAATCAAAATCATGAGCTGAGGAAAGTAATACAATATAGTTAGCGAATGGCACCCCACGCTGAGGCTCTTCACAAAGCAAAATATGTCTCTAAGATGCCTTCACTTTAACAAGGAGGACTCATGCAACCGAGTCCTTAATTGATTTAAAAAATGGTCAGTGGCAATTCCACGAGGCTGAGGCTGTGGAGCTGCTGTGGAGCCGCTCGACTCGTCACACCTCGATGAACTACTTAACGAGGACGATGTCGGGAAATCCCCGCATCAACCAGCAGGTCGCGCTGTCCTCATAGTGTGGATGCAAATACAGAATATCACTCCCCGAAAACAACAACAATTGAACTAGACGAGGACGGCTGGGGGATCGAGGTCCAGGGTCCTGGCTGGAGTGGCTTGGAAGACATCGGACGATGGTCGGGTCATGCAGCGACCGACGCCCTCCTCGCCTGGGCGGTGGCGCGGCCGGCGCGGCCCTGGGGGCGGTCCCGGTGGGGCTGGCAGCCTGTGGCAGTGGTGCGCCTAGCCCTGGCGCGTGGCTGGCTGTGGCGGGGCGGGGCTACTCGCTGCCGTCCGCGTCGCTGTACACCCAGCTGTGCGGGGAGGTGCTCCGACTCCGCGGCCTGCGCACAAAGGCGTCGTCATATAGCAGAGGATGTAGACCCGCCAGGCGGCCTCGGGGCGGCAAGCGGCGGCAAGTGGTGCGCGGCATACTCACCCTCTCGGCGGCGAGGTGACGCTGGCGACGCCGGCCACGTGGATCTGCTCGGGCCGGCCCACGCTGGCGCCCACACTGGCGAGACGGCCGCGCTGCCGCAGGTCGCACGGCGTGGTGGTGCCGCTGGGGGCGCCGCTGGCCGCCCCGCTGGCCGTGCCGCTGCCGGGCCAGCCCTGGCCGAGGCACTGCGCGGGGTGCGGCGGCCCCACCACCATGCCCGTCATGGACACGGGCGGCAGCACGTGCAGCGCCTCCACCGACAGCGACAGGCTGACCGGCTCGTTGACGCCGTTCGCTTTGAGCCGCCGCTGCTCCGCGATCGTCGCCCGGAGCGTCTTGCGTTTCTGCGGAACAACGGCGGAGGTTAGGACGGACGCCGAGGAAGGACGGCGCGAGAATGCAGCGGTCCCGCCCTGAGTCCCGCCGCGGAGCGGCCAGAGTAGTGAAGCTGCGAGGGAAGGAGTGGAAAAGTGGTGCATTTTCGTGTCCTACGATGTGATGACGAAGTGTCGTTGGTCATGATCGAGGTGCGTGTAGAAGGAATGTGGCCATTCTGCGGGACTTCCCCTGCTCGACTAGGTGACATTCTAGACTGATCTACTTGCACACACTAAACGAATGGCAGGACTGCGTGTATGTGTGTATAGTGTGTGAGTGAACTGTAAAAATTTATTGTCACTTTATTATAAAAGAGTGGAAGAGAATCTCATCACAGGGTGATGAGATTTTCATCAAAGCTCCACCATCAAAGCAATATGGCCGTGACAAACTATGTCATCAACTGGTTTGCTGAGATCCTTTTGAGGAAAATCAGTCTTGAAATTGTCATCAAGCGACAACGAAAAATTCGACAGTGTGCAGCTAACATTTAATAAACCATTCCGCAGGCAAAGCCCCCGTAGAGAGTCCTTCTGAGAGTACGTCACCTCCTTGGCGATAGCCTAGCCGGACTCCGGACTCACCTCAACAGCCTCGGGGCAGCCTCTCTGTATGAAGCAACAACACCAGTGAGTTAGCAACACCCAACCCAACCCGGCCGCGCCTGGGTTGCCTGAGTGCCAGGGCTGCCTTGGCCGCCTGGGCCCCGGCTCACAGTATGGGTGTACAGTGTATGTACAACAATCCAAGCCAGTTCCGCCGTGTGCGTCTCGGCGGCATCCCCGCCCCTACCATTGTACCCGACTAGCGAAGATCGTTTACAGGTTAAGGTCAACACTGGAAGGATTCAAGGGAAAAGCCCCCCCCCCCCTCCCCATGGCGACTAGAACCGCCAGAAAGGTAGGCAAAAGGCCATACTTCGCCCGTGTAAGTAGACAAGAAGTGCTACTTTGCCCCCTCCCTCCCATAAGGCCGCCTTTTGAGCCGCGCTGTGTTGGGCGGGTCCGGGTTCGAATCCCGGCCTTGTCCCTTTGGCGGGGCGGGGCGGGGCGGGGCGGGGCGGGGCGGGGCGGGGCGTACCTCGATGGCGCCTCTCCACTTGTCGGCGGCGTGGCGCGCCAGCTCCAGCCGCTTCTGCTTGCGCGTCTGGTGCTTCTTGTAGACCATCTCGATGAGGATGAGCACGACGCCGAACGCGATGCCGCCCGCCACCAGGATGAACACGCCCGCCATGTTCTTGAGCCCCAGCGTGTTGGGCGTCTTCTCGTTCTGCTCGCACTGCGCCAGGTTCAGGTTCCCCTGGAGGATCCACCGGTTGTCCAGACTCTCCATGAAGCCGCCTGCAGGAGAAGGAGTCGTGAGAAACGCCACGCGAGCCGCGACACTGACAGCGGCCTGAGTCGGGGTGGGGAGTGAGAGCGCCTGACGTCGGGCGGAGGCCGGCCCGTCACGCAGGGGTGCTTGGCGGGTCGGCCTACCCTCGGCATGACAGGCGCTCTCCCCGCCCCTCCGGCTTACTCTCGTGGAAGTCGAGGATGGCGAGGGTGACGGCGTCGGCCCACGGCGAGCCCTTCTGCAGCCCGATGCCGTAGCCGGACCGTCCGAACAGCTCCCCGGCCGTGACCAGCTCGCAGTCCTGCGCCGCCTCGAAGTCCAGTCTCGAGCTGTCCCAGATGAACGCCATCAGCTTGCTGCCGGCGGAGCATCGAGAAAACTTTTTAGCGGCAGTGTTCCGTTTTTTTAAACGATCTGGACCGATTGCGGTTTTGACGGCGTACCCCCGCTTGACGTCCTCGATGGCGTCCTCCGCCGTGTCGTAGTTGTTGGCCTCCATGGTGCGGTACATGTTGCTGAGCTCCACCTGCCGCTTGAAGTACATATCCACCGCGCTGCCCTTCACCGTGGCGCACGTCAAGTTCTCCATCGTGTTTCGAAGCTGGAAACGAAAAAAATAAACTCGTTCGTCACGTCAAATGGCAATTCCCTGAGGCGAGCGGGGAAGCCCTCACCCTGGCGTCGTTGATCCCCGTGAGCTTGGTCTTGGGCCGCTCCAGCACGAGGAAGGCGGCCAGGTTGGCAGTGTACGAGGCGACGATGATCATGGCGAAGCCGGCCCACACCATGCCGAGCACGCGGGCGGAGAAGCTGCGCGGCGTGCCTGCGGAGGGAGAGAGACAGCCCGTCAGCACTCGGCCACCTGACTTGCGACGCTTGGACGGCGCGGTGCGCGGCACCCACCCTCGCCGATGCCGCTGTTGAGCAGCACGCCCCACGCGAACCAGATGGCCGAGCTGAGGTTGAGCGCGTCCTCCTCCGTGCCGTCCGTGTTGGCCAGCTTGAAGCGGCCGAAGGGTGAGAAGCGGTCCAGCAGGTACAGCACCAGCGCCACCACGTGCACCGACACCATCACCAGGATCCACAGCGTGTTGGAGAAGGGCTGCAAGAAGGACACGAGCGTCGACGACCGCGACGGCTTCTTCTCCAGGATGGTGATGCCCTGCAACAGCGACGTGGCCGTCAGCGGGGAGCGGGTTTGGCCGCAGTCGGCGGGGTCGCCGAAGAGCGCGGCGCCGCGCCTGCTGGCGCCTCACAGTGGGCCAGAAGACCGGTGGAGCGGCCAAAATTCTAGACGCGTTTTGAGCTCCAGAGACGCTAAATGGGACACAAACCGACCGTGTGACCCCACCAATGGATTCCTCGTTCGGAGAGCAATCCATTGGTGGGGTCACACGTTCGGTTCGAGTCCTAATTAGCGACTCTGAAGCTCAAAACGCGTCTAGAATTTTGGCCGCTTCGCCGGTCTTCTGACCCACTGTGCGCCTGCCTCACCTGGTACTTGAAGGGCTTGGAGAACTCGATGAATTCGGCGCGCTCCGGGTTGATGGTGAGCGGCGCCACGATCATGTCGGCGCGCTCGGCGACCAGCTCGCCGATGAGCCCCGTCCACTCCTTCTTGCCGCCCACCGTGGTGTTGCGGATCACGTAGTTGCCGAACAGCCCGTCGGGCGACAGCGCCAGGCTGTACGTGAAGTTGATGGTCTTGGCCAGCTCCTGCAGCAGGTCCATGCAGAAGCCCCGGCAGCAGTGCATGACGGTGTCGATCGCTACGGACACGAGAGACAGAGGTAGAATCGAGCAGGACAAGTAATGGGAGCGGACGCGGCGGCTCGGCTCACCCCCAGTGCCGTCGTCGGAGCTGTTGAAGTGCGGGCACGGGATCTCGTCCTGGTTGCACTTGTCGTCCTTGGCCTCGCGCACGTACACGAACGGCTTCTCGGCGATGGTGAGCACTTTGAGGTGCGTGGGGATCATGAAGCCCTCGGGCTTGGTGCGGATGCGGCCCGGCCACAGGATGGCCGTGTCGTCCAGCGTCAGCCGCATGCGGTCAACCTCCCGGGAGAAGAGGTAGTGGCCCACGGCCTCCTGCACCTGGTTCTCCTTGATGTTCACCACGTCGTACTCGGCGTTCACGCGGTCGCCGTTCTCGTCGAAGGCCACCTTTCCCGTCTGCCCGTCCAGCAGCTCCTGCTTCATGATGTACCTGAAGCCAAAGTGGAGGCGTCGATGACTCGCTGAGTGCGCCTCTCAAAGCGGACGACGGTTAAAAATAAAGGCGGACACTCACTCGAAGAGCTGCTTGCCAGTGTCCCAGATGGTGCCCGACGTCTCGCAGTCCGAGGGCGCCTCGGTGATGTTCTTCATGCTGGTCAGCTCGCGAAGCGCAGACGTCAGCACGAATCTTAGACGGACAGAAAAGTGTAAGAAACGAAACAAACACATTTATCGGTAGCAAAGTGGCGGCACTGCACTGCACTCACATGCTGTCCTGGATGTGGGCCTGCTCGGCCGTGGCGTTGACCAGCTTGAGGCCCAGCGTGCCTTCGGGCACGTTGTTGGCCTCCAGGGCCTGCTCGGTCACGATCCACACGTAGCCCGTCTCCGTCATGTTGAGCATCCCGGCGTCGCGGAAGATGACGCTCGCGTCTTTTTTTCTGCAACAAAAATTTAAACCCACCAAAAGTTTTTTTTTTTTTTTGGGGGGGGGGGGGGTCAAAGTTGATGGTCAGCCGATGGTGCACTCACCCCGCGTACATGAGGTACACCCTGGCCTGCGCGCTCCGGATGTCCAGCAGCTGCTCCGTGAAGTTCTCCAGGCCGGGCTCGAACTCGATGACGGACTCCACCTGCACCTTGATCTCCACGTCGTCCTGCTGGCTCTGGCTGGTGGACTGGAAGCGGCCCAGCAGCGCGCGCCCGTCCGTGTCGGACGAGTGGATGAAGATGACCTTCATGTAGTTGAAGTGCTTGAGCAGCTCCACCCAGACGTCGGCCTGGTGCGAGTAGGGCGGCACGGTGCGCAGGAACGAGACGTGGATGTTCTGCGGCCAGAAAAGCCCAAGTGATGAGTTGTTGCGTCCATAAAAAGTGTAGAATGAGACGGGCAACAAAGCATCATTTCCGCCCTCACCTTGTCGGAGAAGGCAGAGTCGCGAGAGGAGATGCCGATGACGGGGATGTGGTAAAAGCCACTTGTGTAGGAGACGGCCGCGGGGGAAAGGTCCCCCGTGAGCGGGTGAGACACGATGACGGCGTACACCTTGTGCGCGATCAGGTCCTTGCACACGTTGAGGGCGGTGCGGATGGGGTTGGGGTCCATGAGGATGAAGCACGGAAGGTAGGTCACGCCCTTCGGCACGTACTGGTCCATGAAGTTGATTTTCTGCGGCAGAACGAGCGATGGCAGTGTAGCGTCAGTGTAAGGGCTGCCCCGCTGCCTCCACTGCTCCGCGACCTTGGCCGCGTCGCGGCGTCGCCGCCTCCCTCCGCCGCTCGCCACTCACCTCGATGATCTGCCTGAAGTGTGAGGCGCTCTCGTTGTTGCTGAGCACGCCGCCGACGTTGTACGTGTTGGGGTTCTCCGCCCCGCATAGCGCGCAGAGCGGAGAGAGCGCCGCCAAGGCCAAGACTGCGGTCCGCAGCGCCGCCCCGGGCGCCCCGAGCGCCCCGAGCCCGCCGCGGGGCCACCGCGAGGTCGCCGACATTGTCCTGCAACCGGACGAACGGCATTCCTCAAACGCCCCGCAGTCTCTCTGCGTCGGATCGCAGTGAAGGCCGCGGCTGATTAGGCCCGACCCAGTAAGCACGGCGGGGAAGACCAGGCCAGGGGGGAGAGAGCGCCACTGGGGCGGCGGCACCGCCCTCCGCATCAGCTGACACCGCCCTGCACCACCCACCCAGGGGGAGATTCCCAATGTTTGGATACACGGCCGTGGCCGATTTTTCCGCATTCCGCTCACCGACACCTCGCCTGGGATGGAATCCGCGGCCCGCGAGGCCCAGCCCGACGCACACTGCCGTGCCCGCGGCGCGACGCCCGCGACGCCCGCGACACACACACGCTGTTGGGGAAGGGCTGAAGGCGTCCGACGCTACCCGCCCCGACGCCACCGACGCCCTGCCGCCAGGGCCGGAAGGGCGTCGCCCAGTGGCCGCCCTTGTCCCTTGCCGCGGCGGCGGGGCGGACACCAGCGGGCCGTGACGGACACCCCCGCGGCCGCGTGCGTCGTCGTGCGCACGGCCAGCCCTGCAAACGTGCTTTCTGTGACTCACCTCGCAGAGCGGCGCGCTACAGGACGGCTTGCTGTACGGCCGCCATGGCGATCACTGGCGGACTCTCGGATCGCGGAGTGCACGGAGTCTGGAGAGCCCGCGCCACGCCCCGCGATGCCCCCGTCTCCGCGCCCCTCCCCGCCGCCGCCGCGGCTCTCCCTCGCGCTGGAGCCCCCGAGCGGGGAGAGCGACGAGGCCAGGCGGCGGCGCGCCACACCGCGCCCCTCGCACGCAGCCGCAGAGCCATGGCAGGGCCAGGCAGGGCCAGGCAGGGCCGCGCCCGATCGATGTGGAGCTCTCCTCGCCTCGGCTCGGCTCTTCCCTCGGAGGCTTGGGCTCGGCTCGGCCCTTCACCCGAAAGGACCGTTCGGGCCCTCGTCCTAGGGCCTGACAGACCCCCACCCCGAGCCCTTTATTGCCCCCCATGCCCACTGTCTCCCCCGCAACAAGGAACATAATTCACCCGCACTACCCGGCGCTGTATGACGGAGTCGCGCTCGGAGGCGAGGCGATCCCACCCGAGTGGTCATCAGGCTGCGTCTTTTCGGTCTTTCCCGCCAAACATGTAAGTCTCTCTCGGACCCCCTCACCAAAATATCCACGAAAAGTCTTGAAGCGAAATATTCATGTCAAATTGTGCATCTCTGGTCTCGAAGTCACCCAACCTCGGAAATAGTTGTGACCGCAGAATTGTTTCCGTCACGGAGTATAGACGCGCACCAGTGCGAATACCCCTGGCTCACGCACCAGCCTCCCGCCAGTGGCCGCCACCCCTCGTAGGGCCTACCCCGCGTTGCGGCCTTGGCGCGGTGCGAGGGGTAGCGCCCCTCGCGCGTCAATACCCCTCGCCACGGCACTCTAGCGGCGGCCAAACAGGAATACTCCACGCCTACGACGCGCCTAGTCCCGGGTTCAGTCCCCTCTCCCCGGCATTTCAATGAGAAACTTGTCGCTGTGTAAGAAGCGAGAGGTCACTCGCGTGGCACATAAACCGGAGCTGCTCCCTGCAGGCCGCGCGCTGCGAGTAAGGGTTTGGGGCTCTGAACACGCAGATCCTGTTGTCCGCGGTTCGAGTCCCTCCCTCACGGCCCACCCCACTGTATCCGTTTTGTTTTGCCATCCCCGCGAAAACACGACACCTGGCCAACTGGCGCTACGCGCGCAGCGTGGCGTACTGTTTGCTTTTTGATTGGTGTGTGCACAGCGACTCCACTGTTATTCCTGCCGGCGCTGCTACTTTTGCTCGGCGCCCTGGCTGCCCTGCCTGGCCCCGGCGTGGTGGGCGAGCTGGCTACAGGCGAGCCCGGCGGGGCGGGGCCAGGCGGGGCCCCGCTGCAGGTCTGCGGGTGTCGCGCTCCGGGTCGCCGTGTTGGCTGTTTATTTTGGATGCCGCTTGACTGGGCGCCAATATTGACTGTGTTTGTTAGTGAGCGCCACGGCCGCCACGGCGCGCCGCATCCGCGGAGTTCGGGAGCCTCTCTTGGCCAGGGCGGCCTGCAGGGCCTGTTGTAGACTGATGCAGAGCGTCGCTAGCATGTCTCTTTCGCAGGGGATGCCTCATGAAAGCGAGAGAGACAGCGACGAAAACGACCACTCTTCGGAACCGTCGTTAGGCTGACACACTGCGTCATTATCGAAGCCACGACGCACGACTTTCGTCTTTTTGTCGTCGCGAGTTGCAACTTCCGGGCGGGCCTCCTTCCGGGGGGCGTGCTCCGCGTGCTCAGAGGCCCGCGGCCCGCCGGGCTTACAAAGAACACCCAAATCGGTTTTCCGTGCGTCTCGTGGGGGCCGTGCGGGGCGTGGGGCTGCAAGGATATCGGCAATCCCTTGGCGGCGGCGGCGCGCAGCAAGGCCAAGCAAGGCGGGACCGACAGAGAGAGCATTGTGTCCTGAGTTACTCATCCCATCCCCTTTGAGGCGGCGGAAAAGAATTCCCCTGCACACCGGACGTGTGCGCCCCCTTCCCCTCCGCGCCTGGCGCTTGGTCGCCTGCAGTGGACCGGCCGAGAGGTAAGGGATCGGCGGCGCTTGACGCGCTGGACGCGATAAGAGTCTCGCACCACCCTTTAGAGGGCGGAGGAAGCACTTGGCACTTGGGACTGCGAAAGGCGGCAGTGACCCCCCCCCCTTTTTCCTTCCGCCCGCCCCGCCCCTCGCCGGCATCCAGGATATCATTAGTCGCTCGGAGGCAGGACGCCCAGGACGGGAGACGTCCATTTGCGGCTCCAAGGGAATCCTCAAACAGGCTGGCCACCTGCCCCAATGGCCCCGCGGTACGCGGTAACAAGGAAGACCCCGCCGGCCGCGGCGACCACGGCCTGCTCATTACAGTGTGTCCATCCGTCTGGATGAAGGACGCCGTTGGCGAGCCGCGGAATGGACCAGTGCTGCCAATGACGAGGGCAAAACTCAGCAGCATACACTAGTGAAGAGAGGGTTGCCAACCTTAGCCTGTTCACGAGGCAGTATCTTGGCTGCGCTATCGAGAAGTTGCCTGGTGGCCTGGCCAAGGTTGGCCACTCTTTGGACACTGGTGCGAAGTGGGAACTTTCACCCATTATGAGGCGGCATTGGAATGAGCGGCACCCCTGCGCAATTCGATACTCACCTCTTTACGGCGGCCTCCTCGCTTTCCCCCAGTCCGCCATATTTGGTCTGGGAACGGCCCATAAAACGGCGTTTAGATGTCCCCTCCTCAGAAGGCAGGGCAGGCAAGGCAGGGCAGCAGCCCACCGCGCGCTGTCCCAGCCACCTCCAGCCCCCGCGGTCCCCGCCCGCGCCGCGGACTCAGCGATATTGGAAACGGCCGAAAAGGCCGTCCTCTTGCCTCGACAACATTATTCCGCCTTCCCCATTCACGATATTCCATTTTTCCTGTGTTCACAATATTTCCTGTTTGCGTCGCGGGGCTGCGCGGCGGAATCCCGCGCCCCAAAAAATACAGTGTGCATGCTTGACGGGTGCTGGGCAAGGAAACAGCTGTTACAAAACATATCACATTTCTTTCTTTTTCACGCATACAAAATAATAACACAATCTCTGATCGAGAGACAATAACCAGACACAGCTTTGTCGCACGCGCTTCACTGGAAACAGAAAGAGAACAATTCGTACACATGTACAGTAAGCCCGATCACAGGAATGGCTTTTATATAATCTTGAAACAAAGTGTTTTTGTGTAACTACTCGCATGCCAGTTCTGAATAACAATTATGATAATTCTGATAATTTTTTCTTGGTTCACAACTAAAATTGTACATTAATTTCTTTACTTGTGCATTCTAGCTAAACTAACACTATATAACAATGACATAACACAGTATTTACGATTCATTAGTCTAAGTTTTACTTTGAATCTGTCAGGGGCCGTGTGTGAATGTGTCAACCTTGTTTCATCATTACAATTAAAAGCGGCCCACGAATTTATTTGTGCAAGTTGAATTGTAAACAATCAGATTAAGCACACAGAGCTTGCTGTTCATCTGCACTAAGTTTGTCACCCTAAGTTCATTGGCACTTATCCTTATCTAACTGACTTGATGCTCACTTCAGCAGCACTAAAATAAACGAGTCTGTGCGCAGATTAATGTTTCCGCCACAAAAACAGTCACTTGAAATTTCCGAGTGCTCCAAAAACCAAAACTATGCACAATCCACAGGGAATCCCCTTGTCGACGAGGAGGTCCTGAGGCAACAGTAAGTGTTCGGCAGCCAGTCCCTCGTCCTCAGAGCGACTGGGAGTTCATTGTTTTGCAGCGGGCAGCGTCGGCGGGGACGCCGCGGCACTGTCTTGATCACAGATGCGTTGGTCCGTCGACGCCACTGGTCACACCACGGCCGGGATGGTGATGGTCTCGCACTGGCGGGACTCCACGACGTCACACTCGCTCTTCCCCTGCTTGCGGGCCAGGCGTCGAGCGGATGAACTGCAACAGAGAGGCGCGCACGCGTGCGCAGTTACCCAGGGCCAGGCGGGCACGCCGCAGCGTCGCGAGCCACGACGGGGGGATCATTAAAGGAAGCAAAGGGCGCAGTGCGCAGCCAAGCAGAGCGGATGCAATGCCGAGTTCTTGTTGTTGGTTTTCTGGTTCCTTTTGGGGCACAACGGTGTAGGGTTACGCTAGTCGTATACACTGTCGCAGATGCTCACCGGCAGCGGTTCCGTTTCTTATCTACAGAGCGGGGCGGGCAGCAAGGCAGCGACCTGCCAGTTGTATGAGAAGCGCTATGAATGGGGGGCGTCCGCCCCGTCGGCCCGTGCAGGCTGGCCGGTCTTTGCCGAGACTGGCTGGCTGGCTGCCTGTGGGGCTGGCCGAGCTGGCGATAAGCGCGACAACCGCACCGCCGCTAGCAGGCAGGCGCCACACTCAAAGGGATTATGCTAAAGGAAGGAGGACGAGGTGTTTGTGCCGAACTAAAGAGCGGGCCGCAGACCAAGCTTTGCAGCCGCCAAAAAGGCCGGCGGAAGAAGAAAAAAAAAACGCACTCTAACGACGCAGACAGATGTTAGTAAGTCTCAAAGCTGCAAAAAAAGGAAGCGAAAAGAGGTAAAAAACGTTGAAATTGAAGAAGAAAGAAGCGGTGCTAACCTAAGCCGACGTACCGAGACGGTGGTGGCGGTATAGGAATTGGCCCTCCGTCTCTGAAATACGAAATCCATTCGCCTCCTCATTTGCGCCAGCACCTGTGGACAAGGGGCGGGGTTACGACTCGCCTGGGTTGGTTCTGCTGCAGTGTTCTCAACGACGCAGCGGAGGCACTGGGCCGTACTTTACCTCGCCGTTGCAAAAGCAAAACAGAGTTGCGACCGCGAAGCCCTGCAGAGAGGGAGAGAAAACAAGAAATTATCTCGAGAAAACAACCACACGGTGCGCGTGCACACGGAGAACCGGTGGGGACTGACCTGGAAGGAGGTGAAGAAGGCCGAGACCACCTCGTGGAAGCGCTCCCACATGGAGCCCGTGTCGGGGCGGAACGGCGTCACCAGGTACTGCAGCCCCAGCAGCGGCAGCAGCAGCAGCGTGGCGCGCACGGCCTGCAGCAGGGTCCGCGACGGCCGCTCCGAGTGCGAGCCCACCTGCACACAACGACGGTTACCCTGACCGCCAGCACGCCACCCGGCGCCACCCGGCCACCGCGCAGACCTACCATCGGACCCGCCCGCAGCTTGCTCCACAGCACGCGCACGATGTTGAGCAGGAAGACGAAGTTGAGGACGAGCGAGAAGCACACGGGCACGGCCATGATGAAGTTGTACATGGTGTCGTCCATCCAGCAGCGCTGGCGCGCGTCCGGGTCGAGGCCGCGCATCACGCCGTACACCACGATGATGGGCAGCGGCACGGCCCAGCCCAGCAGGTACAGCCACTTGACGAGGCGCTCCTCGGCGCCGAACGCGTTCACCAGCACCGTGTGCAGGTACAGGCCCTCCGCCAGCATCCAGCAGTAGTTGGACAGCAGGAAGTAGTGCGTGACCACGTGCAGCAGCTGGCACCACTCCTGCAGCACAAGAAGCACGCCGTCGTCAAGCACTGCAGCGTGGCGCCTTCCGCCTGGCCGACATGTCCTTTAACGTGCCACGCCGCCCCCGCCGCGTCGCGCCGACGGCCGGCCGGGCCCGCCGCTGCCACCCACTTCATGTTTTATGTGCCCACGGAAGATGTATGGCCCAGTGGGTGGCTGCGACTCTGTCCCCCCCCCCCCCTCCGTGTTTTTCCCCCCCGGACGCGCAGCGCGGAGGCATGGCGGGGGTCGGAGCGATCCCTCATCTTCGTCATTATCGAGAGCAACAGGCTCACCGGGTTGTGGTTCAGGATGCTGTTGGAGTTGGGCACGACGATGCCGTAGAACAGCAGCCAGCCCGTGCAGTTGATGGCGAAGGAGCCGAAGAGGTTCATGTGCAGCGTTATCCGGGTGCACCGCAGTGCCCTGCGGAACAGACCAACGCGTCATGCGGGAGCAGGGGGCAAAAACGAAGGCAACTTCGTAAAGCAGCTCGACTTACTTGAAATAGAATAAGATGCCGAGGGACAGTAATAGTGCGAAGAGTGAAATGGAATATCCTAACTCGTTTATTAAAATGATACTATTTCTAAACTGGAAACGAAAGAGGAGAAACACGAATCATTAGTCAACGTCTGCAGGACATGATGGCTCAGGTCAGCGAGGCCGTCTACTCACCGCTAAGTCGTCGTAGTTTATACACGTGGTGTAGTTCGACCACTCGTTCCCCGTCTCCGGGTGGCGGAACCACGACCCGTTCGAGAGGCAGTCCCTGTGAGCGTTCACTGCAACAAACACAGATACATCATTACCCGTCCCATGGGCACGCCAAGCCACGCCACACACTGCCGCGGGCAGCCGACCCTGACGGCAATACATATATCTCATGCAAAGGGAAGGCAAGAGAGGAATTTCATTTGACTGTGCGGGGGAGGGGGGGGGGCTGGGACGAGGCGAGGCGCCCCTTGGCCGGGCGCTGAACCCGGATACCCATAACTCGCAGCCGATTGCCCCCGGCCAAGCGAAAGAGTTTTGCCCTTGTCGCCAGCATCGCCAGCCCGTAATGAGCCTGCCTGCCAGCCCTGCCAGCCCCGCCAGCCCCGCCAGGCTGCCTGCGCAGCGCCGCACCAGTTTCTCATCCCACACTCAATATACGTTCAATTTCCCTCCCACTGGGCAGGATGTACGGGGGGGGGCGTACTTACTGCGAAGTACATAGTACCCGCCTTGGGTACCCCCCCCCCTCCCGCCGCCCAACACATTCACACGCACACACACGCGTGATAAATAAAATATGTATAGTGCTATACACAGCGCGTTTTCAAAGAGTCATTAACTAGGTGCACCGCAATTAGGTGTGCGGTGTAGGGGGAGCGTGGTGCGAGACAGGGTCGGCCGGCGGGTCCGCGCGCACCGTGCGCACCGAGGCCCTGAGCGTGTTAGGCGGTGAACAATGCCTTGGGGACGGCGGCCGGCGTGGCGGGGCGGGGAGTGGCGCGGCGAGCTCACTTCACCACCAGATTGCAGGTGACGCACCGCGGCTCGCATATTAATGGCAGAAGGATTGGCCAGGCCGACGCGGGGGCGGATGGGGGAAAGCGGGAAAGGGGGGCGGGGATCTTTAATCCGCCCCCCGTCTGGGACTCCGGGAGCAACGCGTCAGTGTCTATCCCCACGGTGGAACTTTCCGTTTTTATTTCATTGCAGTGCGGCGCCGGCTTTGGCGCGTGGAGTTTGGGGCCGTCGGGGCCGTTGGGGCTGACGAGGCGTGATACGCACCGACCTTGCCGACGGCCTCCGCCAAGGACCGGCAGACAATGCCGTGCCGTGCGCCGTGCCGTGCCGCGCCGAGCCGCGTCAGGGCTGCTGAAGAATTGGCTGCCTACCCACACAGGCGATGACGCCTCCCTCCCCCTCCCCCTCCCCGGCTTGGCACTTGGCCTAGGCGTGAGTGCGGCGGGGCGTCGTCGGGAGCCGCGAGGCCCGCGGGCCGGGGCGGGGCGGGGCGGGTGGGGTGGCCTTGAGACATGGCAGACGTTGTTGATTTTATGGAGCCAATAAGGGATGGTGAACCCGACCCCGCCGCCTCTGGCCGCCTCCCCGTTCCCGTTCTCCTCCCCGACTCCCTGGCTGCGCCAGAGAGGTCCACGACACCGGGAGAGCGGCCCCAGCCCGAGCCCGGCACAGCCATCCAAAGCCATCGCCGGAAGTGGAGCCAGTTCCGGTTTGCGTTTTGGCCAGCAGCGTTTCCTGTTTGCACTGCGCGGTCCTGTCCGTCCCGCCCGTCCTGCAGCAGGCCGAGAGGCTTTTCGTCGCCCTGTCTCTGTCGCACTCAGGGCCGCACTGGCGTACTCACACTTGGGGTCGAAGCCGATGATGAAGTAGGGGCACGGCATGACGGCCGAGGTGTTGGCCTCGGTGTCCGGCCAGCAGACCCAGCTGTCGAAGACGCCGGGGCACATCGCTGCAACACGACAAAGAGCTCAGTTAGCGCACCTTAGAAATAGTTCCAGTTCAAAACTTTTGCAACCTTCACAAAAACTTGGCAAGGTGGAACAACGGGGAGTCGAACCCACGCCGGTCGGCGAAAGCCAACAGACGGCCGCCTAACGACCGGCCGGCGGTGACCACCCCTCCCCTCCCCTCCCCTCCCCTCCCCGGTTCGCAAGGTTCTCTGCCGTACATTTTATCGGAGCGTCATCTGCTTCGTTATCGGCGGCGGACCACCCGAAATTCGTCGACTTTCAAAAGAAGCGGAGGGCTGGATATAAAACGGGCAAAACTTTCGCAGATTGGGGCTGGCCGGTGCGGTGGACATGGCGGTGGCCGTGGCGGCGGCGGAGCGGGCGGCGTCATCGTAAAATGAGTGGTCGCGCATCAGCTATCGGTGGCGGGCCGTGGCCCGTCCCGTCATCAGGGCAGCGCCGGCAGCGCGGTTCGTCTGGGGAAACTTTTTTATCATCCCGACGTCTGGGACGTCCGCGCGTCACAGCAAAGGTCACAACAGCGACAACGCGGCGGCAGGGGGCGTCTTGTACGACTTTCTTTCTCAAAAAAAAAACAACAAAACGCGAATAAATCAGGCGACCTCACTTCGGCGTTCTTAACGAGTGCGAGTGAGAGGGCCACTTCAGCCCCGCCCCTTCGATCCTCTCTTCCAGCACACACGCACCCCCAAGCGGTGCCCCCCCCCCCCCCCCCCCCGCGGCGCCGATCCACCGGCCCATCACCTTTATTAAAAACACGATGCCTGCACTCGCTGCGTCGCCGTCGCGCAGGCAGACAGGCAGGCGGACAGACAGGCAGACAGGCAGACAGACAGACAGGCACCGGAAGGCGGCGCGCCCCGCGGCTTGTTCAAATATTCAGAGGCAAATCCTCGTAAAGATGAGCGGCGCGTAACAGGCCGCGGCTCGCCGTGGTTGATGTGCAGGGCACGCGCGATTTACACAGACACCGACACTAACTCACGTCTGGCTGTGCCGCGCCGTGCCGTGCCGCGTGGCAGAGGAGGGTCGACGAATTTTTCATGGCCCGGCGCGCTTCTAGCGGGGCCTCCCGCCATAAACCATGACGCCGTCCGAGGGGCCGGCCGGGCCGGCGGGGGCCCCGCCGGGGGCTGTCCCGGGGGCGGCGCGACGACGAGCTTTTCATAGTGGCGGGTAGGCGACGACGCGCGGCACCTCGCCGACGACGAGATCGACCTGCGCGTCGATCTCGCTAATGGAGGGCGGGCAGGCCCTTGGCCAGGCCGACCGTCGCGACCTTGAGGGCCTCGTCGACCTTGGCGGCCATCGGGCTCCAATCCCATCTCGGCCGTGTCGACCGTCTCGACCCCGATTGGCAGATTCGCCGTCCTTGTTTCTTTCCCCGGAAACCGCGGCGCCGTGCGAACGTGGCGCCAACTATAATTAGGTTTGGCGCACTTTGCCGAGTAGTTTGAAGCGCTCCGCTTTGCCCCGCCTTCATTCGGGATTCAAATGACGAGATAATCGGCGCCAAAGTGGCGCCAAGTTCGGCGCGAGGGCCAGGTTACGCCAGCAGGGCGTTCGCGGCGGGCAGGACGAGCCGAAAGCCACAAAGCCGGCGCGGCGCGAAGCGATATCAGCACCTCGCCACCGATAATATTTCATACATTTCACATTTCCCCCTCCTCCGCCGCGATGAAACAATAAAGTTGTTTTTCTTTCTTGTCCATCGGGTTTAAAGAACCGGCGAGGATGGGATATTAATGCCCTTCGCCGCTGGCGCGCTGACGCGCTGACGCCGGGGCTGACGACCAGGCCGGGGATGTTTGCCAAGGCGGCAAGTTCTGCTCGTGGATGGGCGTCTCCTTGTTCGCGTTCGCCAATGTCGAGGCCGGGGCCGAGGCCCGTCCAACACGCATACAATGTACATGTGACGGCGTGTGGTTGTGTGAGTAGGTGTGTGTGTCCAGGTGTGCGCGTGTAGGCGTGTGTCTAGGTGTGTGTGGCCTCGGTCGCTCTCCTTTTCATGAGACACAAAGAGCCACGAGGTAAAGTTCGGCACACCACGTACTAAGGGCGACGGGGAGACGGCCATCAGTAAGGGAGGCGAAAAAAAAGAAGAAGAAAAAGTTTCGGTTTGGAGCACAGGGGACAAAGGAAAGGGCTCGGGTGCTCGAAGAAAGGCGCAGGGAGGGAAAGGGAAAGAAAAATAAGGAATTAGATAGCGTTTACGGAAAGGGCTCCGGGCGCACAAGCCTAGCCAGCTCGGAGGCAGCGCATGCGGGGCGACACTAAGCGGACACACACGACTGCCGGCCGGGTAAGGAGCTTTCCATCGCGCATCGCATTACGTCACCGGACGGACGCGGCCCGGGCGGCCTTGGCGACGACGGCCTTGACGGCGGCGGCCTTGAGGTGGGGGCGGCGGCCGAGTGCAGTGACAGGGGCAGGGCCCGCCCCCAGGCCTCAGGCCCGGCGGACCCGCCCCCACTGACAACGCTCACCACTAACCATGGATGAGGGTGTGATGTAGGGACGGGGCTCGACTGTCTGCACTGCCTGTCAGGTCGGAGGCCGGCCTGGATCCAGGGCCCGGCCGCCTAGTCCGCCATTGCTATCTGGTTGCCACAGACATCCTCGGCAGCGCCACTGGAGCCGCGCCGAACCCACACTGGAAGGCGGCAGAGCGCCCTGGCCGCTGTGTATCCACCGCCCTGCGCCGCCCGCCTCGATCCGCACTCGGGATTACCCTTTAGAGGTGTACCCCCCTCCCCACCCCCCTCTCGCCTACCCCGCAGCGGGTGTGAAAACAGAGGGATTTGACAGCCTGATGGAATGTGATAGCGGCGGCAGTGTATTGGCGGGGGGAGGGGGAGGGGGTGGGGCTGCGGCGTGCCGCATTCAGCATTCTGTTGACAGAGCAAACAGGCTGGGCCGTCTTTGGGCCCATCGCAGTGTCGCTACCCCGCCCGCCCCGGCCCGCCCCTGCAGGCCTGCGGAGGGGAGGGGGGGGGGACAGAAAGGGGCGACTGCATCGCGCCGCCCGTCTGCCTGCCGGGCCTGCCCCTTCACAGCGACAGCACTGTCGTCTTAGAGCAAAGACGACAAGGAAAAAAGAGGGGGCGGAGTGAAAAGGAAACAGGGTCACCTGGAAGGCGCGTCCGCGTTCGAACGGCGCGGCGCGGCGTGAGGAACGAGGGCCGCCAGGACTGCTCGGCCGGGAAAAGGAGCACGCGGGACTCGTTTGCCGGAGATGAGGTGTGGTTGGGGCCCCGCCCCGCCCCGCCCCGCCCCGCCCCGCCCCGGCCCGCCCCGCCACGCGGCGTCGCTTGGAAATGAAATTGTCCGCGCCGCGCGCCAGGGCGCAAAAGCTCGCAGGCAACGCACGTGGTATTTACGGCACGGCCGTGACGCCCTGGAACGAGGCGGGGCGGGGCGGGGCGGGGCGGGGCGGGGCGGGGCGGGGCCAGCCTGGCCTACTGAGGCGGGTGTTCGCAGCCACGCGCATGCACTTCCTGGACCATAATTATTCAGCCATTAAATACCGGGCGCTAAACAACCCCGCGCTTCGCTGCGTCGCAGTGCAGGCCGGGAAAGGGGGCGGGGTGGGGAGGAGGGTGGGCGTTGATCACCGCAGGTGGGGGAGGCAGGATTCTGGCGCGAAAAAAGCTCGCTGGCAGTAGGTGTGGCGGGTTGAAAAATACAGGGTGTCGGCGCGGGGGAGTGGCACGAGCATAAACAGTATATAAGCTGCTGCTCCCTCCACCGCCGGCCCGTCGCGTACAGTCATGCTCAGAAGTGGGACGTTTCGGGAGGCAGGAATTTGCGCCAGCGGAGCAGTAAAAAAAAAATATCGGGAAGGTGCGGAAAATCTCGCGCCTGCTGCTTTCTTTCAAGGCCACCAGGGAAAAGTATGCATAGCATCAAAACCTACCGTAAAAAAAAACAACAAAACACAGACTTTTGCGGCGGAGTGTCCGCGCTGAACGCGTCCGTGGAACCGATTACGGCCCGATATTGCGGGCCAGCGTTCCGCCCGCTCCGCCGCCTCGCCTTGAAAGCCAGCAAGGCGCGCAACGGCCCAAACTTGCCGGTAATGAGAAGGTGCGAGGCGCTCGCGCGATGATTACGCGAGTCGTTTACGCGGCCGGCTGCCGTCCGGGCGGGGCGGGGCGGGGCGGGGCGGGGCGGGGCGCGCCTGCTTAATCGAATAAGCCACCGGAAACCTTGTAAAACGAGCGCCATGAGGGATCCGGGCCGGTGTTGCTTTCGCTTTGTTGCAAGGTATAAAAAGCCCGGTCGGCCGGCCAGCGCGCCTGCGAGCCGCGGGGTAGGCAACACGCACAGCATCCCTGCGCCGACGCGCGCCGGCTGCCTGCCTGCCGGGCGGCCTGCCTCGGTCTGCCTCGGCCTGCCGCTACAGTGCACCACCTCAAGGCACCTAGAACTTACTGAACCCAGCCAATTAAAGCACGGTTTATTGACTGGCTTCGGGTGGTATTTACATACAGGCGTCTGCCAACACCGCCCGGGGGCCCCAGGCGGCCGAAAGAATGTTCCATTGTTGGAGCCTGCCGGCGATATTGATGCGAATACATTAGCCCGATGATGAAGGTGCTTCAAACCGGCATGGCCGACATTCCCTACATTTCCACCCACCACCACGCGGTGCGACAGTGGCTCCCCGGGCTCCCACCCCCGCGGCGCGGGGCAGGCCAGCGCGCCCGGCGGGCGGGCGGCCCGCCGGATTTTGAAGAACACCATATATAGCGCACAATTTTACGGCGCTCTTATGGTCTCGTCATTTTATTAGGCCTGGTAGGTGTGTTTGTGGGCCGTGGCGTGGCGTGGCGTGGCGTGCCGTGGCGTGCCGTGCCGAGGGCTTGGCGCGCGCTGCCAGCAGCGCTCCTCGCCCGCTCTCGTTTTATAGGTTGGAATAAAGAGCGTGCCACTGTCGGGTGGCGTGGCCGGGCGTGGCCGGGCGTGGCCGGGCGTGGCGTTGGTGCGGACTGGAGACTGATTCCGCTCAGCGTTCCGACGCCCTGTCTCTCTCGCACCCTCACGGCGTGACGCCCTTCACGGGACGCCCCATGCGAGTGCGAGAGAGACAGAGCGCTGCTGCGTGCACTGAGTGGAGAGTGAGGCACGAAGCGCCCGACTGGTGGCGGCGAACGAAGTCTACACTCGAAACTAACAACAACACTGGAGGGATCCTTACGCCTCGAGTCGCCGCTCCGCGCCTGGGCGGCGTCGCTGATGTTGGCCTCGCAGTTCCTCCGGATGCCTTCCGTGATGTTGTAGATCTGCAACACAACAACAAGGCCATCATGAGACTCGCAGCACTCGCAGGCGCCACGACCTGCCGCTCGACGGGCGGCGACGGACATCGACCCCTGATTCCGAGAGCCGTTTTCGTCGCTCGGTCTCTCCCGCGCCGAACGGGGGACGCCCCGTGAGTGCGAGAGAGACAGAGACGGTCTGCGGCGGTAATTATTGGCAGGAGCGAGCGCGGCGATGCCGGGGCGGCCGGGGCTGCCGGGCAACAACACGGGGCGATGCGCCGCGACGCGGGGCAAGTGGTGGCCAACAACTACTGTCACATAAATCACAAGTTTTGTAGCGCAATCAGCGGTGCACCCCGCGGCCGCCGTGCCGCCGTGCCGCCGTGCATCGGGGGCCGCGGGCGGACGGGACGGACGGAACAACCTCCCGTTCCACGCCACCGCGACCACCACCCCGCCGACGACGCCCTCCCCGACCCATCCTCTGCGCCGCCGACCCACGCCGACCCTCGCCGACCCCGGCGGGGCCCCGGCCTCGGGGAGCCTCGGGGAGGAAGCGAGGCTGGCGCCGTAAAAATAACTTTGTTGCGGGCAACGCGTCGGCTCTTTGCCAGTACACGTCAGGTATGGGCAATGAGGCAGAGGGCCAGTACTCTCCCACGAACCGCGTCCTGCGTCTGCGCCACGAACACGATCCGACTCACACACAGCCAGCCAGCCAGCCAGCCAGACAGACAGACAGACAGACAGACAGGTAGACAGGCAGGGCCTGCTAATAATTGTTCTATTCGCACTCCAGCAGGCCCGCCTGCCGTAGAGGAAAGTTTTTCGTTTTCCAGGTGAGGTGCGGCGCGGAATGGGATTAGAGCGGCGGCTTTGTGCTGCACCGGGCCAGCCCGCCCCGCCCCGCCCCGCCCCGCCCCGCCCCGCCACACGGCCGTGTCGGCGCGCCCCACCCGCCACTCCTCCCTTTCGTCTAGTTCCTTTTTATCCGCCGCTCCGAACGGAACGCCGCTGCAGTGGCGCTGCAGCGTGCTTTTACCGCTGCAGCGTTTGCGGGCCGTGGGCCACTGCGCCGCTGCACTGGTGGCGCACAGTGGGCCAAAAGCCGGTTGAGGCGGACAAAACTCTAGACGCGTTTTGCGCTCCAGAGTCGCTAAACAGGCCTCGAACCGAACGTGTGACCCCACCAATGGATTGCTCTCCGAACGAGGAATCCATTGGTGGGGTCACACGTTCGGTTCGAGGCCTGTTTAGCGACTCTGGAGCTCAAAACGCGTCTAGAGTTTTGTCCGCCTCCACCGGTCTTCTGGCCCACTGTGCGGCGCCCTCTGCATGTGCGGCACGTAACTGCACCGATGCGATAGCGGGCCCGCCGCCGCTGCAGCCGCTGCTGCGCTCGCCAACTCGCGACAGCCGGCCCTTTTCCGAAGCCAGTTCCGAAGCCCTTCGCCGGGTACGCCCCCACACTGTTTCGGCCTCCGCGGCCACGCCGCGCCACGCCTGGTGCTCGTGAAGACACATGCGTTGGGCTGCACTCGCCACATGCAAATAAAGTGCCCCCCTCCCCACCTGCCGCACCGCATGCGGCCCGCAGGCACCGCACACCGCAGGCCGCTAGATCCTATCGCCGATGACAACTAGCCAGCAGAATTAACGGCTGGCTGTTCGGCCGGCCGGCGGGCGTGGAGCTGCGCGGCATGGAGGCTCGTTTCGTGCTTCAGTCACAACAAGCCGGCCCCGCGGTACGGGCTTCATTATAGCCCGTACACAGTTCGCCCTAACGTCTCACTGCCCCACCCCATCTTTCCTTGACTACCCCCTTCCCCTTTTCCCCCTCGTTGACTTTCTCGCGAACCCGGCGCACTAAAACACACAAAAAATTAGCTCGTGAATTCAGCCGAATGCACTCGGCGCCGAAAAAAACAAAAACAGCGCTTGCTATATGAAAGCGGCCTTTCCCGCCCAGGCGCTGTTCCGAGAGGGCGCCTCATGGTAACGACCCACTTGCCCTCAAAAAGCAAAGAGAAAAATCAACAAAAACAAAAAACTCTCAGTTTTGTTTTGTTTAATCGCAGGGCTTGGAATCTAAAGCGGACGACTTCCGCTGCGTTTCGCACCCGCCGCCTGGCGTCAACATTCAACATTCCCCACTTGCCAACATTGGCCACTTCTCGTTGGCGGCACCGTTCACCACAGTCGGCAGCGGCGTCGGCGTGCACCGCGCTGCATTGGGCCATCTATCACGCCACGCCGCGCCACGCCACGCCGCGCCACGCCGCGCCACGGCGCCGACCTAAGCAAAACTTGGCCAAGAACAAAGTAAGTTTCACCGGTCGCTGCGCCGCGCCGCGCCGCGACGTGACGCCCAGGGACGGGGCGACACGTCCCCGGGGACGCCACGGCGTCGGGCCTCCGCGCTCCGCCAAGACCTCCGCGGAGTAGTTGCGAGGACAGCGACGGCCGGCCGAGCGGAGTGGAGAGGCGAGCGCAGGTGCCTCCAGCTCCGGTGCCTCACCAGTCGGCGCGCCGTGAGGCCGTGAGAGCGGAAAGTTACTCCGGCCGGGTGAATTATTGCGGGCCAGCCAGGCCTCGTCACTCGCAATTCGACAAAGCGGCGCGAAGCGGCGGCACGGCGGAATTAAGGCGTGTGTGGCGGCAGCGCGGCAGCCTCGCCCTCCGCTCCGGCCCGGAGGAAGAGAGACAGAGACACGGGAGTGGCGGCCGTCTGCTCCCAGAAGGCTCCCCCACCCCTTCCCCCCGGCGGGCACAACTCGACGCGCCGCGCACACCCCGTCCGAAGCACGATTCAATGGCTGGCAAACTTAAACACCGCTCGCGTTGCCGCGCCGCGTCCCGCCGCGCGGCAGCACCACCCACACCGGCGCGGCCTCGCGACACGCGACACCTGCGCGCCCCGATCCGCCCCGTGATCGCGGTGCCTCGCTGGCTCCCGGTAAGCCCCGCCGCCAAGCCTCTCGACCGCGGGGGCGCGGAGTGTGTGCTCAGTCCGGCCACCCCGCCCCGCCCCGCAATGACTCCCGGCGGGGCTAATGGTGTTCCCATGTACGCCGCCAACACCTCAGATGGCAACCCGATATAACGAAGGGCTTCACGGGGATGAGTCCCGGGGGCGGGGCGGGGCGGGGCGGGGCCGCTGGGGACGAGGCGATTCATCACTCCAAAGAAGAAGCAGCCCGGAGGCGACACCGCCCCCGTCTTCGCGACTTCGAGTGGCGCGAAAACGGAATGAGGCTGGTCGGCGATGCAGCGGCGTCGCAGAATGCGGAGGCGCCGTCAGAGTGGCGACTCAGGCGGACGGGCCGTGGCGGTGGCGGGAAGCGGAGCGCACTCCGCAGCGCTTTGTGCCGATTGTCAACGGGCCCTGCACTGCCATGCATGCTGGGGGCGCCGGGCCCCGAGCTGCCGCGCGACAGGAAGTACGAGTTGTTGGCGTTCCGCGCCGTTCCGCGCTGTGCAAACTGTAAACCTCGCCGGCCCCGCGGCATCTGGGTCTGGCCGGGCCGGGCCGGCGGGGTCGCTCGGTCGCTCCGTCGGTCGGTCGCCGCGGGCCGGCTCGCCCCGCAGAGGTTTGCCCGAGTCTAATGCCGAGAACAAACAGCCACTCCCAAGTTTGATTACTTGACAAACAGATTCGCGATAGTGTAGCAGCAACTGCGGCCGAGCACTACATGGGGAAGCAGAGCAAAGTGTGGCGGTGACAGAGTCCGCCTCGCCGCGCACGTGCCGCGCGCGAATCCTTCATTGAAATGGAGATGGAACCACTGGAGGGCTGGCGCCGGGGCTGGCGCCGGCCAAACCGAAACACGCTTGCCCAACAACTTTGCGGCCCCGGCGCGCAGGCCGCGCAGCGCGGCCACGGCGGACAAGCCCCGCTGATGAGATGCCCCAACTTACCAGAGGTCTTTACCCTTTTGCAGCGGCGGACGCACCGCGGACAACAAGAAGGCGCGCGCTCAGGCTGAGCGTCGACGGCTTGGGTTCGACTCCGGCTGCTCTTGGATGAGCACTGCGTATGTGACCCTACACCATGGGCACAGTGCCTATACTCCAGGCGTCCCGCAGGTCTCGACGGTAGCAGTTGTTTGACTTACTTAAGGTTCAATTTTTTTCCTGTCGGTATTGAGAGTACGAAAGAGTAAACAAGAGTGAAAGAGGAGCGAAAGTACAGCAGGCTGTCTTGTCTGACGGCGAGCCCATCATAATTTCACGCTAAATAGCCCGCAGGGCCACGGGCCGGGGATCAGAGCGAGTTGCTGTTTTGTCTGGTCTTTAATACGTAAAGTACGACGTGCATGCAGTCGGCCGGCTGCCCTATACTGTGTAGTAGAAGCTGTGTGTGTGAGTGCGGAGTGTCGAGACTTTGAAAGGCCAGAGGCAGTGGAAGGTGGGTTTACGGCATCGCGGCGAGAAGCTCCCCAGAGCTCGGCTCGAGGGTCGAGCAGAAAGAACGTGAAATCGCAAAATAATTTTTTAAAAAAGGTCAACTTTTGTTTTAAAATTCACTGGTAAAACTAAAGCGTAACTCTATGCTTGAGTCAAGCATAAAGTTACGCTTGAAGAAGTTACGCTTGAAATCAAGCATACTCTGGAAATTCCCCCATGCACTTAGATAGGGGGAATCTTGGCGGATGAGCCTGTTACGCTTGATTTCAAGCGTAAACTGATTACGCTTGAAAACAGTGGGTAATACTACGCTTTAGTTTTACCAGTGTTCGAAGTCTATTTTCGAGACATAAAGGCCGCACCTGCGGGTTGTTACTTTCCCCCCGCTGCGTGTACATGCCCATCACGCTCGGGCCGCCCCTAGCGCCCCGCAGGTGTCCCTCCCCCTTCCCCCTTCCCAGACTGTCCTGCTAAAAACGGGCGGTGGCTCTACCAAGTTATTCATCAAACTCTTCAAACTCCGCCCTCGCCGTGAGCGGGGTGGGGCCGGGTGGGGCCGGGCGGGGCCAGCAGGGGCCGACGGCCGGCGTGTCTTCGGGGAAGCCCAACACACG